GAAGCGCGCGCCGCCTCCGAAGCGTCAACTACGTCGTCCTGGCTTGGCTCGCGGCTCCCGTCGACGCTTGTCGCTGCCATCCGCAGCTTCGTCGCACCCGTCGGCTCTGTGGTCTCGATCGTGCAGCGATTTCCCGTGGCCATGGCGCCGCTTCTTGAGCTCTTGCCTGGTATCTTGGACATGGACGCGGCGTCGCCAACGCCACTTTTGCCGTTGGTTCAAGACGCATTGGAGGCGCAGTATGTCGACGTTGCCCGAGAGGAGTACAAGCGGGTGCGCGACGAGCGGCTCGCACGTCTGCACCGATGGCTGGGTTTCGAGCGAGATGTCGTCGCCACCGTCTCGGCTTCGTGGAGACTCCGCTGTGATACCACGGCGTGTGCGTTGCTGCGCGCTCTCGATCAAGGCTTGCATGTCGCTGTCGCCGATGCGACTGCGATCGCCAACGCGCTGGTAGGCTTGACCAAGTCGCTCTTCGATAGTCCGTACTCGTACAACGACAGTGATGGCAACGACGCCATGCTTGTTGTTTTGCTCGTTCTCGACCGTCTCTCGCCGTCGCACGTCCCTCTTTTCGTCGCGGGCCTCCTCAAGGAGGTCGTTCAAGCCCCACTTGACGTGCGTTACGACTACACTTGCGACGTGCTCTACCCGACGATTCGCCTCCTCGACACCAAGCTGCCGACAAAATACGCACCGAGTCGTCAAGCTTTGGTCGCAGCGACGCTTCCGGTGCTCAGAGGTGGGGCGATGGTCGCGTGCGACTGCCGCAACTGCGGCTCAAAAGCCGGTGGCGACTGCTCAAACAACGCTGATCGTGGGCGTGATAAAGCTCGCCTTGCGTACTTGGAGACGAGTCATTGACAAAGAAGCGGGCAGCGGCGCCGTCGAGTGGTAGCATCAAGCGCCTCAAGACCGACGACGGCCAGCGATGAGTGTAACGAGTTGTGTTTGAATTGTTTGCTTTTGGTTGTCTGCCAATGTATGTGTATCGGCAAGATCGGTTTCTACATCGCAGGCCATGGCCTCCGGAAGTGCAGTGGTCGCTAGCCGACCAGTCGGCATATGTAGCATGCGTAAAAAGGTTGGCCTTGTCCTTCGTAAATGGCTCACGTTTCTACAACGCGTCTTCCAAAGCACCAAAACCTCTGAAACCACATAGATCGCGACCGCTGCCCGTATCATTTTCCAGAGGTGGCAAACGGCAACATGAGCGGCGAGACGGTGTGCGTGACGGGCGGCTCGGGCTTCCTTGGGTCGTACATCGTCAAGCTCCTCCTCGAGAGAGGCTACCGCGTCAAGACGACCGTGCGCAACATCCACGATGCCAAGAAGGTCGCCCACCTCGTTGCGCTGCCGGGCGCCGCCGAGCGCCTCGAGCTCTGCCAGGCCGACCTCCTCGAGGTACGAGCGACGCAGGTCGTCATGCACCTGGACGCGTTGGCCATTGCCATAGGAAGGCTCGTTTGACAAGGCGATCGAAGGCTGCGTAGGCGTCTTCCACACGGCGTCGCCCTTCTTCGTCAAGAACCAGACCCGCGAGTTGCTGGTCGTGCCCGCGGTTCAAGGAACGCTCAACGTCCTCCGCTCGTGTGCGCGCCAAGCGACCGTCCGGCGCGTCGTCTTGACGTCGTCGATGGCAGCCATCTACGTGCATTGCGACACGCTGCCCGACGACCATGTCGTATGCCGTTTTTTCATCCTCTCGCGCCGCCGATCTCAATCACTATGTTCGTAGTTTACCGAGGCCGACTGGAGCAACGAAGATCGGATGGAGAAGCTCGGGCTGTGGTACTGCCTCAGCAAGACGGTCGCCGAGCGCACGGCCAATGCGTTTGTCGCCGAGACGCAGCCGGCCTTCGACCTCGTCGCCATGTGCCCGACGCTCATCTTGGGCCCGATGCTGCCACCGACCATGAACGAAAGCAGCGACAAGATCTTCAAGCTCGCGAACGGAGACACCAAAGTGCTATCGCTCGCTGGACGCACGCTCGTCGACGTGCGTGACGTGGCGCTCGCGCACGTGCTTGGATTTGAAAAGCCCGCGGCGAATGGTCGCTACATGCTCGTGAGCTGCTACGCGACCGACAAGGAGATCGTCGACGGGATGCGGCGCGTCGACCCGACCATCGCGGTGACGGCGACCGCGTCACCCGGTCAACCCGCGCCACGCGTCAACTTTGACACCAACAAGGCGCGGACCGGGCTCGGGATCACGTTTCACGCGCTGGATGCGATGCTGGAAGGGACGTGCGCCAGCCTCCACGAGCACAAGTTCCTCTAAGTTCTTACTCGTACGCTTGCAGACAAGAGGATGATACGCACGGTTCTATAAGTGATGAGATGTGTCCTGATAACTATTGCTGTTTGCAGGCCGGTGAGGACTCGACGACGGGTGGTGCCGCCGCCAGCAGGGCCGAGCGCGGACGGGCAGCCGCATGAGCAGCGGCGATCGTCGGATTCGGTCGACCGAACGACGGCGGCGAGACAGCGTCAATCGGCCGCTTCCTTCCGACGGTCGACTCGTTCTCTCGTCGCACTTCGCGGAGTTGGAGGCTGCTGTTCTTCTCCTTCAAGAGCTTGAGCTCCTGCGCCATCGTGCTGCCGCTGCACCGGAGCTGGTGGTTCTCTTGTACGACTACAGAACCAACCCAGATAGATAGGCACACGAAACACCACGAGCTTGCGTACGCTGGGTCTTGATCAAGAGCAGCTCGCGCAGCTTGTTGCCTTCCTCCTCATACAACAGCTGGAGGCGGCGCAGCCCTTCTTGCTGTCTATATCCAGACACATCGATCAGCGTCCGGAAGATTTTTCGAATGCAAGCGTACCCCAACACTGCAATTGCCGCCGTGCGTCGGCACGAGCAGTCGCGCAGTTGCTACAAAAACTGAGGTGCCATGCAGAAGACACCACCACACGCACCGTTTGAAGCGCGACGTAGCTCGTCTGCAGCTTCTTGAACTCGGTCTTGAGCAGCTCGAGCTCATCGTTCAAGAGCTTGAGCTGCTTGTCGGTCTCGGGGTCGCGCGCGTCGGCTGTACCGTGGTGGTGCATTCGGTCGCGCTCGGCCGCCCGACTGCGCGCTTCCATGCGAGCGAAACGCGCTTCGGCAAACTCCAGCTCGCGATTTTGCTGCCACCGCGGCTGCGTGGTGCGCCTCGAGGTCGTGCACGTACTTCCTCCCGGCTTGCTCCATCGCCCGCAGCGTTGTGAGCTGCGTCTCGGCCGAGCTAAGGCGGCCCGCAATCTCTGCAAGCGCCGTCGTCTTGGCCTCGAGCGCGGCCTCGAGCGTCGCAGCGCGTGCGTCCATCGCGTCCTTCTCGGTCACTTGGGCTTCCAGCACCGCATGGCGTTCAACAAGTACGTCGTGGGCAGTTTGCTGCGTCGTCATGTCAGCACGAAGAGCATCGATGTCGGCTGCGAGCTGCGCGCACGTCTCTGTCTTGGCAGCGACCTTGCTGTGCAGCGCCATCTGAACCGCTTGGTCTTTGGCCCACTCGGTCGCCATGTCGTCGTGGGCCGTTTGGAGTCGAGACAGCTCCAGCGCCAAGGACGCGTTGGCTGCCTCCATGCGGCGCGTGTCGAGTCTCGCTGCGTCGAGTTGCACCCGCGTTCCGTCGAGGTCTTCGGTGAGCATCCTCATGGCTTCCGACGAGCGCTCGGCCGCCGATTTGAGCTCGGCGTTCTGCGCGCGCTGCGCCTCGAGCGCGTGGTGCATGTCATGGTTGACGTGCTGCAGGATCGACGCTTGGCTCTCGAGCGTCTCGCGTTGGACCTCAAAATCGCTGCGTAAGCTGGTCTTCTCTGTCTCGGCGACAACAGCGTCGCGCTCGCGATCGGCGTGGGCTTGCTCCAGCTCGTTGGTTCTCGTCGCCAAAGTGGCTTCCGTCGCACGCAGCGTCGACTCCAGTGAGTGCGCAGACGCTTGCAGCGCCGCATGCGCCGCTTCAAGCGCCGTAAAAGCATCCTTCTCGCTGGTCAAGCTGGCCGTAAGCGAGGCGACGGTAGCGCGGAGCACAGTCGTGTCGGCGTCCTTGGCCGATATGGCCGCAACGAGGTCTTGGATCTGGGCATCGCGGGCAGCGATTTGGGCCGCCGCCTCGGTCTCGAGGCGAGCGTACTCCTGAGCGGCGTCGGTCACGCTGCGTCCGTGCGTCTCTTGCAGCGTCGCCAAGGTCGTCGTCGTCGTCGTGAGATGGTCCTGAAGCGTCTGGCGCTGCGCTTCGAGGTCGGCGTGCACGAGACGGAGCGACGCGATCGTTTGCTCTTGGTCGCTGCTCTGCGCCGTCATGGCCTCGAGCGCATCTTGGGTCGCAAAAAACTTAGATTCAAACGACTTTTTCACCCGCGTGAGTGCATCGAGTTCTTCGAGGAGCGACTCGACACGGTCGGCGGCCTCGGCGCTGAGCTGTTTCTGGAGGCGGTCGTTCTCAAGCTGGAGCGCGCTCAGTTTTTCGAGCATGCCGTGGTCGAGCTCGAGCCGCTCGCCGCTGACCGCGACCGGCTGCCCGTCTTGCAGCTGCGCCAAAGTCGCCTCCAGGTCGTCCTTGAGGCTTTGCTGCCGTTGGGCTTCTAGCCGCGCCGCGTCGAGATCGGCGCGCATCTCGAGGCGCTCGTTCTCGCGCCGGGCCATGGTCGCCTCCATCTCGCTCATGCGTACCGCCTACACACGTGGCCGTTGAGAGGGAGATAAGGACTTGATGTAGCACCATGCTGGCCATGGCGTCCTTGGCTTCTTCGAGCTTGCGGTGGACGGCCTGGAGACGCGACAGCTGCGTCTCTTGCGCCAACGCCTTGTCGGATAGCTCGGCGTTCTTCTCCTCCAAGCGCTTGTTGCACTCCTTGAGGCGCGGTAGCTCGTCGATCTTGAGCTTGTACTTCTCGAGCCGCGCCTCGAGCTTCGTGGCCTTGGCGGCCGTCGCGCGGACCACGTCCATTTCGTCCTTGAGCGCGGCCAGGTCCGTCTCGACGTGGCAGAGCGCATGGCTCTTCTGCTGCGCGATGGCCACGTCGTCTTGCAGCTGCTTGATGAGATCGCGGTACTGTTCCTTGAGCGTGCGCTCGTGCTTGGCCATATCCACGTCCATCTGGAGCTGCGCCGTCTCAAAGTCGGCCTGGCGCTTGGCGTCGTCGGCTTCAAGGCGGGCTGCCGTCGCCTTTTGGGTCTCGACTTCTTGCAAGAGCGTCGCGACTTCTTCCTTCAGCATCGCGTTTTCTCGTGCGAGCCGGTGCATCTCGCTGCGGGTGCTCGACGACGTGCGGTCGTCCCCTGGCAGCCCAGTGGCGGCGTCTCCTGGGGGCCGTGGGCCATCGCCGTCGTCGGGCGCGGGGACGGCGGCGCGTCCGGCTCGGATACGGGCAGCGAAACCTGCGAGAGGACCTCGCACACTGCCTCCTGGACGTCGGATGCCATGTTGATGATGTCCTGTACGAAGATGGCCTTTTGCACGCTGTGGAAGGCAGCGATGCAGAGCGCCTCGAGCAGCGCGCGGAGCTCCTTCGCCGCCGCAGGCGTGGACTCGGTCGGCTTCATGGCGAGCGTGAGGCTAGGCAGGTGGTCCCAGCTCAGGTACGACTTCATCTGGAGCTCCTTGGCATGCGTGTTGAGGAGCACGGCCGGGCCTCGCCACTCGACGACGCTGTCCTCCTCGGCGCGGATCGCATCGAGCTCTGTCGGGTAGACCTCCTGCAGGACGGCGCTGACGCAGTCGCTCAGGCGCGCGTCGGTCGCCGGCGCGTAGAAGGCGACCCACGCCCAGAGCTGCTCCATTGCCGATTCGCCAAGTGGGATTCCTCTCACGCGACGATACCCATTTTAGCCAATCGGTGCGCAGAAAGCATCCGCATACAATATGGTTATCCGAATGATACACTGGATTTGAAAATTCAAACGCAATCTCGGCGCTGGATCGCGCCTGCCATCGACGAGACTCCCCGCACGCTGGATGTAGCGTATCCTAAAGCAATATCGCGTATTGGTCAACTTGCCGTATGCAGTCGAAAGCTGCAGATGTCTACCAGAAACGCTGTGTGTCAATTCTCCCGCCACAGAATGTGATACCGTTAGATTATCGCAACGGACTATTGCTGCGTCTCTTGGGTGTGGCAAAGGCATTTCGGGGCCGCCCGATCTTCTACATGATCATTCCCTTGAAAGTCTCGGAGTATTTTTAAAGCCTCGGCGTGGAAACGCCACTTGTCGGCCATGCGGCTAAGGCATAGCCGATCGTGGCATTCTGAGTGGCATTGGTCCAAGTTTATGTTGTGGACATGTGTCGTTCTTGCCCATGCTTACCGTCTCGACTCGATGGAAGCAGCAGAACAACTCTTGAGATATGTCGTCCTCTGCGCCCATGAGGCGGCTGCATATGCTGCGGAATCGTCGTTGTTGCAAAATAGCATGCTCGTCTCGTCGGTCGTTGCATGTTGCCTCTTCCAGCAGTGCTTCAACTGTCTCAAGCACGACATTGTATGCTGTATTATCCTGGTAGGAACGTTTACGTGGTGTACCAGCATCCCAGGGGATTAATTCGGCGTGTCGTGTCTCAATCCGGCCAACCCATTGGCTATATATTCGTCCATTTTGACCAATAAAACGCAGTTTCATTGGTCTAAGCCAATCATATCGCGCCAAATGTGTCCTGTTAAGTGCGAAATAGAAATTCCTGTTAAGTGCTGTCACATCGCCGGACGTTATACTCGATTAAAGTATAACAATTTCGATTAAGTACGACGGCGCACTTGACTGAAATTCACGCAACTTTTTGATTAGGTGCGAATGTGAAAGCGCGCGAGGACTGCAGCAAGCGACGACGGCGCGTTGGCCCGGGAAAAGTCTGCGCACCGCAGCGCAGCGAAGGTCGCGCGTTGACTTTTGTCTAGGCCAACGCGCCGTCGTCGCAAACACCGGTTAACAACGCTTCGCATTCAAAAGTTCCTACCAGCTCACCCCGCACGGGACCTGTTAATATAGTATTCTTTACGCCATCGAGGCGTATCCTGGCAACGTGTCCTTCGGACCAAAGTCGCAGACCGTCGGCTCGTACGTGTTGGTTTGCGTTGCCATTTGAGCGATCGCACAGCAGTTGCAGCAAAGGCCGCAGACAAAATCTTCAACGTACGAGCCTGGAATCGAGAGCTTCTTGCGGACGTCGGCGCGCACGAGCATGACGCAGATGGCGCAGATGACCAAACAAGAGTACTCGACGATGGCCCAAGCGCTGTCGTAGGACCACCCGAGGCCACTCGTGATCCATGAAGTCGCGAGATGGAGGGTAAACACCAGACCAAAGCCCAAAAGAGCGCCGCTGTACGCTGCAAACCCAACGCGGTGGGCGACTTGAGCCAGGCCGACGCAGGGAAAGAAGCACGCCATGCACGCATTGGGCCACAGGTCGTCGAGACAGTCGCAGATGCCGCTCTTCCATTGACCGAGAACGAGGCCGTTCTGGTCGACCTGGATGGCCGGCTCGAGCGCACCGGCCTCCTTGACGTAGTGCGTCGCAGTCGGTTCGGTGCACGACATGGTGTTGGGGTCGTATGAAATATGTGAAAGTGTGAGTAGGGAGCAGTGCGAGAAGCCCGACAGGCTTGCGTTGGACAGAGGACAGACGCGGACAGCTCACATCGGCGTACAAAGAGAGTACTACACCCTCCAGTCCAACGCCAAGTAGTAGTACACTTTATGGCACAGCTCCACGAGACTCCTACTCAAGGCGCTCACACAATTGTGGAGGAATATTCTCTCAAGGCGCTAAAGGTCGTACACAGCAACTTTACTAGGTTTATACTAACAAGATACTAGGTTTATAGCGTCTTTGATTTATAGATTGTTGTGAGAATCTCTTTTAAAAATTGCGTGATGCGCGACAGTGGTGCTACGGTGTAGACACGCATGTGTAGGACAACCGTGTCGGACATGGAGTGGACACGGCTCGATCACTGCCATCAATTGTCGAGACTGTAGAACTAGGCAGACTGCGCCACAACGTCAGCGCGCGTGCATTTAAACGGGGGCTGCGCGGAAGGCTCGAGAAGGCTTTAGCCGTGACGTTAGCGATCTTCCGACAGACGCAGCTTTGCTCAAGCTCACGGCGCATGGTAGCGAGGTAGATGAGCTGGATGGGGCCGCTACTTGCACAACCACAGCCCATCAAACGGCATTAAATTTAAACGCAATCTCGGCGCTGAATCGCGCCTGCTATCGATCGACGAGGCTCGAGTAAGGACGGCAGAGCCCCTGCCACACTGGATGCAGTGTATCCCAAAAGCAATATCGTGTATTGGTCAACTTGTCGTACGTATTTAAAGCTAGGGACATTTACAGAAAACGCTGTGTGTCAATTCTCTCGCCAAAGAATGTGATACCGTCGCAACCGACCATCGCCTCTCTCGGAAGTGTATGTCCCGACAGTTTTTCCAAATTATCGTTCTCTTCAAAGCCTTCAAAGACGCTGTTCAAAAGCTCCGTGTGTTGGACTTGGATATACAAACGCACGGGACCGATTGTAGACTGCAACCTCCGGCCAAAGACGCCGCAAACGTCGCCGGCGGCCTTCGACGATACTGAGAAGCCACATAGCTTTGCCCATGACGCCTTAAACGGATGCACCAAAATGTCAACCTAACCAACGACCTCGACCGAACAATACCCCGACGAGGTGGGTCCACCACGGGAGCTCATTCTCCATAGCCAAGTACGCGCACCAACTCGCGTGTATCCAGCTCCATGTAGTCATTGTTGTTGAAGTGGGTCGTCTATTACAATTGATAAACTATGCTAAATAAAATTGTCGGACTTTCTTTGTTGTGTGCACTCGGTTGAGGAACTTGATTTAGGCAGGCGGAGGCAGGAGCGCGATCCGCGGGACGAGGTGACGTCGCGGCCACTCGTGTTGGGCGAGGAGCCGGAGAAGCCGACGAAGAGCAGGCTCTTGTACGAGGCTGTGGTGCAAGTGCAGTTATGCGACACGCGCCGCCTTGACGGCAATCGTCCATGGACTTGGCAGCGGTAGGTAGGCGCGAAAGACGCGATCGTTCCGGACTCGCCAGACGTTGAACCTCACGCAGGCGCGGAGCACGGGCCAGAGTTAGCGGAACGCGGCTTGGTGCATGTTGGACGTCGTCTTGGGTTGGGCGTCGAGTAGAGGTAGCCTGAGAGCGTTGTCGGCAAGGTCACGCCCAGAGGGGTCATGACGGCGTGAAGCGTGCTCCACACGTCCTTGATGAAGTCGCAGTCTACGAGGAAGTGGCGGTACGTCTCGTGCTCGGGGCAGAAGTGGCACGCTTGGTCGGCCCTGTCGAGCCAGTGCAAATGTGCGCGGAACTTGTGTTGGAAGACCCACCTTGGGGCTGTCGCCACACTCATGACTCGTACAGTCGGTGAAATGTAGAGTGATATTTATAGCCTTTAGCTATCTTGTAGTAAGTGCAATATGCAACTTCCAACACGCGCCTTCAAGTTGTACTTGGTACAAGATGGCTAGTTGGGTGTCTTGATGCTTCAAGCGCACGGTTAAGGCATTTGGCAGAGAGCGGCTTGGTCATCGCAGCGGCCGGCATTTCGCCGGTTGGGCAGTAGCCAGTGGTGACTACGCCTTCCTTGACAGCATTGCGGATGAAGTGGTACTTTGTGTCGATGTGCTTTGCTCGCGTGGACGATACTTGATCTTCCATCATCTTGAGTGCACGTTGGTTGTCGACCCACAAGCTGATTTGCTCCTTGGCCTCGACCATCTTGATCTCGTTGAGTAGCTGCTTGGTCCAGCGGGCTTCTTGCGTGCCGGTGCGCGCGCCGATACTCGGCTTCCATGGTCGAGAGAACGACCGTGGGTTGTTGCTTGGACGACCGGTGGTTCGGGATGTCGTTAAACTTGGTGACCATGCCCGTTGTGGAGCGTCTGTCCGACTTGTCTCCGGCCCAGTCGACGTTGGTGTAGACGTCCATCGATCGTGAGCCGTCGGGCTTTGGCTCGAGGCGGTAGTGCTTCGTCTCCCACAGGTTGCGTAGGATGCGGAGGGTCGTGGTCTCGTGGTTGATCTTGTGGTTGCTCGTGTAGCGGGTTGCCATCCATTGGAGCAATCCGACGGCGATCTGGACATGTGTTATGGTCTGTTGTGGATTACCACTGTCGTCGAACATCTTGTGGTCGATCGCGATGGGCGTGTCCTTGGTGCGGCGTTCGGCCATGTTTTTGGTCTCGAGCTTGTATTTGGCACGACCGGCGTCAGTGGAGACGTCCGTGGCGTACTGGTTGATTTGGCTTGTACTTGAGCGAGCGGTTCGTGGTCTTCGTGCAAAGAGGTTGATCGCGGTTGCGATGACGAACGTGCTGCTGCTCGCGGGCCAGTTGCGCGATCTGGAAGTCGCGTTGGTGTCGCGTATGTTGTCCTTCGACTGGTACTTGATCGTGCTGTAGATCTTGAGTAGCTTGCGGAGCTTGGCAGCTGTGTCCCTGAGCTGTACTGGTAGTGTATTGATCTCCGGTCCCCCCTCAATCGAGTCGGGGCTCGGCGAGTGAACGTTTGCGATCATAAAGTCGACGTCGAGTCGTTGCTGGGAGCCATACACGGCGTTGTTGACCGGGTCGGAGCTCTTGGTCAAGTTGATCTTCTGCGAGTGGGTCGTACTGGTTGTTGGCGGTGGCTCGGGATCGGGATCAACGCAGGCGCGTGAATACGATGTGGGTGGTAGTACACGCGGCGGCTTGTCTGGCGTTTTGCTTGGTAGAACGGTCAAGTTTGCGTGTTTTGTTGCCGTGGACTCGTCCTTGCCTTGGACTTGTTCTTGCCGATGGCGTATTTTCTCGGCTTTTGGCGTCTCTCGAGCGGTCGCAGCTTCGTGAGCTGGACGCATGTCGACTGCGATGGCTTGGGCATTTGCTGGTGCGTCTCGCTCTGCGTTGGTTGGAGCGGTGGGCACTTTTGCGCGTTGGCGCTCAGTGTTTGCGGTTTGGGCGATGGCGGTTGCTTCTTGATCGTGGCACGCGCCTTCAATGTAGTTGTACGCTTCCTGCTGCGCGTGTTTGTGCTGAACTTGTGCGTCAGCATCGACTGTGGGCTCTTGGGCTCGTCGCTCTTCAGTTGCGACTTGGTGTTTGTGCGCGCGCTCGAAGCGCTCGTTTGCTCCATCTCGATGATGCTGGTCGTCGGGTTGCTGGCACATTTGCTCGTAAAAGCGTCGCGCTTCTTCGTTTCGACGTTGTTCGTGAGCGAGCTGCTTGCGCATACGCTCGTCGTATTGTTGATCGTCAAGCATTCGCTGCTTGCGCATCTGCTCGTCGTGACGGCGCCGATCTTCGGCGATTGCGGCTTGATGCTTGCGTATCCACTCGTCGTCACGAGCTAGCTGCCTTGCGAGAGCTTCTTCGATGCTCTTGGCTATTGACGTCGGTTGAGGATCCGGGGTCGCGTCGGTGGCGGAGTTTGCTTTGGCGTCCTTCTTTCGGAGGCGCTTTGCGCCGTAGCAGTCAGTCGTGTTGTGAGTGTTGCGTCTGCAGCGCTCGCACCACTTTTTCTGAAAACGCGACGGTGGTGTGGGCGTGTCCGAAGACTTGTCATCACCGCTGCTGTCGTCGCCGCCATCGCGGCGGCTGCCGCGATTGCGCGGGGTAGGTGTGGTGAAGTGAGCATGGGCGCGCTTGGGCGTCTTGTAGCCCACACCGGTTCCGACATCGTGCGTAAGGTACGTGACGACGATGTCGAGCTTGCGGAAATCATTCCACTCGTTGTCAAAGCCGAGGATTAGTTTCATTGTCTCTGCCCGCTCGGGGCACGCATGATTGACGAAGTAGCGGATGACCATGGGAACCGGAAGCGCGAACTGCCGTTGGACGTGGCGGTAGAATCGGAGGTGAGCGAGCCATGACTTCGACACGGGTTTGGGAGCCTTGAGGAGTTCGACTGCCTGGTTTGGCGATAGGAGCGACTTGAAGGTGCGTCTGAGCCGAGTGACGAGGTCGTGGTAGCCAAACGTGCGTCCTTCGAGTTCGACGTCGTCGTGCCACTCGTCTCGGTAGTGGTTGTAGCATTCGAGGGCTTCGCCGCTGAGCTTTTGGATGAGAGCGCTGCGTCGTTGTTCGTCGTTCCACGCGTGATCGGGAAGGCACGCTTTGTTGTGGGCGATGGCGTCTTCAAACGATCGGAGCCAAGATGGGAAGTCGCTGCCAAGGCCCGGGTACGTCTCTTGACCTGAAAAATACTTGCACTTGAGGTTCCAGTCGGAGCTGGATGTAGATCGGGTCGGGGTGGGTGGGACATACGGCGTGTAGCCTGGGGGGTCTCGTGGAGGTTCTTGTCGCGGGGTGCCTGATGGGTTGCCTGGCGGTTCGTTGTGGACCGATCGGTTCTCCATGGACGCGTCGTCTTGGGTTTGCTCTTGCATTTGACGAATCTCTTCGGCGAGTTGATGTGCCCGAGTGGCCGCTGCGTGGGCTTCGGTTTGGGCTGCAAGTCTCGCGGCTTCTGCGAGCTGGGCTCGTGCTATCGCGGCGTCCCGCTCGACCTGGATGCTGTTGGCGGTTGCGGCGATGCGTTCGCGTTCCATGGCGATGGCGCGGGCAATGGCGTCCGCTTGCTCTTTGGAGCGTCGCTCGTCATATGTGACTCGCTCTTGGCGTGCTTGCTCTTCGCTGGCGGCTCGCTCTTGGCGTGCTTGCTCTCGATCTTGGCGTGCGCGTTCGAAAAGCTCGTTCGCTGCTTGTCGATGTTCCTTCAGTGCTGCTTGTCGGTCGCGGTCGTTTTGTTCTCTTTGTTCCTTCAGTGCAGCTTGTCGATCGCGGTCGCTTTGTTCTCGCTGTTCCTTCATGCACGCTTGCCATTGTGCGGCTAGACGTTCTAGATTGGCTGCGTTCTGCTCTTCTCGACGTTGCTCGTCGTGTCGGCGTTGTTCGTCGTGGCGGGCTTGCTGCCTTGCGAGAGCTTCTTCGACGATCGTGGATGTTGACGTCGGTGTTGGTGGTTTCGGCGGGGTTGGTGCCGCCGCTGGCTCGACATTGATCTTGATCGAGTCCATGTCGTTCTCCGGCCGAGGCGATACTGATCGCCTTCTCGTGCCGGGTACTCGCGTGCTCTTGTCGACTTCAAGGCTCGCGGCTTTCGTCCGGGCGGCGCGGTCCTTCTGGCGCAGCCTGCTCCGTGACGGTCTTACTTCGGGCTCGTTGGGATGCTCATCTTGTTGCATCCACGGGTCCCGGCCTCCTGGATCTAGCGACGTTCGTCTAGCGGTGTTGTCCTGGAGTGGTTTTGGAGAGTTTGTTCGGGCGGCGCGGTCCTTCTGGCGCTGCCTGCTCCGGTGTGCTCCCCCTTCGGCCTTGTGGCGCTGTTGTTGCGTCCACAGCTCCGAGCTTCCTGGTTCCTGCGAGGGTTGTGTCGCAAGGGTGACCAGGAGTAGATTTGGAGGGTTTGATCTTGATCGGTTGGCTCTGCGCAACGCGACCTTTTGGGCGCCCTTGATCTTGTAACTGCTCCCTTCGTGGCTACGGTTTGGAGGGCCGTCGCCGCGGGTTCTGACGTCGCTGCTTTGTCGCTCGCTTGGTGTTGCGGCTGGCGCTGGCGTCGAGTTGTAGGGCTCATGTGCTCGGTTGCGATTCCGGCACGGTTGAGTGTGGTCGATCGTAGCCCCAGATGAAGCCCTTGGGCTCAAAACCTGTTGGAAGACCCACCTTGGGGCTGTCGCCACACTCATGACTCGTACAGTCGGTGAAATGTAGAGTGATATTTATAGCCTTTAGCTATCTTGTAGTAAGTGCAATATACAACTTCCAACAACTTGACCGCGCGGAGCATCACTTGGTAGACGAAGTCGGCGTACTTGGGTAATATGGCGTCGGGTAGCCGGAGCTCGGCTGCGGCTACGGCAGCAGGCGCCTCGTAGAAGTCTTCATCGACGCCCAGGCGGCGGGTCGGTGGCTGCAAGCGCGTCCTTGGCGGCGTGTATTTCCTATTTCAATGCCAATCAGTTGATGAATGTGATGGTCTCGATCCATGTGAATGATGGTCGACAGTGTCAAGCTCGGGCATCTCGTCATCCATAGCTCTCGTCCACGCCCTGACCGTCCCGCGCGATCGAAAAAGCCGTTTGAGGCAGCGTTGACACTCGGCAACCGAGCGCTGGACGCTGATGAAATGCACTCGCTGCTCGCTGCCGTCGGCGGACCTTTAACAACGTGCAGAGCACATCGTGGACGATCCGGTGCTGGCGACGCACATCGAGGCAAGAGACCACCAACTCGTGTTGAAATCCTCTCCAAGGACGACCTAATTGATGCTGCTACAATACAATTGAAGTCGTTTGTGCGGTATCCAAGGCCCAACGTCACCGACGCCAAGGGTCATTTACTGAGCCTTCCAACACACCACACGTTCGGACCCGAACTTCATTCAGAGTCCTCCAAGCGACATGTCATTTGCGAAATCACGACATGCCTGTGTTGGACAAGACAGTCTGGACCGTGTCCACGAGACGTTCTGGTACGTGTCCACAATTTTCATGTCTAGACGACTTGTAGATCCAAAAGGAGCTTTTTCTGGTCCGCTTAGAAGTGTCTACTATCCAATTGCGTTGTTTGTGGCCCATTGGATAGATAGGTACGTAACGCCGGATGGATACAAAATTCGCACCGGATTCATCAGCTGGCGCTCTTTATCCCACGTTATCCGGATGATTGCCATTCTCAAATTGCGTTGTCATTTTCCAACTTTCGACATCATGACGACGTTCGCCTGCCTTGCGCTTATGAAGCACGACCTCCTCCGCCTCGTCGGCTTCCCACCCGAGGCCAACAACTGGATCAGCCAAGCCATCACGCGCTCGTGGCCCGAGGGGATCTGGTCCTCCCAGCCCCGGTCGCGCTGCTTTGAGTTCAAGCTCGGCGGGTCGCCGTGGGTTCCGAACGGCCGCTCGACCGTGCACGCGCGCTACCTCATGCTCGAGATCCTCATCGTGCTCAAGCGCCACGGCTACACCCTCCACTCGTCCAGCGACATCTCCAACTCCCAGTACACGCGCGACACGCTCGTCTTCCGCCACGGCATCGCCGAGGAGTCGCCGACGATGTTTGCGATCTCGACCAACTCGAGCGACCTCCTGCGCTTGCTGCGCGCGCCGGTCGAGCTCCAACCCGTCATGGCGCAGCTCATTGCGCGCTACTGGCCGGCGGGACTTCAGCGCAAAACGCTCGACTATGTGCCGGGCTGCGCCGAGTTCAAGTTTAGCGGGTACCCGTGGAGCTTCAACGGCGACGACAGCATTGACGCGCGCATCTTTCTGCTGCACCTTTTCGCCAAGCTCGAGGAGCTCGGCTGGTTCTTGTACGGCTCGATCGGTCAAAGCAGCAACGGCGAAGGCTATGCCAAGGACACGTGGTTCTTCCATTACATTGCGCCGAATGCCGTCCCTCTCGCCGTCCCGCTCCAGAAGAACGCCGGGTATCCCATGGCGCCCGCGTCGGCGCCCGAGTTCTTCAAGTAACATTATAACAAAACTGAGATCTGCGTCGTCTTAGCGTATGTCCTGAGTCCTCCCGCGCTTACCCTAGCCCTCGCAGCGGTCCATCGACGTATTTGGCAACATTGTTGTTAAGCTGGCCAAGCCCTTTCCAATTGCAGCATGGCTTCTTCAGGGCGACACAGACACCCTCGACCCTCGGCTCCACGATTGCAGCTGAACACATATATATTTATATAAACGAACGCCCACGTTTAGGACGACGTGTTGGCTGCCTCTGGGAGACTGCTGCCTACACTCGGAAGGCTGCTCTCTACACAGAACGCGAGTCAGTACGCCACGTTTGGAGCCACGGTTGGACAACGTGATAGCAACGTACCGAGGCTCGTCTCGGTGAAAGTCTCGTTGAGTGTGACGCGGACCTTGGGCTTGCGCCGGTACGTATACCCGATGAACTTGTTGTACTCGCCGCCGTCGCTGTTGGGCGCTTTCGGCACGAGCGACTCGTAGCTCGACGCGTCTTCGTGCAAGTGGCCGAGGCCTTGGTCCGGGAACTCGTCAAAGTTTTGCGTGATCTGCTTGACGAGCGTCTGGTACTGGACATCGTTCGTGTCGAGGCGCTGGAGCTTCAGCATCGACTCTTGGAACTCCCGCCCGCCACGCGGCGGCGTCTGCGGCGCCTGCGTCGTCCGCAGACTCGACCACTCGATGCCGGCAAACCACGGGTGCGCTTTGATGTGCGCGACGTCCAGACGCACGTCCGCGCTGCAGATGAGCCGCCGGATAAAGTCGATGCAGTGGGGACTCAGACTCTGGATCGCCTCGGTGGGGAACACCAGCGTTTGTTTCCAGTTGACAATCTAGTCAGCAGCTGTACCACATCTGACATCGCATCGGGCGTCGGTACCTTGCGGCACGTGGACATGGGGTCGTCGGCGTTGAACGGCGGGTACCCGATCAGACACTCGTAGAGGATGACACCCATGGACCACCAGTCGCACTCCTTGCCGTAGCCTTGCTGCAAAGCACTTCGGGCGCAATGTAGTCAGGCGTCCCAACCGTGCTGAAGGCCACTTCGCGGTTGCGGTTGTACGGCCGCGTCCGGTCGTTGATGGGCTGGCCTACATGCTTGCATGAGACGACCCATGATCCAAGAGCCGCCTGGTACCGCTGGCGGCATCGGTCATCGTGTGGGTCGTGATCGGGAGCATCTCGTGAGGCGCAACATCCATCTTCTTGCAGAGGCCGAGGTCCGTGAGCTTGATGTGGCCAAAGGCGTCAAGGAGCACGTTGTCGGGCTTGATGTCGCGATGGATGTACCCGAGTTCGTGCACCGACTCGATGGCCATGACCATCTCGGCGGCGTAGAAGCGCGTCGTGGTCTCGCTGAGCTTGTCTTCCTTGATGAGAAGACCCATGAGGTCGCCGCCAGGAAGGTACTCCATGACCTAGTCGCCTCGTCGTTGAAAATCTGCTAGGACAATGACATGTTTCGTACCATGTACAGTCGGTTCGTGTCCTGGAACGAGTACTGGAGCGTGACGAGCCATTGGCACTCGTTGTCGGCCATGGCCAGAATGTCCCGCTCGGCGCGCACGTGGCCGACCTGGTTCTTCATGACCATGGAGCTTTTGAGCATGCTCTTGAGCGCGAAGACCTCGCCCGTGTCCTTCTTGCGCACGAGGCGCACCTCGCCAAAGGCGCCGCGACCCACGACGGCGAGCGACTGGAAGTCTTGGATCGTCAGGCGCTTGCGCTGCTGGCGCATCTGGTTGAGCTCTTGGTTGCGCAGCTCGGCGCGGTACGACTCTTTCGCCGGCTCTTCGAGCTTGAGGCTCTGCATCTTCTGCTCGAGGATGTTGCGCCGCATGCGACTCTCCTCGCGCTCCTTCTTCATGATGGCGTACTTCTGCTCCAGGTAGGCCTTGGTCACGCTCGCCTTCTCCCGCGTCGTCGTGCTGATCTCTTCCATGCTTCTTCCACTCTGCGTTTCACGCCACCGTCGGTTGTCCGGATACAATGGCGATCGCCGCCGGCGTTGGCCCTAAAAACGCACTTGCGTTAAACGATGGGGTGCATGCAGGCAACCCAAGCAACGCGGACGATCCAGGTACAAGCGACACAAGCGCAGCCTAGCAGAACGATAGCTGACGGGATCGACGCGCGCTACCTCGTCTTTGGACTGAAAGCATGGAGGGGATCGTCGGCCCTGAGTAAAACGCTGGGTAAAACTACGTCAAACGACGCGTCATCCGGATACGACACGTGGAAGATCGAAATTTTGGCCACGTCCACTGCGGTGCAGCCTCGTCGGCGGCTCAACGACTAGTCCATCGCAAGCATGAACTAGTCCAAGTGGAAAATATTGTCTATTGAATTCTAGCCTAGTGAGTTGCGAGTATAGTCTGTTGAGCGTAGTATAGCGACAGCGACTAGGAGGTCTCCACCAAAGCGATGAACAATCGGTATTGACGTGCCAAGCGCGCGACCTGAGACACAAGAGGGTCAAACGACCAATGCTGGCTCTGGTCGGGTGTGCGGGCGCCGCTCCATCCAGCGCCACCAGAACGCGAGGCTGGTCGGCAGCAGGACCTCGAGGACCAAGTAGATCGGGTACGGCACGGGCGGCGTCGACCCCACGACCGGTGCGATCCAGAGGCCTCGTCGATACGAGTCGCGCAGATGGTGGCTCAGCAAGCACGCCTGGGTGTCTACTTGTGAGATCATTGCAAAGCTACATGCGTTGACGCACCAGTACAAAGGCGACAGCGCGCACCCGGCGGGCCACCGGGCAAGTCCACCACGTGAGCAGCGCGAGAGCCGCCACGAACACCACCGCATGACCAAACGGACGCTCCTACAGAACATGCGATTGGAACCGATCGCTGTCATCATGTAGACGTGTGTTGTACGCTCAGGGACGTGGCCGCGCGAAAGCTCCAGCCCGCGGCGACGATAAAGTGGTCGAGGTCGAGAAGACTGCCGGTGAAGAGCGCAGCGACGCCTTCGAGCGGCCGCAGCGAGTGGCGCGGGAAGGCCACCGTGCACGTGAGCGCCCACGAGAGGAGCGCGATCGTCGCATGCGCCGCATTGTCCATAAGGCCGTAAAGATGCGCCAGTCGCTCCAGCACGCTCTACCTCGATGCATCCTGCGTCCATCATCGCATCCTCATGTAGGCGGCTCGTACCGGTGGTGCAGTAGCGAGTCGGACAAGAGGCAAATCGACAGCAGCAGCAGGCAGAGGCTGGTCGTCGACGTGTGGACAGGCCGGCCGGCCGCCATGCGCGCGCGGTAGAGCGGACTAGGCGCGCCATGAGAGGTCGCATGAAGATGTGTTCGCCTACCGCAGGACGAGCATCGCATTGGCGGCGAAGCCCAAGGCCAGGAGCATGAGCGTGGCGACGACATGGCCGACGTCGTCGCAAGCGACCGGCCCGAGCATGTTTTCGCATTGGTGTGGATTGGCCTTCTTTGATTGGCGGTTGGGGGTGCATTTCAGCCAATCAAACGACCGGTATCGGTGGGATGCCACGCGGGACCGAGCTCTCGGTCGTCGAGCGGGCCTCGATCTTGGCCATGCGCGGGAATGGCATGAGCGAGCGCAAGGTAGACGACGCCATGAGCTACCTACGCATGAAGCGCGCCCGTGGCTCGTAGATTGCGCAGGAGATGGGGCGCTGCGTGAGCTGCATCCGAGGCTTCCTCGCCCACCCCGATACGTATGGTACCAAGAAGCGCATGGGCCGGCCGCGGCGACTCTCGCCGGACGTCGAGCTGCAGATCCTCGACGCTGCGTACAAGGACAATCTCACAGCAGCCGAGATAATTGCTCGGCTCAACCTCAACATTAGCGTGCGCCAGCTGCAGCGGTTGCTCCGGGAGAAGCGGCTCGAGCAGGAGGCCGCCGCCGCCATCGCGTCGCCGCCGACCGACTCTTTCTTTGCCTCCGACGACGAAGCATCGGCGAGCTCCATTGATGTCTTCTCGTTCATGCGGCGGCCCTTCGACGATGACGACGCCTTGTCCTGAAGCCTCCACACCCTCGCTGCCATCCATCCTCCTCTCAGCATCGAGCCCCATGCACACACAGATCTAGTGTAGCATCGAATCGGAATCTCTTGGCATAAAGAAAGCGGTGGCTGGTAATTGAACTGGAGCTTCCAATACTGCACCATAAGGGCTTACATTCGCTGCGGCCATCGACATGAGCTTGCTTCTCAGGGCGTTGGCCCTGTTGTGCCATGAGCATCCTCGAGCTGAAGAAAGCAACGGAGCTACGTCGCCGCTTCGAGCCCGCTGGTTCGCGGGCATTTTGCCAGTGACACCGCGGAAAGACCGTGCGCAGGAAGAGAGCACGGCTCGAGCCGACCGCCGTCGAGCCGCAGCACGACATCAAACGTCTCCAGTTGCTCGACACGGTGCGTGACCAGCAGTACCGTGACGTGGGTCAAACTCAAAATCAAACTCAACACGCGGCGGTGCGCACGCGCGTCGACGTGCGCGGTGGCTTCGTCGCACACGAGGACGCGCACGTTCCGTAGCAGTGCGCGGGCCAAGGTGAGCAGCTGGCGCTCCCCAGCGCCAAAGTTCGCGCACTCCACGCGCATCTCGAGGCTATGCACGCACGTGTCCATGCCGACGCGGCGCAGCACTGCCCACATCTACATAACCCATTGTCTTTACGTTCGCGAGGTTGTGGTGCGCGTACCTCGTCGTCCGATGCGTGCGACTCGGCGCTGGCGAGCGTCTCGCGAAGCGTCTCGCCAAGAAGCACCGCGTCCTGAGGCACAAACCCCACGGCGGCCCGGAGCACGTGGGGAGGTACCGAGATCCCACCGATACAAACCTCGCCAGCGTCGAGAGGATATAGGCCCAGGAGCGCGTGCAGGAGCGACGACTTGCCGGCGCCCGTCCGACCCACGACCGCCGCCTTGGCGCCAGGCGCCAACGCAAACGAGACACCGGCCAAGACGCGTTTGTGCGACCCGGGGTACGTCAAGCAAACGTTATGGACATGCAGCGCACCATCCGCGATCCGATCGGGTGCATGCCCCGGGGCGCCCGACGACGTCGGAATCGGTGCTGCCAGCTCCGTGAGTGCCACGACGCGATCGATCGAGACGGCCTCGAGCTCGATGGCAACGAGAAGCTTGAGGGCCCACCCGAGGCGCGCCGGCAGCTGGACGGCATACGTGAGCGCGAGGCCGATCGTCGTCGCCGATACCGAGTCTGCAAGAAGCGTCGTGGCGACGCCCGCGCCAAGGACGACGAGAGCACCAAGCCCTTCGAGCCACACGGTGACCCACTGCGTCGCGATCGTCGCGAGCCAGGACGCTTGGATGGCGACATCAATCTGCGCCTGGAACCGCGTCTGCAGCATGCGCGCCAGGTCAAACGCGTCGACGGAGCTGTGGCCTGCGATGGCTTGACGCGCCCACGCCAGCACTGGCGCCCGGGCAGCACGCTCGAGACGCTGCAGCCGCCGACCTGGCCCGCGGTACAAGGCGTACAGTACGTAGTACGGTCCAAGGAGCCCGAGGACAGCGAGCAGCGCACTCGTCGGCGCGATACACGCAAGAGCAAACACCGCCGCGCAAACCTGCAGCGCGTACGCCGCAAAGGTGCTGAGGACGCTCGGCAGGGCTTCGTCGATCGACCCAACGTCCTTTGTGCAATGGTTGAGAATGCGGCTGGACGATCGCTGCTCGAAAAACGCCATCGGCGCGTGCACAAGGCTGCGCAGGAGCGCCGCATGCAGGCCATTGGCACCCCGGAGCGCAAGGTCGACAAGCCACAGCCGGTGCGTCGAGGCGACGACGCAGGTCGCGACGCCCACGCCGACCGTCGCCCACGGTGTCGCTTTGGTCGTTGCCCACGTCGCGAGAACGTACGTGCCACCGACGAGTCCGATGTGCTCGGCCACAAGCAGCAGCACATAGCCGCCGAGCCGAGGTAGCTGACTCAGATAGGCGCGCCACACTATCTGGTAGCTCGAGGATCCAGAGACCGCAGGGTCGTCGTCGTCGTCAGCGGTCGTGGGCGGCGTCGGCGCCTCGTTCGGCGTTGCGTCGGCGCCTGGCGTTAGCGTGCTCTCGGGCTCTGGCGACGCCGCGCGTTCTATGTCAACACGAGAAATGTATCTAGAATTGACGCTCGATGGCTCGACCGCACCGCTTGTCGCGTGAATGGCAGTGATGCCGCGCAAGGGCACGCGTTCGAAGCGGAGGCGCACAAACGGAACCGACGGACGCAGCGTCGGAGGCGCCACGAGGACTTTGGTCAGCGGCGCGAGGGCCGGGTGGTGCAACAGTTGCTGCCACACGTGGCAGGCGACGACCGGGTCCAAACTCGCGAAGACATTGTCGATGAGTAAAATGTCGTGCCGGGCGTAGACTGCACGGGCTACATATTTTCGTGAGACACTCGAAAAGGAAAAAAACACGAGAAGGACCCAGAGAGATGCGCTGTTTTTGACCACCCGAGAGCGCAGCACCGAGGGCACCGGTGCGAAAGGCGTCGCCGTGGGGCCACGCAGCGATGTCGGCCCGCAGCGCGCAAATCTCGAGCGTGGTTTGGTACCACGACCGGTCGAATCTTGCGCCGCAGAGAATGTTGTCGCGGACCGAGGTATCCAGAATCCAAGGGCTCTACACCGCTCGCCAGATAGTGCAAAAACATTGTGGAAGACGAGTACGAACCTGTGGACAGTACGCCATCGAGCCAGCGACATGCAACGAGCCGGTAACCACGGTGGGTAAGCGTAGCAGCGTCGCCAGAAAGGTCGACTTGCCACTGCCCATGGGTCCGTCGCAGAGAACGACCGCGCCGCGACATAGCGTGAGCGAGACGGGTTGAAAGACGGGTTGTGCCCCGTACGTCCAGAGACTCGTGACGTCTCGAAGCTCCATGCCGCCTGTCTCGAGACGACGTGCGTTGGCCGGCGGAGTCGATCGCTCGTCGGCAGCGAAGAAGCGCTCGAGACGCTGAAGGGACACGCGCGCGTCAATGAACTTTGAGAGAATCTGCGGCAGACGCTGGAGTGGACCCGCTGCAATGCCAAACCAGGCGATCGCAGCAAACACCTGCGACGGTGGCAACCGCTCGATGCAGGCAAAGGTACCAATTGGCGCCAGCAGCTGAAGGCAGGCCACGGCGCTCACGTTGATCGCATGCCAGCGCTGCTTGGTGCCAAGTGCTGCAAGCTCTTTGTTCCGTGCGGCGCTTGTGGACGCGAGGACGTGGGCTTCGTAGCCGCAGCCGTGGAGCGTTGTGGGAGCATCCAGAAAGGACGCGGTGCGCTGGAGTCGACGATCGCGGCACGCAAGATGGGCCCGACTCGCAGCTTTCAAGCGTCGGCTCAAAAAGACGGCCAGCGGGAGGTAGAGAAGCTGGAGACCGAGCCAGAGCCACACAGCAGGGCCGAGCAGCTGCAGCAGTGCGAGCAGCGCGATGCTGAGCGCGAGGCCGCCGCTCCACGTGTCCCAGTGCAGCGCGCAGACGACCGACGCGTCGGCAATCTTACACGCGTCGGTCGAGAGCAGGTTGGAGAGCACACCGTCGTCGTACGAGACGCGGGCGGCGGCGCTGAGCCGGAGACCTTTGGTAAGCACGAGCTGCTGCAGAAGCGAGCGCGTCTGAAGGCCACAGCGCACGGCGACAGCCCAAAACTGATGCTCAAAGATGGACTTGGTCCCTATCGCCGCATAGAGCGCCAGGGACCAAAGGAGCCCGCTGACGATGCGCGCCTCGCTCGCGTGCGGCGCCGGGTCCGAGAGCACGTGCAGAAGCCGCTCCAGCGCATACGGCGTCAGGACGTTTCCGGTGGTAGACACGAAGAGCAAGGCGCCGGCATTGTAAAACGACCAGCCGCAGGTCGCATGGAGGTGTCGGAAAAGCGTTGCACGTGGCCGACGTCGCAAGCTGTCTTCGTATCGTGCATGGATGACGCTGGCACTGTCGTCCGAGCGCACGGCCGGCAAGTCGTTGAGGCCGAGCGGCTGCGGCCGGCGGAGGAGGGGCCAGATCCACGTAAAGAAAAGCCTACTGGCGATGGACGCATCGCATTCGGGCGTTGCTGCATGCGTGGTAACCACCTGCGTCGCGAGGTAGCAAGCGACGACGGCCTTGAGAAGCATGGCTGTTGCATCTACGATCAACGCCAACTCGTGCGCGGCAAGCACAAGTGGACGCTGACGCTGCAGCACGATCGGTGTCACGGCGAGCAGTCGCGCGAGTGCATCCAGGAGAAAGAGATGGCGAAAGGCGAGCGCTTGGTGTGGAAAGATGCACAGCACGATACCTATGTAATAGCACGATCAAAAAGAGCCTTTCACGAAGCATCGTGGTCGTACTCGTGTGGAGGCCTTCGACGAGGCAGAGCGTCCCGGCAGCCACGTGACTAGGGCTCAGCGCTGCCTGAGACACTACAAAGTAGACGCCATATGCAGCGTTGAGGAGGCTAGCAGCCACGACAGCGTGCGCGGCGCGTGGCGGCGGCGATGATGGGCGGCGAGCCGTGTGGCCAAGATACGCTCCGAGCCCGAGGAGCCCAAACTTCCAGGCGCTGGCAACACATAGCGACGTCGTCGCGCACGGTCCGAGGCGAAGCGGCACAAGAAGCACGTCGCTGTCAACGCGCCAGAGCCACGTGGGCTGGTTGCCACACCACCAGCGCAGTGGCTCCATCATGCAAGATACCGGCAAAGTGCAAACCTCTTTAGTCGCATACGCGATCCATATCCATTTTCAAAGGTTCTTATTGACACGCAAAATTTCTTATTCCTCGCCACGGCGTCCATGGACGAGCCGCCACCAGCGACGACAGAGACCCGCCCAGAGGTCGCGCAGAACTTGTGGTGCGGCTACCGCCAGCGCGGTGCTAATGATCCAATTGCCGCCGCCGCAGGCCAACAACGTGGCGATAACGAGGCGGAAGAACGCTGTATCGTGGGCGTGACGCAGGCGCGTCTTGAGCGCGGCATTGCGAGTTGCGAGCGCGTGGACCTGCGTCGTCATCGCTTGCAAGGCCTTGATATGCGCGGTGTTCTGGGTGACGCGGGCCTTGGCGGTGGCGATGGCCGTCGCTGCTACGGCCATGTCCTTGCGCGCCAAATCGGCCGCGGCGCGTTTTTGAGAAAATGCAAGCGACGCGACGAGCGCCGCCATTGTCATTTGGGAGTCGCAGACGAGATCTTCATGCTCTGAGCGGTCGTGGGTGCAGCTTTGGTGGCCCACTGGCCCCTCGGTGGCGAAGAGCGCGTCGGCCGCGTCATCTTCGGCAATGACAGCGCGGCGGTGGCGTTCGAGGAGCAACTCGAGCGCACGCATGATGTCGAGCATGCTGGAGATCGTGGCTGGAGACAGCATGTTGGATCAGACTGATGTTGGATCGATGCTGCGACTTGTAAAGTGCGCTACAGAAGGCTGCGATCCCCTGTAAAAGTCGCTTTTACACGTAAAGGGCAAATCAGGAGGGAGAAGGTGTAGTGGTACTAGTGTACTAGGAAAGGTTGCAAGGTGGCAGCTGAAGAGAAAGCACGATTGCATGCATCGCAGATACTACCAACGTACATTGCCTCGTTGGCGGCCGAGATCATCGACGACGAGATCGATCGGTGCGCTTGAAACCGGCTGCATCGCTCATCTATGCAAGGCCGGGGGCACATCTCGACGGACGATGGCGCAGAGCAGAACAAATGCTCGCTGGATCCACTATGGCTGACACCGCCGCCACGTCCCAGACGTTCTACCAGAGCAGACCCGCAGAGCGAGGTTGCATCCACGTGCTTGCGAGGCCACGTACAACGGGTCTGCTTGGCGATGTCACTGACGCTGCCGTCCGAAAAGCCTCACTTGGAGCGGTGCTCGCTGCTTGCGAACTTGCATCTGCACCTGCCGCAGCCACGGCTTGCAGTGCTCCTATAACTTTTCTTCGACACGTGCATCGTCGAATACCAATGTCCTTTATTGATTTAGGCTACTTACTCCAGCGTAAGCTCGAACTGCGTGCAATGGTTGTTCCATTGACAACTCATTACCTCGACTTTTCGACTTACCATTGGAAGACGAGTGCCGGTGCCCAGAGTACGCCATCGTGACAGCCATATCAAGGGCTGCGAGAGCGGCCAAGGAGGTGCAACAAGAGATGGCTTGCGTCCAGACGATCGATCCCACGCGGCTCATTCCACCAATACAACGAGGCATGTGTGCGTCCATCCCGATCGGCCTCACGCTGAGGATGCAGATACGGAGAGGGCCATCCCACGAGACGGTGTCGGCAACACAAAAAGCGTGAGATCCAGCCACGTACGTACAAGCAAGATCGAGGGGGAGATCGAGGAGGCACCAAGCAAGTACAGCCACAAGACCAAGTCGGGGACATGCAAGAAGGTTGCATCATTTACACCAGCCAAGCGAGTTAGCGCAGAGAGACTCGGATGCCAAAAGAAACAAGGTGCACAATCACCAGCGGTCGCGCGATCGGACGGCAGGCGATTGGTCCCGCCCGCGTGGCGAGACGGGTCGGCGCAGCGGCGACGCGACGCGAGGCGCGTAGTCATGGCTGCGCGCAACCACCTCGACGCGGCCCCGCGGCGACCGCGACCGCCGACGAGGAGACGGCTCGCGGTACCGCACGGGCGACGGTTCCCGACGGCGTGGCGATGGCTCGCGGTACCGTACCGGCGACAGCTCTCGGCGGCGGGGCGACGGCTCCCGACGACGGGGCGACAGCTCGCGGCGACGAGGCGACGGGGTCCGAGGACGGCGCGCCTCGTACGGGTCAGCGCGCGGGCGGCGGTCGTCGTAGGCGTCGAGGCGCGAGCGGCGATCATCGTACGCGTCGACACGAGGACGGCGATCGTCCGAGTACGCGTCATAGCGCGGACGTGGTTCGTCATACACGTCCGTCCGCGGACGACGGTCATCGTGCATGTCACTACGGGGACGGCGGTCGTCGTAGGCGTCGAGGCGCGAGCGGCGATCGTCGAGCGAATCGTGGCGGGGACGGCGGTCCTCGACCTCGTCGTAGCGCGGCCGACGGTCCTCGAGCGACCCGGCGCGCGGCCGGCGATCGTCGTACGCATCTTTCCGGGCATACCGGTCGTCGTCGTCGCGCCGGCGCTCGGACACACTCGTCGCGGCGGGCGGCGGGCGATTGTCAATCCCGCTACGCAATCTCCTTGTTCACATCCAATCGCGCAAGGGACCCTACCGGCGGTGGCTAAAGTCCGTGCGGAGCTCGCGGCCTTCAAAGACCAGGCGCTTCTCCATGGCCCGGTCGGCGCTCGTATCGTCCACAAAGTCGACAAAGGCCGAGATGCCCACGTTGCCGTTGCGCTGCGGCAGCACCTTGATCTGTTCGACTATTGCAGCAAACACGCAATCAGTCGTCCCGCCAATGCAAATGGCATCGTCTACCTCGGCCAAACTGCTCGAAAAAGTCGTGGAGCTTGTCGAGCGTCGTGTCGGGCACAATGTTGCCGACAAAGAGGCTGTTGCAACGCGTGCGGGGCAGCTCGCGCCGGCGGTCGTCGCCGCGGCTGCGGTCCGCGTTGGTGTGGGCGCGCGAGAGCTTCATGTCCTTCCCAAAGAGCGTGTGCATGTGGAGCGTGCGAATGGCTTCGTCGGCGTCGGCGTCGTTGGCAAACTCGACAAACGCAAAGCCGAGCTTGATGACGACCGAGAGGACTTTGCCGCACTACGCACATAGCCGCGTCAACCTCACCTCTTCATGGTGCATGCTGCATGTACCTTCTCGAAGAGCGCGCGGAGGTCGGCTTCCCGCGCCTCGTTGCTGTTGAGGTTCCCGACGAAGATCTTAGCCATCGGCGTCCACTTTGCGAATGACCACGCACCGTTTTTCGAACGACCTCATGGTTTCGATAATATTAAATCGAGCATCTCGAGGTTTTATTCTTGACGTATACAAAACCATCGTTATAAAAACAATACCACACGCAAACCGCTGTCTTTATTACGACGGCCGTGGCGTTGGCACCACTCAATCCAAGTATACTATACCCAAGCCAAGTGGTTTGGGCGATGGTGCACGGAAATAGTGTCATCGGAGAATGGCGATCTTGCAGTTGAAGCGGTTGAAGCCACAACCTGTCGTCGAACGATACGTTCTCGTCTTATGGTGCACAGATAGCGTCTAGCCAGGTGCAGAATATTGTCTTATAATAAATGGCTCGTCGCCAGAAAATGGACAGCTTGTCGTTGTCTCGTAGCGGGCCAATGGGTAATGAATGATGCGACGCCATTCTGGAAGGGATTCGTCAAGACGTTCGCTCGATCGCCGAGTTTCTCCACCTTGTTGAACGAAAACGATCAAGAGTCCGTTATGCACATACAATGTAGCCACGAGGGCACTACTCGACGCTATTTGTAACTCGAATAAACGCATTTCGGCAGTACGTTCTCGACGCTCCTAGGCCATGAACGCTGGCGCCGACGGGGCCATCGGATCGGTAGGCACCTTCACAACTGGTACTGCAAATGGAACCGCGTGGTAAAAGTAACACGTGTCCTTGGCGCGGCCGTCCGAGAAGATGCTCGTCGCTTGGCCAATCGAGCCGTACAAGTGCCACCCACGTTCCTCGAGCGTGGCAAAGAGGTGGAGTAGGAAGATGCGTGCGTCGTCGCTGTCGTCGTCGTTCATGTTGTGCATGACGTTGAAGGCCCATGGACACTCTCGAAACTTGAACTCGGCGCAGCCCGGCACGACGTCGAGCGTCTTGCGATGCAGCCCTGGCGGCCAGTGGCGCGCAATGAGCTGCTCGACCACGGGTTCAAGCTCGGCTGGTGCGCGCAGCAAGCGCAGAAGGTCGCTCGCGTTGGTCGAGATCGCAAACATCGCCGGCGACTCCTCGAGGAGGCCATGGCGGAAGACGAGCGTATCACGTGCGCGCTCCGAGTTGGCGACGTCGCTGGACGAGTGGAGGGTGTAGCCGTGGCGCTTGAGCTCCGTGAGGATCTCGAGCATAAGGAAGCGCGCGTGCATGGCATCATGGCCCTTGGGCGCCCACGGGGTCCCGCCGAGCTTGATCTCATAGCAGCGCGGGTGGGCCTTGCCGGCTGAGATGCCGTCAGGCCATGCGCGCAGGATCGCTTGGCTGATCCAGTCGTTGGCCTGTGGTGGAAAGCCGACGAGGCGCAGTTGGTCGAAGCGCATGAGCGCAAGGCAGGCAAAAGTCGTCATGATGTTGAAAGTTGGAAAATGGCCTTCAATTCCAACGACAACGATTTATCAAAAAGGCAAAAACAACTAGAGTTGAAGTCGCGCTCTACGTAGTAGCCGGACATGTAAAAGTCAAGATCCGCCCAGTATCTTGGGTGGATCATGCTGGAGAACGATGCACTATGGCACTGGTCCTGTCCACGTATATTACAAGTCAATTTCCAACGAGTACTGCAGTGTCCTACAGGAGGCTGGCACGCAAGTGCTATCATGGACGTTAGACAGCTCAGCTCCCTTGACATGCTGGCTTACACCCGGGTCTTCGGGGTAGCGAGAAACCTGTTTAATAGAAAGCGCCATGAGTACAATCAACCATACATGCATCCGCGTAGACTCCGGCACATTGAAATATTTTGAGGCGAAGTTTCACGGCCTTGTTGCAGCGTCGTCATGAGGTTCATCATGAGATTGGGCTAAAGTGACGTGAATTTAGACAGCGCGATGTGAGAGATGTCCACCAGCGATACAGTGCCCAGCCTCTCGATATATATACATCGTTACTGAAAAGCGTCGACGTACTCAAGCCAGCGAAGGCTTGTGAAAGCATGCGAGTAGGGCGACAGGTCGATGCGGATGTGCCAGAAAGCGTGTTCATGCGTGCATCACCGTACGGAGAAGGTTGCGTGGTTTCAGACAGTCGAATATCCGCTTAAAACACATACTTTCACGACCTATCGATTCTCCAAGGCTTATCCGGTGCGTGGCCCCAAATTGCGTGGAAGACAAACACACCAGCATGGCGTCGATGGCATCGCAGGGACGACGCGGCAACGTACGTGGCCTCTGGACGACGCGGTTGCTCGTAGCTCATGAGACTGTGTAGGCGCGCCTCCCGCCGGAGGTCAACCGCGTTCTCTACGTGCGCAACCTCCCGTTCAAGATCTCGAGCGACGAGATGTACGATATCTTTGGCAAGTACGGCGCGATCCGCCAGATTCGCCTCGGTACGCAGCACCGCCCATCCTCGCTGCGTAGGCGCTAACGCGGCTATGGCTAGGCGTCAATGCGGACACGCGCGGGACGGCCTTTGTCGTGTACGAAGATATTTATGACGCCAAGAACGCGGTACGGTGCACGCCGCATCCTCGTCTCGCGAATGCTCATGGCATGCGTAGGTCGACCATTTGTCGGGCTTCAACGTCTGCGGCCGCTACCTCGTCGTGCTCTACTACCAGGCGAACCGCGTCAGCAAGAAGATGGACGTCCAGGCCAAGCAGCAGGAGCTCGCGGAGCTCAAGGCGCGTTATGGCGTGTAATGAGGATCCGATGCATTGATTTCGAATGTGTGTTATGTGGCGCTACCCTCAACAGCACGCATGGCTTCGAGGAGACCTTCCGGCGTTGGGGCCACGGCAATGGCGTCGGCGCTCCATGTTTCGTCGCTCGTTTCGTGGGCGACCTTGGCCAGCGCCGCCGCCGTTGTCTTGCCTAGCAATCCGATTGCATGGGCATCGGCAGAGTTGACAGTACATACCAATCGCCGCCTTCTTGATGCGCGCCCAGTCGACGTTGGGCATCGCGCGGGCCGTGTGCACACCGCTCGGACTAAAGAAGACGACCCACGCCGGCGTCGCGGCCTGCAAAGCAAAGTAGTCGATCGTCGAGACGGACGCAGAGACGTAGACGATGAGCTCTTCGAGGATCCGGTTGCGGGCCCGAAAGCTCGTGGGCAGCGCATCATGGTGCTTCTCGCCACAGAGAAAGAGCGTTGGCTTGGTCGATGTCGGGTCCTGCACCGACGCAATGTGCGCGGCAAGGACGTCGCCCGAGCCCGACGCCTCGCCGCTGCAGTTCACGCCCAAGGCGGTGAGCGGCGCCGACGTCTTCTGCCCCACGGAGAAGACGGGCAGCGTCTGGAGCTGCGCGAGCACGTGCGCTCGCTCAGCGTCGTCCATGGCCATCAAGGCTTCGACGATGGCCTCGGACGAGCGCGGGCTCGTGATGATAAGGCCGTCGTACAACGCGAGTGACCGCAGGCGCTGCCATCAAGAGCCATCATCCTCTCGTACTACCTGCTTGCTCGTGGGTACGTACCTCGCGCAGGACGTCGCGGTTGCGCGCCTCGAACGTCAGCACGTCGGAGAAGGCGGCGGCGAACCCCGCGGCCGCAAAGGTCGTCGTGTACTTGGCGTCCGCAGACTTGAGCAAGAGCGCGATGGGGGCCATGACTCCAAGTGGATGTCAATTTGTATCTAGGTTATTAGATGCGGCATTTGCCACGCCGCTTTGGCCATCATGCCGAAAATAAATCAGGAGGCTGGGACGCTGCCACGTGATCGCCGCAACGCTTCCTGCTGCTGGACGATCGACTAGCGCTCTGCACGCCTGCTACCGCCACTGTCCTCATCTCTATCGAGTGTTTCTTCTAGCCGAGCTTACGAGGCTGGCACCAAGGGCAGATGCAGTGCACTGGTTGGTGTGTGCTTGTATGGATGGCTGAAGACTATGCTTGGGCCGCAGAAGAATGAATCACTCGACTTGTACGTGGAGGCTGGATGACGTCGCCGTCGTCGTCGCGTTCGATCGCTTGCCCACCCGTCGTCGCACCGCTACGCGAGTGCTGTCGCGGCTTCTACTGGCTGCATCGTGGCTGCCGTCAATCGTCCCGCACTGATATGCATTACGTTGGCATGGCGCAGCCTCCCGCTGCTGTCAAGAGGGAGGAAGACAATGGGATGATTCAGTGCTGCGTGCGTAGAATTCAAAGCAATCAATAGTTAATAGGAGGGCAACTAGAGCGTTAATGACCGGCGGTCGTTGAGGCTCGACGTCGCGCTGCTCGCAAACGAGTCTTCTCGCACCGAGCTCGTAAACGATTCGTTCGAGAACGAGTCCTTCCAGAGCACGTTGTCGGTCGTCGGCCGCTCCGACATCATGAGGTCGTCCGTGCGACCAGTCTCCATCGCGCTCATCCAAAGCGCCGTGCTGTGCGGATCGCCCGTCGACTCGGAGATCTGATCGCTGTACGTGCCAAACTGCGCCGGCGACGGCTGCACGTGCGCGTCCCCGTAGACAAAGCCGGGTGGCGACTCATGTCGGGCCTGGAACTGCTGCTGCTGCATGTGTTGCTGCGCATACGCGTTGGGCGAGTAGAGCGGGGCTTGCGACTGCATGAGGCGGTTCGTGTCCATGGCCATCATCTGCCGCGAGTCCAGCGCGCTGTGCTGGGGCGACGTCACGCGCTGGGGTGGCGGCTGGATGTACGTGAGCTTGAGCGGCGAGATGATGTCTTCCTCCATGTACTTGGTCTTCTTCCGGAGCACGACGCAGACGATAAAGACACCAGCGATGGCCGCGACCGCCACTATGCCCACGATCACGAGGATCGTCGTCGTCTTGGAGTCGTCCGCGTTGGCAGCACCGTTGTTGGCGCTCGCCGTATCGGGCGACGACGTCGGCTTCTTGGTCGTCTTGGTCGGCGTCGGCGTCACGGTCTCCGTCATCGGCGCTTGCGTCGGTGCATCCGTCACTGGCTGCGGTGCAGCGGTTGGTGCAGGCGCGACCGTAGTTAACTGCACGAATGTCGTCGGCGGTGCCGTCGTCTTGGGCGCGACCGTAACAGGCGCTGCCGTGGTCTTCGGAACCGATGTGGTGGTGGGTGCAACGGTCGTAGGCGCGATGGTCGTCGGAGCGATGGTCGGGGCGTCGGTGGGCGCGGGCGTCGGTGCAGGCGTCGGTGCCGGCGTCGGTGCGAGTGTCGGTGCGAGTGTCGGTGCGCGCGTCGGCGCCAGTGTCGGTCGGACCGTCGGTGCCAACGTCGTCGGCGCCATCGTGGGCGCCAGCGTCGGCGCCGTTGTCACATCGGACGGCGCCGGGACCGACGTCGCGTTCTCAGCGATGGCGACCGCCGCAAGAAGCGCAGCGACGACGTGCAGCAGTCGGCGGCTCATTGGACCTCAGGAGATGAAAAGTGGAAATGAGCAGCTTCCGGGAAGGTGCATATGGAGCTCGTGTGACACGGCAAACGAACCCAACGACAGGGGGGGTACCCTATAAAAAGAAAATGTCGAAGGTCCCATCACCTAACTGGAGCTCCTCTCGACTGACGTGGAGAGTTTGATCAGATCGCGATGCATAACGACTCGTCTGGCGACCGCGGGCATCGCATCCGACGTCGTCTCCGCCAATAATGCCAAAGCCATCACCGCTCCCAACCGACTCGTCGTCAGCACACCTTAGGGGGGCCATCGCCACAGCGATTTGTCTCTGGTGTCGAGACGATGTGCAGCACGTACATCCACGACACCTACTGGGACCGACCAGCCTCGCACGACAACTTGTGTAGTATACCGTACTGGGAGCGCCGAGATGCACCTCTCGGAAGCTACTTTGAATGATCGGGTTCGATCGCGCGCTTTTTATCAGGGCCCACCCCCTTTATATAGGGTACCTTGTAACGGAAGGATTCGAGGAGCAATGTCGTAACACGGCGACGCCGCTGCCTCCTGGCATCGACGAACGCAGTTGGTGCCTGTTCGTTGGCGTTGCATCGAGCGATGAGCGGCACATGGCCGTTGATGCTGTGACGACGATGGCGCACCGCTGTCGCACGTCAACCCACTGCCCCTCGAAACGAGGAATTCGCTGTGGAGCAAAGGAGGCCACGGCGGCTCGGAAATCGGTCTTGGCGCGTCATCGGTGTAGACTGCAGTTGTGGACGGGTCGAAGGACCGGCCCTCGCAGGACACTGCGCCTTTCTTCGGGCCAGCAGCAAGTGTCGACGTTGTTTCTTCCTCATGGCTGTCGCCCATGATTTCATGAGTCGTCGTCCTGCAGACTTGGCCTTGGAGTCTCGTCGGCGGTATCAGGCAGCGGTGGCAACACGTTCTAGTATCATCCTCGAAGCGGCGTCATGATTATGCTCCGGAACCGTGACGCCAGGCGAGAGACCATCAAGGACGTCTCTCAAAAACTCTGTATGGCACCAGCTTATGGCGCCACAAGCGCTACGACGGTGTCGCATCGCTGCAGCCGAAGGATGATGCGTAGGATGATGCAGTCAGTGGCCGATGAAGCCAACCATGCAGCACGGTACGATGACAGGGTGTGGCCAACAAGGACTCTCGTGGCGTGCGATACTGCGAAGTCTACCAACACAGCCACGCACATGACTATAGGGCTCGGGCCTGTCCCGATTGTCAACCCTGTCTTTGACGCTCCTACGCGCTCGTCGACGGCGACATGCCTGGGTTCGATGCTGCATCCACGTCGTCCATGGCCTCATCCTGGCTATGGCGCAAGACTGCACAAAGCATCATTCCGTTCATTTGGACACATGGAGGCTCGCGGCGCTGCTGGCTTAGTGCTGGGCCTTCTTGGCGTTCTTCTCAATGTTCTGCAAATACTACGCAACGCAAGCCGTTAGCCTTCGATCCAGGCGTCATACAGGATACGTACTTGGAGGCCTTCGCGGCGCGAGTTCCACTCGGCGAGCGGGCCTGTGGTGACGGCGACGCCCGCGACGACGAGGCCACCGACAGTGATCAGCTTGGTAAAGGTCTTCATCGCACTCGCGTCTTTATCGGTTTGCCACCACAAAATTCCGCCCAAACCGATTGGTGCTTCTAGTTGTTCTTCAATCGAGGCTTCTTTTGGCCAATCCAAACCTTTAGCCTCTTTTACGCCCGAAACGCTTTTTAAAAAACGAGACGTTGTACACGTATCCCGCTGGTTTAGCGATACTCTCGGCGCCGTGCTGCTGCGTCTTTGAGGCTGTGCCACAGCATCCTACGTCTAGTCCATAGCACCCTTCGATCCCTGGCCCATCGATCGTAGTCGGTCTCGTTGCATAGGACCAGGTGGGTTAAAGTCCCAAAAAACGTTCTCTTTAACGCATTTGGGCATGGTCAAAATCAAGTTGCACCATTCGAAGCTACACGATGCTGAAGCAACTGCGCCGAGGGCTCCTGCCGGGCCGCCGCCACGTCTTCGCCCATGGCGAGCGGTCCATCTCGGGTCTGCGAGTGCTCTTCTTTGGCACGGACAACGTGTCGCTACCGACGCTTGAGCTGCTGCATGCGCACATGTCGTCGTCATCCTCGTCCATGCCGTGAAGGCTCATGGCACGCACGCGTAGGCAGTCGACGAGTGATGCGCCGCCGCTCGTGCGCGAGATCGAGGTACGCAGCTTTCTCATAGAGCTCGATGCAACGGATGCAGGTCATCTGCCCACCGGACCGCAAGATGGCGCGGAAGCGAACGAAAGCGCCCGTGCCCGTCAAGCAGTTTGCACTTGAAAACAACTTGGCCGTGCACCACATTCCCGACGGCGTGTACGCCTACCCTCTCGCTCGATGCTCGATGACACGTCGCGCATCGATAGGAAGAGCTTGAAGGACTGGACGATGCCGGTGACCAAGGACTTTGACGTTGGCGTCGTCGTCTCGTTCGGTTACTTTCTCGTACTATGATGTCGCCGCTGTGGAAGCGAAGCTACAATTTGTTTGTAGCATCCGCACATGCTCGAGCACGTCAAGCACGGCGCCATCAACATGCACCCGTCGCTGTTGCCCAAGGTCTTTTCCGTCATGTCGCCATCGTATTGATACATTGTTGATAGTATCGCGGCCCGGCGCCGATTCCGCGCACGCTCTGGCATGGCGACGCGGTCACAGGCGTCTCGGTCATCGAGATCGATCCCACGTCTCTCGACGCACCTCCAGCGTCGCGTTGCTCACATCATCCTACTGTGCTAGGGCCTTTGACGTTGGACGCATTCTGGACCAAACCACCATGGACGTTCCGCCAGCGTCGACCTTCCACAGGTACTAGTAGTACTTTTCTCTCTTAGAGTCGAAACGATGTGGTGTCGTCTTGTCTAGCCTATCGGACGTCTTGGCGCGGGCGGGTGCACAGCGCGTCATCGCAACCCTCCGTGACTTGCCGGCCAAGAAGGCGTCGGCCATCGTGCAGGACGAAGCGCTGGCGACAAAAGCACCCAAAATGAAGCGCGAGGTGCATTCACTCGAATGCGACGCTTGGCTATACGCGATGTACGTAGCACGGGCTTGTGGCGTGGACCGAGACGGCGCAGCGGCTCTACTGCGTACGTCTTCTACCATTCCGATTGGCAGAGTTGCGACTCGGTCGACTAGATGTGGCAGGCGGTCGGCGAGACCTTTGGCGTCCTCGCGTCGTTCCAAGGCGTGCCCGTCAAGCTGCTCGAGATGCGTCTGCCGACTCTGGACGACCGGGCGTCCCGTAATACCATTCTTCAACTTGTACTATCGCAGCGGTACGGACTACAAATCTTTGGTTAGTTGCTGCGGTCGAGACGTTTTCGTTGCCGACGGGGGCGTGCTACTTTGACAAAGGTCTCCAGGCGCTCGTCGTCAAGTGCGTCGACGACGTGGTCCTTGTGACCAAGCTCCAGGCCGAGAACCGCAACCCGGGCCGCGCGATCGATTTCGCCAACGGGCACCGCATGAAGCCGCGCGCGGTGCATAGCTTTGACCTGCCCTAGTCTCGGTGCTGCTTGCCTCTCAAGATGACACCACCAACCTCCCATGTGATCATATATCAACACACACACACACAGATTCTTGTTGCGTTACATGATGCCGCAGCTCGACGGAATGATGTTGTCGCTCTCAATGAGGAGCCGCTCGACGCTGGCTTCGTGCACGTAGCAAAGCGCCTTGAGCGCCTTCTCGAGCGCCACGACGTACACGTGGTCCGATCGGCGGTACGAACGCACGCGGCCCTTCCCAAACGGCGTGCCCACCCAGTCGCCAATCACCGCTTTCATCTCGCCATAGACGTCCTTCGCCTGCACGTAGCCGTGGGTGCCGTCGCGCCACGAGATGACGTGGACGCCGTCGCTCGACCGGACGCCAAAGAGCACGCCAGGCCCAAACACCGTGCTCACGGGCAGCCCAATGCGCCCGTGCACGGGAAAGTGCACGCTCGGGTCAGCGTCGCTGGCCACGAACGCACTGCCGTCGCCGTCCACTTGCACCGAGTCGGACGCGCGCGCGAGCTTGAACGCATCCTTGCGGGCGTCGGTGGTCGGCGCCTCGACGTCTGGCTCCGACTCGTAGTAGCGCCGGAAGAACGTCAGCGTGTCGATGAGACTGTACTTGCGCGTGTTGGCTTCGCGCTCCGTGAGATACGGCGTCTGAACAAACGCTTGGACGCCGCTCATGGCCGGGTCGCTCAAGGTGACGCGCAGGACGCCATCGCAGTGCGGCGCGGCGACACGGCCGGGGCCAAACGGGGTCTCGACCGGTGCATCGGCCTTGAGATCCAACGCCGGCGGGTCGAGGCACGGGGCCGCCGTCGTCGAGAGCGCTGGTGACGCTTTCGGCTTGACAAAGGTCGAGAAGCGGTCAAAGAGGCCGATGCTGGACGACGGCGCCTTGGTCTTCTGGACGCATGACGCCTGAAAGTAGCCAAGCACGCCGTGGGCGAAGCGCAGTTCGTACGTCGCGTCGCGCGACCGGTACCGCAGCACGGACGCCGGCCCAAAAAAGGTCGTGACCGCCGTGTGCTTGGGAAAAACCGGCTTGTCCTTGGTCGCACTCGCAAACGAGAGGAGCGAGAAGAGACCCGACGACCGCGGCGGCGCCGAGACGACGGTCGAGAGCGCGTCTTCTTGCACCGAGACGACCGTGTCGCGCAGCGCGGCCGCGTCGAGGCGCACCGAGTAGACGTGGTGCGGCAACGACGATAGCACAACCGCTTGGCCAAACGGCGTGTGCACGCGCGAGCCTTTGGGGTAGCGCGGCGGCGGCTTGTGGCCAAACTGGCGCTGGAACGCTTTCGTGAAGAACTCGAGCGACGAGCGGACAAAGCCCGTGGCCGGTAGCGGCGGCTCGACGTCCGAGATTTGCGATATCGTCGACGGGTGGCAGTAGGCGTGGGCCACGCCGTGCTTGAAGAGATGGACTTCGTAAATGTCGTCGGGCCGGTACCGGACCACGCGACCGGGCCCAAACGTCGTCTGCACCGACGTGTCGGGCGGAAAGACGCCTTGCAGCAGCAGAAGCGGGTCCATGACCGTCACAAAGTTGGTCTTGACAAACGCGAGGGGGTTCCCGCTTGGGTTGCTCGGCTTGGCCGCCGACGACGAGAAATCATTGTGGCCCTTTGTGACCTTGGTGGTCGAGAGCGACGCCTCTGGAAGGTACACGCGCGCCGTGTCTTTGGTCTTGAGCCACCACTCGGTCAAGTTCACCGTGTACATGCCCGTAATGCCGTCGTACGACAGGATCGACCCCTTCCCAAACGGCGTGTAGAGCACCGTGTTGAGGCCAAAGCGCTGGGGCTTCTCGATGAGTGGGACGCGCGGGGTGCCAAGGAGCTCGTTGGCGAGCGAGAGGTCGTAGTTGATCTTCTCTCGCTGCGCGTCCCGGGCCGCCGACGTCTTGAACGCGATGGCGACAAAGCCGGCGCGGGCGTCGTCGCAGATTTGCCGCAGCCCACCGATCGAGATTTGCTCGAGGCGGCACGCGTGGACGGCCGCGCCAACGTACGTGTCAAAGAAGATGATGTTGAGCTTCTTGTACGTGGCCTTGTCGACAAACCCAAACGTGCGCTCGATGGGCTGGACCAGGTGAAAGTACGCGGCTTCGAGCACGGACGGCCCAAACTTTTCCGCAATCAGCTGCGCCGCGCGCACGTCGCCTTGGCCATTGTCGCCGATAAAGACGTGCTTGTACTCGGGGTAGATCGAGTAGTACTCGCAAAAGTTCTCAAACTTCTTCTGCGCCATCGGCTCGAGGTCGCCCTTGACCATGAAGTCGTACCCAGACGTCATCGAGCCCGCGAGCATCGACGGCAGCGTGTGCATGCCGTAGTGGTCGTAAAAGCCCTTGAACTTCTCGTACGACTTTTTTCCGACACGTCCTTGTAGACGTGCGGGCGCGCCGAGAGGAACGCGAGGTTGCCGACGCGGCCTTGCTCCCAGTGCACCGGGCCGCTCTGCCCGAGGTCGAGCTGCCGGTAGAACGCGAGCACGCCGGGGTACATGGCGTGGCGCGGGTACCGCGTGTCCATGCCCGCGGGGAAGAAGCCGCCGGACGAGTAGAGCGTGTCGTCCACGTCGCTGAGGACCTTGCGCCACGCGTGCTGCTTGCGCTTCGAGCCAATGTTCTTGGTGCTGAGCGTCATGTGCGCGCGCTGGATGTTGGCCTGGTTCTTGATGTGGTTGAGGATCGCGGTCCGGATCGCAATGTCGCGGATGTCGTGGTAGATGAGTTTGTGCATGCTGTGGACGCTGCCCTTGGAGTCCGTTGTCGACTTGAGCTACGAGCAATGGAAGATGGTGAGAAGAGATGCGGAGGAGAGGCGAGGCGTACGATCGAGAGGTCGTCGCCGTTGGTCCGCGTGATGATGTTGCGCACGAAGCGCTCGCACTTTTCGTGGGCGCTGATGCGCATGAGCATGAGTGCGTCGAGGACAATGGCGCGGGACTGGATCGAGAGGTCGATGAGGCGGCTCTCGCAGAGGAGCTGGAGCAGCAGCGTGCGGTTGGCGTCCTTGACCTTGTAAAAGAGCAGCGCGAGCGGGATGCGGCCGAGGATATAATTTAGTTCGTCCTTCTCGGCGCGCTCGAGGATCGTGTACGTCTTGTACTCCTACGTTGGATGAGATTCGTCTCTCGGTGGAAGAGGTCGCGTACCTGCTCCTTGACGTGCTCCATGTTGATCATGTTGTTGATCGTCGAGGGTAAATAAATACGGTCAATCATCTCGATGCAGTGCATGATGATGTCGACCTTGGCCTGCGCGGGCGAGACGTTGACGCGCAAGAGCGGCGGCGTGCTAAGGCGGCTCAGCTCCGAGAGCGCTTTCCGGTGCACGTGGCGGTCGAGGAACTGGACGCCGAGCGTGAAGGCAATGACGATGACGCCGCCGAGCGATGGACTCCAGCGGCCGATCGAGAACGGCGAGTCCTGGATGTAGACGAGCGCGGTGCTGAAGAGGAAGGCCATGACGGTCCAGAACCGGTTCTCAAACTCTTGTGCGTTGTGCCATGCCCACTTCGACTCGGTGCTGAGGTAGAGGCCAATGACGTAGAGGAAGCCGACGATCGACGCGCAGAGCACGGGTGCGTACGCAAAGAAGGCGAGGAAGACAAACGCCCAGAACATGGTCAGCAGCAGCATGAGCACGAGCACGATCGGGCCCATGTTGGCCTGGTTGCGCATGGTTCGAGAGGTCGAGTATGTGAAGAGGCTGCTGTAAGGACGGGATGCAACGTCGAGGCTCGGCGCGCCGGGCAGATGGCGGCGAAGGCGACGGCGAGGAAGACAAGCAGCAGCGTCGCTGGACTGCGACGTGCTGGAATGGATCAAAACTGCAAACCATGCTCCGAGGCGTTTTTAAATCCACCCCATCGACGTGGGATCTGCATTTTTATAAACAGGCCAGGTGTTTTCAACCCTACGTGTTGCATATGGCATACAAATCTATAATCGAAACGCACGTTTCTGTTTTAAACACAATGCATATTTGAAAGCCTGAATCTGCTTTTTATTCCCTGGCAAGATCACTTGATGTTTGTATGCCCCTCGAGTCCACGAGATATGCGAGATGGCCTACGGATAGGGTTGAATCTCGCAGCATTTTGGCCAATGAGCGCGCACCTCGGAGCCGGCGATACCTCTCGATACATGTGTTGTGACAGGGTATGCCTTCTGGCAGGACTGAGACGATTCAAGGCAAGCAGGCGCAGAGTGGCGCCATGCCAGTTGGGCCAAGATATAAGATGTGAGAGGCTGATGTCACGGCGCGCCGCGAGATGATGAAGCGGGAAGAGCCAGCGTGTTGATGTCAACAGGTGGAGGCTGTTGATGCAACAGTACAGACGCCCTCGGGAGACCACGGTGTTGCGAAATGCGGCCATTTCGTGCCCAGCTGCGTACCTGCCATTGGACCAGCGAGCGTCGTGCTGGACGAACGGCCACGAAGGCTCGCGGCGCAGCACATGGCGCAGAGAACCTTCGCGCCGAACGTTCCGCGCCCGTCACCCAACTCGAGACTATGACGTGGCGGCGCGTGTTTGTCGACGTTGCAAAGGCTGCTGCCACTTGAAGCTGCGGTGATGACGCAGGCGATTTGCAGGCCACGCAATCTGTCGTGTTCTCGCGCGTCCCCTCCAATCTTTATTGTTTCGCGTTATCCAACTCCGATGACGACCAACGAATGAGTGCGTCGACACGGACGGAGCGGCGTCATCGGCTACACGCCGAGCTCGTCGACAAACCGCGTGCTCGTCGGCGTCTTGCCCACGATCGACGTGAGCATCGCAAGCGGCTCCTTGGCGCCGCCGTGGCGAAAGAGCTCCTCGTACACGAGCCGGCCGGACGCGGGTCGCCATGGATCCTCGGCAAAGCACGCGCCCCAGATCTCGGCCGCAAAGACACGGGCGTATAAATAGCTGTAGTAGCCCGCGCCGTACCCGACCTACATGTAGACATGCCAATAAGAACCGAGTCGCCTGCATGGATACAAACCAAATGCCCAAAGCGCGTGTGCCAGTGCGTCCCGTCGACGTATGGCACGAGCGTTGCCTTGTTCTGGAGCTCTTGCAGCGCCTGCGTCGTCGTCGGCGGCGAGAACGGCAGCGGTTGGTCCCGAAACAGCGTCAAATCCAGAAGCGAGTAGAGACATTGCGTCTGCGTCCATAGTCCTGTCGTGAGCCACCGAGGCGTAATGCTGTATTCTACCTGCGTCTCCATCGCGCTAAACATGTGCTTGGACGCCTTGAGGTTGGCCAGCATCGACGCTGGAATCGGGCGATGCGTCTCGTAGTGCTTCGCAAACGTCTGCACGACGCGCTCGTCCCACGCAAAGTACTCGAACAAGTGGCTCGGCGTCTCGACAAAGTCGAGCTGCCCGCGCGTGCCGCTGAGGTGCTGGAACTCGGTGCGACTCAAGAGCGAGTGCAGCGCGTGGCCAAACTCGTGGAAGAGCGTCTCGACCTCGCCGTGCCTACGCCATGCTCGATCGGTTTTTGCTCAGACACGCGAGAAGGGTACGTGAGGAGCGACGGCGTCGAGGCACTTGGTGGGCTAAAGTTGCAGACGAGCGCGACGATCGGTGTCTGGTACGACCCGTCCTCGAGGCGCTTGCCGCACCGAACGGTAAAGTGGGCGGCGTGGTGGTACTTGTGCGGTCGCGGGAAGAGGTCCAGGTAGAGGACACCGAGGTCGACGCCGTCTTTGGTCAGTCGGAGCTTGCGCACGTCGTTGTGCCAGCTCTCGGGGGCCGACGATGCTTCCGGCGTCATGTCGACGCCAAAGAGCTCGCTGCAAAGGAGCCCGAGGCCCTCGAGGCAGCGCTCGAGCGGAAAGTACGATGCAATCACGCGCGCGTCGAGGTCGAACGCCTGCGCCTTGAGCATGCCCATGTAGTACGGCGTGTCCCAGCTCTCGAGCGGCAATGGCGCCGGAAAGAAGCCCTTCCCTTCGGCCTTCGTCTTGGCGTCGACAAGCAGCGCGCGCTCAGACGCCGCCTAGCGTCACGGTGAGGAAGCTGAGAACACTGAGGAGAGTGCATACCTTGATCATGAGGTTGGACGCAATGTCGCGGAGGAAGGCGTCGACGCGGGATGGCGATCCGACCATCTTGTCACTACAAGTGATTCGATCGTCCGGTCAACGAGATAGCGATGCAGAAAGCACTACCTCGTCGCGAGATGCGCGTACGTTGGGAAACCGAGCAGCGTCGCGAGTGCATGGCGCGCCGCAATCAGGTCGTCCAAAACCTGCACGCTGCATGGTCGAGGATATGTACACAGCACGCGAAGACGTCTACCTGCAGGTTGACGCTGGCGCACGCGTTGCCAGCAATGTACATTTGCTTGCGCACATTGGGATCCGGAATCCACTTGAGAATGCTGTTGGTCATGGGCACCGTCGTCGGGATCGCCGTCATGCCGTTGGCGCTGGCGTGGCACTGCCGAAGGAGCCCCGTCGGCAGCATCCGCAGCGCCTTGGTCGGAACCTGCGATCGCCATGCTCATGCGTTGTTTTCTGTCGCAATCGAGAGATACCTCAATGAACGAGTGCACCGAGTGAATGTTGTCTTGGAACTGCATGCTCAAGCTACGGAACACGATGTCGTAGGAGGGATCGCAGCGTGTACGAATACCGTGTAATCTCGTTTGCAGCTCCATGACGCGGAACCGCCCAGCGTCGTCGAGGTGGATGCCATCGCGCTCAAACTCGGCCCGCAAAAGCATCCCCACGCGCTGCTGCTCCTCTACCATACATGGTCGATCGTAGTACGCCATGGCATTGAAGGTTCTCTACCTGTAAAGCCGGCCATGAGGCTGCGGTTGTCCGTGACGGCGCGAAGGCAGTTGTACATGTCGACGTCCGCGTTGAGCTCTTGGATGAACGACGAGAGGTGCTGGAACGACGCCGACGCGGCGGCGCGGAACCGGCTACGAGATGCGCATGAGGCGACTGCAAGCAAAGGCAAAGATACGCGTCAGGATGCACGTTGCGGCAGAGCTCGGCTGCGTCAATGACCCCACACACCGCGTTGGAGATCGCGTCGAGGTCTTGGATCGTGCGGAGGCTCGGCGGGCGCGACGTGAGGTCGGCCTTGAGGCGGCGGCACGTCTCGACGGCGTCGCGGCCGAGCCGGTCAAAGTCGCTCGGTTGCACGAGTCCTTGGAGGCCAAAGAGCCCTCTCGATGACCGGCGACCTCCAGGCGTGAGGTGCGAGAGCCACGAGAGGCGGCGCGCGCCACCGACCGCAGTACGCAGCATGATGGCGATCGAGTGGCAAATCCAAAATCATGTGTTTAGTTAGTAAATACTTTAGTCGAAATCGGTCGACTCGACGGTGGCGAGAACATCGAGGGCTTACTGTACTAGTGTAGTATTTCAGAGACAGAGAGCAGTGCGCGTGCTAGTGTCGTCGTCCTTGGTGTTTGAGTAGTTCTTACGATTCAAGCTGCCATACCGCTAACGAGCCAGAATGCAACAGTGTGTGAAGCGAGCGTGTCAAGATGCATCTGGCACCTAGTCGACCACCTTTTCTCCAGTCGGTGGATTCCTGCTTAACACGCAGGAGGTGCGGGGTTCGAGCCCCGTAGGTGTTGTCCCTTTCTTCTCTTTCCCATCGGTGTTGTCATCGGAACCATCAAGGCACATCTTGAAAGGGCGCACCGCCTGTAGTACTTGCTGTGTCGGCGTCGCAACGCTACCACCGACAATCCTACGGTAGACGATGCACGCGTCGGCAGCGTTCTCGAAGGGGTTCCTCTGGACACCGCTCGTCAGGCGTTGTGGTCTCGGCGTTGGGTATCTACGAGTTGCACTTAGCGCGGCGCGTCTCCGAAACTACCGCCAACTGGCCGGATAGGACAGGTCGGGCCAACGATGAACATGCGATGGCGACATGGGCGCAACAGGACGGCAAGACCGGCAGCGCGGTGATGACGAGCAGCTTCGCCAAGCTGGCGTACGAGACCAGGGCGTGAGCCCGCACGGAGCGACGACGAAGAGGCGCGCGAGGCCAGTTTGGCAGCTGGCATTTACGCGCCTCACTAAACGACACTTTTGCTTCACATCCGAGCAAAGACAGCTTCTTTGTCATTCATGTGCAGAGACAAGCGGTGCTATTTCGCAACCGATCGTTGCTGGCGGCGGCGCCAATGGAAGAGGAAGCTTCGCGCGTAGCGCAGCGACCGCGACGTCATTGGCAGCGCGTCGAGTCCGCCAGCGACAAAGAGGTCGGACACCATCGTGTACGTGAGGCCCCAGAGCACGAAGTCGTTGGCTTGTCGCGGCGTCGTCGCATCCACGACATCATCTTCCTCTGTCGGCCGCGGCAGGTAAATGCACGGGAACCCAATTGACTTGAAAAAGGTGCTCTCCTGGAGGCGGGCCTACGCTCCATCGCATTGTTGATGCAGGATGCGCAAGCCTCTCGTACCAGAAGCGACGGATAGGTCGTGAGCCATGGAAAGATCATCTCGACGGGGATCTCAAGCGACTGGATCGGCGCAGAAGCGAGGTACGCAACGTCGACCCAGACCGCGTCGGCGACTTCGGATGGCTCGAGCGTCATCTTGAACGGCGTTCGTCCGTCGTGCTGGAACACTACTCGCTCGTGAAGACGATGGCGATGAAGAAGAGCGCACCAAAGGAGGCGACGACGGTCGTGCCATAGTGCACGGGCCGGTCGTGGAGCTGGCCCACGAGGCGAAAGCCGTCGCGGTCGAGGTCGAGGCCAATCTCTTCGCGCGTCTCGCGGCTTGCGCTGTCGAGGTCCATTTCGCTCGGCTGCGTTCGGCCACCTGGAAAGGCAATGTGGCCGCTCCACGTATCGCTCGGGTTGACGCAGCGCCGGATGAAGAGGAGCTGGAGGCGCGGGTTTGGCCCGGGCGCGTGGCGGAAGAGTGCAGCGACGCTTGCTCGCTACTACAAGCTTAGCCTCTCAGAAGAAGAGTGATGGTACCTTGCGTGACGCGAGGTGCGTCGGCGAGAGCGCCTGGAGCGTCGCTTGCAGCCGCGGGAAGAACGCCGCGACGCGCATCACGCAATAAACATCCGGATGATCCCGTCAGCAACCGGACGCGGCCTGTCTCGCAAGCTTCACTTGGTTACCGGGTCTATAAGCTGTCTACAGATCCTTGGTGTAGCGTTGCACGAAGCGCCGTCTGTAGCTCGCCGCTGATGCCCTCAGTAGAGCAATGCTTCCATCGGGGATCGGCTCGCACGCTGGCCATCAGAGATCGGACACTTGGATTAGGTGCGCTTTCGCGCCTCCGAGGGCATGAGGTGCTCTTTCGATAAAAAGCACCTGAAACCGATCAAGCGCACCTACACCTCGATTTGCAGCTCATGGATCGATCGAGAACCGACGAGATCCTCGACGACGTCGCATGGGACCTCGACCTGCCAGCGCAGCCCAAGCGACAGCGCAAGCGCTACATCGACGAGATCACAGAGCTGCGCGCCAAGGTCGCCGACTACTCGGAGCAACTGGCTGCACTGACGCAGCGCCAAGAGATCGACATCATCTGCGCAACACCGTGGGAGAGCATCTCGCGGCGACAGGCCATGGAGCGGAGCGTCGCCGAGCAAGACAATGCGCGCTTGAAGGACGCGGTCCAAGAGCAGTTGGCCATGATCGAGGCCCTCTTGCGCATCGTGCAGAAGCGGCCGAAGCTCATGGACATCTCGTACCTCGAAGACTGGAAGCTGCAGCGCTTGCCGGCCGACCCGACCCAGCGTCGCTTGAGCTTCAACGCCATGCTTGACGCCGAGTACGACCGCCTTGAGAGCGTCTTCCTGGCCCAGCGCCTGCACGATGCCACCGAGTCGCGCACGCTCACGCACGTTGGCATCGACGACGACCAGCTCGTCCTGACGTGCACCATGGTGTACTCGATCCACGCTGCGATGGGTCGCGTCGCTAACGCGCTGTGGGCGACCTTTTCACAAGAAGAGCCCGTGGCGCTCGAGTCAGGCGCGCTCCTGGTAGCTATCTCGGTGACGCCAGAAGTCTTCATATCTTGCGTCGTTGTAGCCGCTATCGAGCGTCGACGAGGCCACGCGCTATACCAAGCTGTTTTTGCGATTTCCCGGCGACGTCGAGCTGCACGGCAACATGGCTTGCAAGCGCTACGACGAGTCAGCTGCGCGTATCGCGTTTACAATGCGCATCGTTCATAACGATGACGTGTACCCGTACCCACCGGAAGTCTACGTCCCCCAAGAGACGGGCTGGTACTTGATACCTTGAAAGATTCTTGTTATGCCGACGCAGATGCGATTAGGTTTGTCGTCGAGATGGTGGACAGTAACGAGAGCCGCATCAAGTACTTTAGCCGCGGCCACGTGCCTTGCAAGAGCCACCACGATGCGTCCCGCCAACGGAAGACCGACGACCTTAGCTTCGCGGCGCTGGCCGAGCTCGTGCTGGCTGGCTACCGCAGCAACATTCGAACGCTGCAAGCGATGATCAACCAACGGCTTTTCGAGCCGAGACTTTGATTTTCTGTGTAATTTTGAACTTCTAGCACGGATCCGTTGCTGGGTACGCGATCAAAGAGCAAGTTGCAGTGCGCGTCTCGCTTGCTACTGCCCTAGAGTCATGTCATCGGAATGGGAGCAACGGCGTTGAACGTGTTGACATGGAGGTATGACTCGATCGGTTTGGCGCATCGACAGCTTCTCTAAACCATCCCGGCGTCAACCGCCGTGGTCGCTGTCTGGTAGACCCTGCTCATCCTTGCGCGCTGTCTTCTCTGCTTGGCACTGCAGTACCTTCAAGCCCCAAGCCTCTGCACGACAAGGTCAACCATGCCCTCTCTATGCTCGTTGCGATGCGCTTGAAGAATCGTCCTGCTATGTTTCGCTGCTTCCAGGCGAACACAAGGACGTGGCTGGCTCCGCTGCTGTGCACAAGAAAGCGCCTCTCGTCGCCCACATCGTCTGGCGAGTTGGTTGACAAATGGAAGATCGGCACGCGCCGTGTGCCAGACACCAGCCGCGATGCGAGCATGGAAGCGATGGCGGAGGTCTTGCACGCGTCCTGTCCATGCGCCATGATCTCTTGCCTCTTGCCTCGTCCATGCAGCTGCAGTCATCTTGGGTCGTCGGAAGGATCGACCCCGGATTTCACGACCATCATTCAAGACCACCATTCTGCCGATTTCGGAAGCGGTTCGTGTCGAAAGCGGGGAATTTCCCACCGCCGACGATCTTGCTTCTTTTTCACGTCGTGGGTTTTTGTTTGGAGCTGGGCATCTTGTGGAAATGCCGTGGGAAACGACGTGAAGAACGTGAGCAATGCATTTTTCACATATAATTCGATCGAAGGACCCGTTTTTGGCACGAGCGCAAGCTTAGCGAACCGCCCATTCCGCAATTTGCCATGCACGTCTTCTCGTCGCTCCTGCCATCGTCCGAGCAGGCGACGATCGCCGCCGACGAAGTCTTCCTCCGCGGCCAGCTCCATGTACGTTCAGCACCTTCCTCCTCGTCATGCAGCCTCCTCACGCAGCCTCCTCGTCGGTAGAGCTTCCTCGGGCTTCTCCAGGCAAGGACCATGGCGCGATCGCGTTCCACCACTTTCGGACGCTCCAGACGTTCTTCAAGCGCAAATACACCTTGGAAGACCCCTCCATGACGATCGACCTCATCCACGCGCTCGTCGACTACGTCTTTACGACCCGCCCGCGCATCGAGTTGCAAGTCAAGGCCCTTGACGCGGCCGTGCTGCTCATCAAGAAGGCGCGCAAGCAATCGCTCCCGCTCGATGGGCCATCCAATTTACAGCTGCAGTGGGCAACCGCGCTGCAGGTATGGGACGCGACGTTCTACGCGACGCCGGGGCCGGTCCTGCCCGTGTCCAGCACGACACAAGGCACGTACAAGACAGCGCTCATCAAGTACCTCTCCAAGGCGAGGAAGAGCTACCCGAGCGATGCGACCCTCTGGACATTCGTCGCGCCACGCCTCGTCGAGACGGAGACCGAAGGCAGTCTCAAGGCCGCGGCGACGCTCTCGCTGCTCTGGAGTCCGTCCATGGAGGCGACGCCGCTGCTGTCGCAATGGGTTGCGGTCTGGGCGCGCATCAACACGCTGCAGGAGTGGGATTTGCACTGGCTGCGCCTTTTCTCGCGCGTGGCCAAGCATCAGCACGCGCGCGGAACGCTGGACGCGGCGGCATGGGCACCGCACTTGCCCTTCCTCTTTGCCAAGATCCAGCACTGTCTCTCGCTGCCGTCCGACATGGGGCCGTCCCCTGCGCGCAACAAGTGGCCCAAGAACCTCTCGGGGCTCCACGGCGAGAAGCACGCGCTCTACTACGCGTCCAAGCTCGTCGTCTACCTCCTCTCGTCTGCCTTGGACACGCAAGGCTTGCTCCTCCAGCTGCTCCACCTCCTCGAGCCGTTCTTCCACCCGTCGAGCGCTGGCAACGCCGCCAACGGCATCTCGGACCTCATGTACTACACGAGCGCGTTCCTCTGCCTTCGGTCGGGCCACGACCGCGCCGAGAGTCGCCAAATTGTCGATGGGTCGCCGCTCGTGGTCGCGCTCATGGACCTTGCGTTTCTCGGGATCTATGCCAAGAGCCAATCCGTCTCGTCCAAGTCGAGCTTTACGCTGCGCAACATTCTGTGTCTCTCGCGAACGCACGCGCCACGGATTGTCGAGACGCTCCTTCGCGGCTTGGATCCGTCGGCCGTGAGCCAGACGCACCAAGCACCCAGTGCGATCTCGGCGCTGACGATCTGCGGCCCCGCGCTGCTCCGCGGCGATCTCCAATGGGCGCCCAACGTCTTGCCGTCGATCTTGCACTTGACGCTGCCCGGCATCGACCCGAACGACGACACGAAGACGAGCCGGACGCTGCAGCTCTACGCCACATGGCTCATGTACCTCCCGCTGGCCAACGACACGAGTCGGCCGCGGACGCCGCGGTCGCCGCTCTCGATCGAGTGGCTCACTGCGCTCGACCAACGGCTCTTTGCGTCGGTCACCTTGTCGTGTGACGTCGACACTGCGCTGTGGGCGACCGGCGACACCCTCGAAGCGTGGGTGCTCCAGCTGCTCGACCGGCTCTTTGTGCTCTTCAAGCAGCAGGAAAAGCCCGACGTGGCCAAAGACTCGAACGAAGACAAGTTTCAGATTGGCGCGCACCTCCAGCACGTCGCGACGCTTCTCTTCGCCCAGCTCTCGCCGTCGCTGTACACGCTGGCGCTGCGCCGCGTGGTCGACTTTGTCGCCGCCACGTACATCCCGACCGCCGGCAAGCTCATCGCGGGCTTTCTCGCGGCCGTGGTCGCGCCGCACCCGCACCAGTCGTTGCCGCAGCTTCTCGTGCCCGCCATGGAGGCCGCGCTCAGCGGCGCGTTGACGGAAAGCGAACTCGCGTGGCAGCTGCGCGTCGTCGACGGCTGCGTCAAGAGCACGGTGGGCACGGCGCTGCTGCCGTTCCATAGCAAGCTCAAGGCGGTCGTGTCGGCGTCCGGTGTCCACGAGAGCCCCAAGATCGTCAAGCTCGGCTGCAAGATCTTGCGACATGTGCTATCGCGCCTCACGAGTGTGTACCAGCCCGACTATGGCCGCGCGCTGCCGCCGACGGCCTCTGCGATCGCGGAAAGCAGTTCTACGAGCCAGTTCCTCGGTGTGAGCTTGTCCTGGGGCGCGCTCGAGCCCGTGTGGCATGAGCCCAGCACGGACGAGCTCGGCATGGCCGCCGACTGGCTCGCAACCTTTGCGCTCGTCGAGTCGACGCTCACGACGGTATCGGCGTCGAGTGCCTGGCGCACGCGTCTGCGTCACATCCTGCACGCGGTCCGCGGTGCAAAGCCACTGCTCTTGGACCCGGTGGGGACGTCCACGTTGACGGTTGATGCGCTTCCGAGCGTACTGCAGGCCCAAAAGCGGCTCGACGCGGTGCTCGCGGCGCATCCGGATGTGCTCGCCCGTCTCTTGACGCTGCGCGCGCGCGTCGCGTCGGCCATGCGCGAGGTCGTGCACGTGTGGTACGACTCGACGGACCTCGTCGCGTCCAAGTGCCTTCGCTACGCGCTGCGCGTCATGACGTTGGTTTTGCACCCGCGGGACGCGGCGCACGTGGCCAACGTGCGCATGTACTCCAAGTGGCGCAAGCTCTCGAGCGGCGACACCGCGTCCAAGGCGCTGACGCAGCGCGTGCCTACGAGCGCGACGTCGATCCCGCTCTTGCCGCGTCGCCTGATGCAAGAGCGGCTGAGCATTTTGCTCGCCGAGCACTATGACGACCGCAGCTTTGCCTTCACGCGCTTGGTGCGGACGCATCCAGCGCTCGTCGGCGACGCGACGATCGCATCGACTTTGCTCGATGCGGTCGCGCACCTCGCCGTGCACCCGCTGGCGAAAACGCGCAAGGCGGCGCAGCGCGCGCTCGAGAAAGTTGCGTCGCGCTATTCGCAGTGGCACGCAGCGCAGCTCCCCCTCTGGGCGTCGACGCTCACAAACGACGGGACGGTGCACCACGTGACCACGGGCGTGTTGCATCTGCTGCAGCTCCAGCGGTCGCTGCACGTGGTCTGGAAGGATTGGACGCTCGCGGAAGCACTCATGTGCACGCTGTGCCGCGCCGCCGACGTCAAGCAGCGCACGGCCGAAGACGAAATGAAGACGAGCGCGCGGGTCCTCAAGACGTTCTTGCAACTGCTGGCGAGTGTCCGGGACGCCGACGCGATCCCGCCGGTCGCATCGCTCTTGGCGCTCGAGGCCGAGATGCAAGGCCACTGGCGGTTCCAGCTCATGCACCTCGCGAGCATCCTGCCGTGGCTGCGCGCCGACCGACCCGTCCCGACTGCCATCTGGGGCCTCATTCTGCGCCGCGTCGTCTCGGACGTGCCCCAGGTCGTGACGTTTGCGCGCCTCCTGCTGTCGCGCGCGCTGAAAGTCCACCAAGCCCACGGTGCGGCGGCGCTGCCGACGGACGTGCTCGAGACGCTCTTTGCGACGTCAACGCTCGCGGCCCTCACGCGCGACTTGGTGCTGGACCACAAGACGGCGCAGCGGTCGGCCGACGGACAGAGCGCAGACGCATCGCCGGCGCGCTGGTCGCTCGGCGTCCACGAGCTTGTCGCGCTCGTCGAAAACGAAGCTGCGCCGCACCCGCTGCGGGCGTTTGGGCCGCAAGCCACTGAGCACGTCTCGCCGCTCCACGTGCTCTTTGTTGCGCGCCTCGCCCACGAAGCGTCGACGACGACGAGGATCGATGTGTTTGGTCGCTGGCAGCCGCTGCTCGCGGACCTGGCGGCGTGCGACACGGACGAGCGCCGCGCGTCGCTCTCGACCCTCGGCGCTATCCTCGTCGGGCTCGCGCCTTTGAAGAACGCCTTGTCGCTCTTCCAATCGGTGTTGCCCAAGCTCAGCGTCCCGTATGCGCACGACTGGTACGACGTCGTGCTGCACTACTTGGGTCGTCGCCACGACATGGCGCTGCTCGAGTACATCGTTGCCGAGACGGAGGCCGCGCTGACGGCCGCCGACGCCATCGACGCGACAGGGCAAGTGCGCTGGCTCGTGCTTGCGCAGCCCGTCGCGATCCACCTCGTCTACGAGGCCGCGCAATATCCCGTCTTGTCACAGCGTCTGATCGATGTCGCGACCAAGGCCCTCGACCACCCGTACGCGTTTGTCCGCGAACAAGTCGCGGCGCTGCTCTATATCTTTACCAACGCCCGCGACGTGACGCTGCCGTTTTCAACGTGCCAGAGTCGGATTGTCTACGACACGCCGACGGGGTCCGTCCAGGACAAGGAGCTCTCGCTGCGCAAAACCGTGCTCTCGTGGCTCGCCGCCTTTGTCTCGAAAGGCGACGCGCCGCAGTTTGAGGTCCTCCTCCCGCTCTTCCCGATTGCATTCGACACGCAAGCGTTCCCGGACGCGGATGCGGCGCGGTCGGCGCGCATCGTTATCGAGGCGATCGCGACCAAGCTCCGGCTTTTCTCGAGCGCGCCACTCTGCGAGCAGCTCATTTCGTGCTTGGCCTCGGCGCTGGCGTCGCCGCAGTGGCGCACGCGTGGCGCGGTCTTGCGCTTCCTCACGGTCTTCAACTTCCACCACGGGCTCTTGAGCAGCGCCAAGCCGCACATTGAAGCGCTTCTCCTCTCGCGTCTCGAAGACGACGTCCGCGACGTCCAAGACATGGCGCAGTTCTCGCTCCGCGGGTTTGTCCGGACGCTCTCCCAAGCGCGTGTCGCCGAGCTCGCGACTGCTTTTCTGACCGAGACGTCGGCGGCGCGGCTTGAGCGGGCCAAGCGCGAGAAGCAGCTCAAGCGTCTCCGACTCATCCTCCGCGTGAAGAAGGAAGGCATGGACTTGGAGGCCGCGGCGACGCAGCTCACGACCCTCGAGGCGACCAGCGTCAACGTTGGTCCGACCGTGCGCGGCTGCTTTGGTATCGGTGCGATCGTGCTCGCGTACCCGTACTCGGTGCCACCGTTCGTGCCGGCGATCTTGGAAGAACTGGCGCTGCATGTCCATGAAGCCGCCGTCACGGACGTGGTCAAGGCGGTCTTGCTCGAGTTCAAGCGGACGCACCAAGACAGCTGGCACGAAGACAAGGCGATGTTTACGCGCTCGCAGCTTGAAGCGATCGAAGAGCTCTTGATCTCGCCGCACTATTATGCCTAGTGGCCTTCCAATTCTCTTGCGACAAGTCGTATCGTTGCATCGTGTCATTCTGTCCTTAGACCAAAAGGACCTACTCTCTTATCCGTCCTGGGAGCAGAGGACCTTGAACGAGCACGACATGTTGGCGTCGACGACGAGCATCCCGCCGGCGTTGTCAAACTCGTTGCAATAGTTGGGCGCCGAAAAGATCGTGACGAGCTTCCGGCCGGCAAAAAACTCGTAGCCGTCCGAGACCACCTGTCACATGACGTCCCATGACACGCGCGTGAGAGTCGGTTGTGGCACCTGGTGCGCGCGGCAGACCAGATCCAAGTCGTGCGTATCGAGGAACTGCTCAACGACGTCGGCGCCAAAGATGTACGAGACACCGCGGTCGCTCTCGGTCCAGCCGTGGCTGTCGGCGTCCGGGTCGGCCCACAAGAGGTCGCAGAGCAGCCCCTACATCGTGGACTTGAAGGCGAGTATGTTGCGTAGCGATCCTCTACCTCGTCCGGCACGTCGGTGGGCCGGCGGATGTTTTTGATTTGGTCCATCTTGTACAGATCTGGCGAGAGCCCACCGTGCATGCAGAAAATCTACCACAAGCGCCTGACGACCCTGCGTCCACGCACATCGGGGGACCTTGTCGCCGACAATGGCAGCGACCGGCATGCAGTTGAAGCAGTCGGCAAACGTGCGCCATAGTTTGACGTTGTACCGGCGCTTGCACTCGTCGTAAAAGCCTAAGATTGCACTAAGAATCTGCACAGGCGGGACTCGAAGCGACAACCGTAGATGCGGTTGATGGACGCGCACTCGTGGTTGCCGCGCAGGAGACTCATGCGCGTGGGGAACTTAATCTTGTAGGCGAAGAGGAGGCAGATGGTCTCGATGCTCTGCATGGCGCGGTCGACGTAGTCGCCGAGGAAGAGATAGTTCTTGAGCTCTGGAAAGCCGCCAATCTCAAAGAGCCGCAGCAAGTCCGAGTACTGGCCGTGCGTGTCGCCGCAAATGTTCATGGGTACGTTGAGCTCGAGTAGCATGGGCTGCGCCAGGAAAATCTACTTGGCCGTCTCAGCAGTGGCCGACGAAGAAGAAGAAGAGAGGCGTACGTTCCGGCAATGCTTGCAGAGCGCGTTGATCTCTTCAATGTCGAGGTCCGTCACCTCGGTCTGCACCGGCTTGTCGCGCACCGTGAGGAGCTTGGCGATGATCTTGTCGACCCATTCGAGGTTGCCCGCATCCATCGCAACTTCTACGAACCAAGTTGTTGTCTGCAAAACGCTCGCCCTTGGAAACCCCCGGAAACAACTCCCAGAAAAGACGACGACTCGACACGCCTTCTGCCAGAGCCAACGCAGCATCCTCGCGGCACAGGTCGGTGCCGGCAGACGTCGCGCGCCCTTCCATCCTCTACTGGGACGCACTCGTGACGTCGTGAAGCCCGCTGTACGGGCCTGTCTCGACGACCTCCGGCCTCGTGCTCGCAGCCGGCGACGATGGATCCAGCACCAACCTCCTCGAATTCTTTTGACGCAACATGCAGTCACACACGGTCACCATCGCAGTAGGCAGCTGGGGCCGTCATCGTCAGCAGGATTGCTGATGAACGATAACATCAGCGTAATCGACGCGAGGCTGTCCACGTTAGCAACAGGGCACGCCGTCGTCCACACCTGCTTGCGTCGACTTTGACCGTGCCACGGCTTGCGGCAGCGGTGCGAATCAGGCGCCGCGGTCGTCGACCGTAGCTGCGACGGGTCGCAGTGCCGGCTCGCCCAGGCACGGCCACAAGCGTCTGCGAATCCTGTGCGGAACCTGCTGCTGTCATGCCACATCCTTTACGCTTCGCCAATGCTTAGCCCATCGTGGCCGCGCCTAGGCCTCGCCTCGCCACCGCGCATGGCTCTGCGCCGCCTCTGCATGCCATGGCCTTGGTCGGCGGCGGCGTCGGTGTTGCGCTGTTGATGCATCGCCGCTTGTCTCTGAGACGCGCCGGGGGTCGACTCAACGTCGAGTCAACAGGTTCGCTTAAGTGCGGTGGAAAAGATCCCAGCGGACGCGGCTGACGTCAACGGGTGCATCACGCATTCTATTGCATACAAATGGCAAGGTATTTTAAAGCAAAAGGTGATAGCGAGGTGGGACTTGATGTTTGTATTGGGTTTTATAGGGATGGCAAGAGGCGTCATTTTGCGATTTCTGGAAAGTCCGAAGGATGGCGAAGGGAAGAGCGCTCTCGGTCGACGACCTCACGCTGCAGATCTCGGCGCTATGCTTGCTCATGATGATGTCGATGGATGCGATCAAGTACGTGCTAGATGGCGCCGTGGTATAGATTGCATGGAACGCTCATGGTGATGTGTCATAGCCCCGTGAAGGCGATCTGCTCCTTTCTTGGCATTGACCCGTACACGATCGGGTGGCTCAACCTGCTCGTGCTCCTCGGTGTGCTCTACTACAACCTCTCGGACGTGCTCTACTTTTGCATCCGCATCTTCCTCAACAGTGTGCTCTCGATCTTCTTCAAGAGCATTGAGATCGTCGGGAAGGACAACATCCCGATGGACGGCCCCGTCATTTTCACGGGCAACCACGCGAACCAGTTTGTCGATGGTATGATCGTCATGATGAACTGCTACCGCAAGGTACACCTATAGCGATGCATGTCGGCCATGGTGCTCATTGCTTGGCGTAGGTGGGTTTTCTCGTGGCTGAAAAGTCCATGCACCGCCCGGTCATTGGCGACTTTAGCCGTGCGATGGGCTGCATTCCCGTCGTGCGCCCGCAAGATGCGGTCTTGAAGGGCCCGGGGAAGGCGTGCATGCAAGCCTCGGACGACGCCGCCGAGTTTATCTTCGTGGGCGAAAACACGACGTTCTCGACGTCGCTTGCGCGTGGCGACCAAGTCCGCTACGACGGCAAGACGGTCATGGAGTCGGGCGAGCCCGTCAAGGTTGAGAAGGTGCTCGACGACACGCATGCCGTGCTCTCGGGTCACGTCAAGAACCACGACGGCGATATCATCTACGACATGTCGTCCTACGGTATCTTCAAGAAGGTCGACCAGTCGCACACGTTTGGCGACGTCTACACGGCGCTCAAGCGCGGCAACTGCGTCGGCATCTTCCCCGAAGGCGGCTCGCACGACCGCACCGATCTCCTCCCGCTCAAGGCCGGCGTCGCGCTCATGGCCTTTGGCGTCAAGGACACGTACCATATCAACGTGCCGGTGGTGCCCGTGGGTCTCAACTACTTTCGCGGCCATCGCTTCCGCGGGCGCGTCGTCATTGAGTTTGGCGAGCCGATTTCGGTCACGAACGACGACATGGACGTGTACAAGACGGACAAGCGCACGGCGTGCAACGCGTTCTTGCACAAGGTCGAGGAAGGCATGCGCAGCGTGATTGTGACCGCGCCCGACTACACGGTGCTGCAGCTCATCTACACGGCGCGCCGTCTCTACCAGCCGTCGGGCATCAAGCTCACGCCCAAGGAGACGCAGGACCTCAACCGCCGGTTTGCCGAAGCGTACAAGATTCTGAGCGAGCTCCCGGACGCGCAAGAGGAAATGAACGCGCTCCGCGCCAAGCTCGAAGAGTACCGCAAGAGCCTCAGCCTCATGGGCCTCACGGACCACCAGGTGCCGTACATTGCGTGGTGGAGCATCCACGATGTGATTTCGTCGGCTGTTTACGGCGTGTGCATCTTTGCCCTGGCGTCGATCCCGTCGTTTGTGCTCAACGCGCCGGTCGGGCTCATGGCCCGCCACGTGGCGCGCGCCGAACAGACCAAGGCGCTGGCTGGGTCGACGGTCAAGATTGCCGCCCGCGACGTCGTCTTAAGCAAGAAGATTGCGTTCTCGATCGTCGCGGTGCCCGTGCTCTGGATCTCGTACATGGTGCTGGCCATGGTCTTTACCAACTGGAAGTGGTCGAGCATCTTCCTCCTCACGGCGTCGTTCCCGCTCTTCTCGTACTTTGGCGTGCGCTCGGTCGAAGCCGGCATCATTGAGCTCAAGACGCTCCGCCCGCTCTTTTACCGCCTCCAGACCAAGTACCGCAAGATCCAGGACGAACTGCCCCAGCGCCGCGCGCGCCTCCAGATGGACGTCCGCCTCTTTGTGCGCAAGTACGCGCCGGTGCTGGGGCCGCTCGCGCAGCCCGCGCCGATCGACTGGTCGGCCTACATGCACTCGGTGGCCAAGACGGAAGAGAAGACGACATCGGACGACGACAAGGAGCGCCGCAACACGATCACCAAGGAGCACGATTTGAGCTTTCTCAAGCGCGAGAAGACGCCGTCGATGATCAACCTCCGGGCGATGGAGAATGAGGGAAGCGTGTCGGCCCCGCCGTCGCCGACCACGGCCGACGAGGAGGCCGTGTCGCTCGACGACAAGAAGACAGTCTAGTGTGTGGCGTCGTAGTGTATTCTTATAACATGCATGTGAACATTGCCGTGTCCATGGTGTCTCTTATGCTTGCAAGAACACTTGGATGTCGTTGGAATTCGAGCCAACATGATGCCACGGGTCCATGAATGATGCGAACGAGAGTGCGCAGTTGCATTTTGCTCCATGGGACGAGGGAGATAATACCACCGGGTTGCATCGCGACCGACGCATTATCGACAGACGTGATAGACGCTCTTGGCTCGGCAGCCGCTGTAGGAAGAAAATGGCTCGACAACGCAGACGTCGGTCGCTGCAATTCAAGAGTTTGTCTGGTGAAGATGCAGAGGGACAATTCATCTCTTGTGCCGACGCCTTTTGCGTTTTCACCATGGACGACGCGATATTGCCCATTCTTGATTCGTGGGAGTGACGGGTTTGAAGCGAATATGGGCGAAATGCAAATGCAATCGAGCCGAATGTCGACTCCGCGCGACTCGACGTCTTTCCTGGTTGGCGACCTTCTCTCGCGTAGTACGCCGGCAAAGGACTTGTGTTGAATGCAGCATCCAGACATTTACCACCTAGAGCAGGATGCCCCGGAGAATCCTTCAACGACCTCTACTAGTCACTAGTCCAATAGAGCAGGATGCCCCGGAGAATCCTTCAACGACCTCTACTAGTCCGAGGCCACGTCGTACCCACGAACGGCACTATCGAGGCGTTGGAGATACGATGGACGAGGTGTGGAAGGAAAGCTTGCTCTCGATCATTGGCTCATCTCGCTGCTGCTGCTGCTGCTGACGAAGATAAAAGATTGCAGTCCCATGGACGACCAACTCGTCGCCAATCACCTCTAGCTAGCGCTGCTCTTGGGTATGTTGACGCCTACGCGGCTCGTGTCCTTCTCTCCTTTGCGCCATTCGGACGTTCCGGGTCGCCTCATGGAGCACGCATTGGCTGTTCCTCGCCTCTCGCCATCCCATTCGATTCATTCGATTGTGGTTCAAAGGTACGTTGAGCGCTGCGAAACGACATGGCTTTGCACTGCCTACTATATATCAACGTATAGCGACACGACTACGTCGTCGTCGACGGCATCGCAGGCTGCTGCGCTAGGTCCAAAAATGTGCACGAGTACAATTTATTCCGGACAAATCAGCAGCAAAAATTTGGTCTTACCCGGACTTGAACCGGGGACCTTCTCCACGTCAAGGAGACGTGATGACCGCTACACTATAAGACCTTGCTTATCGTTTGCAGTATTTTGTATATAAATAAGCTATAATAGAAAAGAAATTCATAAAATTATTTATTTGTGAGCACCTCTACTAGAAGCCTTCGCTTTGACGCTTTGTGTGGTTAAGGTTTATGTAATTGACCGCGCCAAATTGTGTGCTGGCGCTACAGACGATGGCGCACATCGATTGGGATCCCGTGTGAATCGCTGGGAAACTCCTTTTTGCAATGCCTTACACCACATTATCAGTGTTCTAGTTAGCGCTTGGAATAATAAAAAATGGTTAATTAACAGCCCATAGACGACGCCAGGCAAGTCGGACTGCGCCGTTTTATTGGGCCCCCAAGCTTGGCCGCTCACCAAATTCGCACTTTTCTGATCCGTCAAACCATGGACGAGGTGCACGTGACGTTCAAGTTCATGCACGAGGAGACGATGGGGCTCACGACGCCTCTGGCGACGACGGTGCTCGCGCTCAAGGAGGAGATCGCTGCGTCCACGCACCGCCCGGTCGCGGCCCAGCGCCTCATCTACAAGGGAAAGCTTCTGCACGACGAGATGAGTCTCGGTGCTTACCACTTTGTCGACGGCGACACGATCCACGTCGTGACGGCGCCGCCGCCGGCCGCCGCGCCAAGCCCCCGTGTCTCTAGCCCTCCCAGCCCGACGCCGTCGCCATCGGACGAAGAAGCCAGTGAGAACGTCGGCCACGAGCGCCCACCGTACGTCTCGATGCACTTCATCCAGCTGCCTCTCTCGCCGCAGCCCGCGCCCGCGCCCCCGGACGACGACGCTGCCCTCTTGCACCAAGCACAGCAGTGGCGCGAAGAGACGGCGCGCTTGCCTCGCCCGGCGTTGCACCCGACGCCCTCGTCCCACGCTGCGTTTGTTGAGAGCGCGATCGAGCTCGGCGAAACGCTTTCGCACGTCTCGGCCCAGCTGCAGCGCCTCGCGTGGGTCGTGAACCAAGCGCCGGACGACATCGAGTCGGCGCGGCAAATGGCCTACTTGGCGTCGCTCCTCGAGGCCATGGGCCCGTACGCGCGGCGCTTGCACACGAGCTTGGCGCAGCCGACCGCCAGCGAGCAGCCGTCGACGTCGCGTCTCATGGGCAACCTCTTGCGCGTGCTCGGCGGTCTCGACACGACGCGCGATAATCCCAACGACGCGTTCTCGCAGCTGCTTTTGATGCTGCAAGGCGTTCCGTGGTCGTTCACGGCCGAGCACCCGGCCCAGGACGTGGCCAACGTCGTACGTCTTGATCTCCTTCTTCTTCCATCCAGACACGTATCCTTGTATCCTGACGACCACGTAGATCTGGCAACTGTCGCTGCCCGACGTGACGACGGCCGAGTTGCCGTCGTTGTGGCGGCCGACGTCGGTGCAAGCCGCGCTCCAGCGCACGCTCGACGAGGCCCTTGGCCTTGCGCGCGCCCACGCCACAACCAACGTACGCTCTGCGACGTTGTTCTTTTGCTCCGTCTTGAACTGTAGGCCAACGAGATCGACCGGCGCCTCGATCTCTGGGCGCGCGCGACCGCCGACGAGTACGAAGGCTGGCTTGTACGACATATTACCATTCTCTTGTGCTTCTGTCGGAAGATGCGACATGGAGGCTGTAGGACGCTGCGATTGACGCGCCGGACGCGACGAGCCGGCACTGGAAGGGCGCCCACGTCCTCCTCTGGCGCCGCGTTGCTGCGACCGTCGTGCATGGCACGCCCATGGACGATACCGCCTTTCGGTAGACAGCTAGCGTTCAAATCCCTCTCACGCTGTCTCTAGCGACCTCGCGCTGCCCTTCCTCTCGACGCTCGTGTGGGTGCTCGCAACGTATGCGCCGCATTTGCGCGCGCCCTTGGTCGTAAGCCGCCTCCTTGATGGGGTACGATGATGCTACAGCGCCGAAAACACCGGTGGATATGGGGTGCTGTAGGCGCTGGACCGCGCGGTCGCCAGCGACGTCCTTGCGGCGCCGATGCTGCCGTTCCTGCGGCAACGGGCTCGGAGCTACACGAACACACTCCTCCACCTCGTTGTGGCCCACACCGCGACCGTGGTGCTGGGCGATGGCCCGCCCGCCGCGGCCTAGTCGCTCCCGCAATAATGATGCATGTCGTCGTCGTATTCTTCAAGTATTTGGATTACGCACGCTTGTGGAAGGCGTCGAGGTTGCGTTGGACTTGGCGCTGGACGCGCTCGTGCATCTCGCGGCGGTATCCCAGCGGCAGGAGGAGCTCGAGCACGACAAAGAGCGGCGCGGTAATGAGCGCTTGATCGAGGCTCTCGAAGAGGGCCGGCGCCCGGCGCTCAAAGACGCCGTGCCCGATGAACTGGAGGATCCAGGCGCCGAGGTGAAGGCTGCCGAGGATGCGCCATGGCGTCTCGCCGTGCATCGCCACATGCGTCGTCGTATACGCCGTCGTCATCGCATGCAGCAGTACGATCGCGACCGAGGCGCCCGAGCCCGCGATCGGGTCCAGCGCCACGTACCACAGCACGTAGACCACCATGGCGACGAAGCCAATGTCGAACGTCACGTACTCGGCGAGCCCGTACGGCGATAAGAACGCATTGTCGGCGAACGGCGGCGCGCAGCTGCCGAGCGCGAGGCCCGTGATGAGGAGCGGCCAAATGCACACAAGGTGGATGGCCACGTTGATCGGGTTGGCGTGGTACGAGAGGTAGAACGTCACTTGCTTCTCGAGGTTGAACTTGTCGGCCAAGGTCATGCTGCTGCGGGGTCTTGCTGGCGTCTTGTCTTGCGCTCTGCTGTAGTCGATGACCAAGGTTTCAAGAAGTCGACAGTGGCGGTTGAAGCCCTACCCCTTCGTGTGGGAAAGGCGTCGGCGCCGGCATCATGCTCTCAACTACGCTCAGAAGCAGGCTGATGCCTCACACGAGCGCACGATACCCAACGCTCGAGCCTGAAAGCAGCGAGCTCCTCGTATACGAGAGCGTAGGACGAGGTGCGAGGATGCTGAGCTTTGAGCGTGTGTGATTTCCACGTGTGAAATAGAAATCGATTTTCACGTGAGAAAGACGCAGAGTGCTGGTCGTTGGATCTGGTCGCGCGACAGCAATGCTGAGGAATTGGCTTGGACCTTGTCGCCCAACGCGGCGAGAGGTCGCGGCGAGCAGCACATGAAGGTGGCAGCTTCTATAGAGCGTCTGCGTCTGCGTGGAATGCTCACCGGACTACCTTGGACCCAGAAGCAGTTCACAGTTCACAGGGCACGAATCTGACGTCCGCTCATGACGTCGTCGTGACCGTCGGTCATGATGAGGAAGATACACGTATTTCCAAACCAACGCAATGCTGACGTCGTAGACTTGGCTGCATGTGCCTCTACCGACTGCTCATACGTCGTAGGTCATCATTGTGTGGTCTTGAACCGGTCTTGCCGCCACCTAGTACCTTTACGAGCTACGTTATCGTGCGTCGCCAGCGCCAACAGCACTACACCACTGCGCAAGCATATAGGGCGAGATCGATAACATCACGCGAGTGATATGGGGGTATGGTGCCCCGTGGCGGCGCGGAATGGCTCGATGCGACTTGCTCTTCGTGGCCTTGTCCACCCCGGTACAAGAACCAAAGTTTCAATTGTACCTTCGGCATGCGCAGCCGAGCTCTGATTGCCAGTGACAAGAAAGCGGCGGCGGACGCGCGAGGAGCCTCAAGGACCGTGACAAAGATAGCTCGTTCCCAGAGCTGCTCGATGGCTCACTCCTGCCATATCGAGCAGCTCAGCTCTTTGTGATGCCACGTGCAAAGTGAGCACATTACCGGTATTGGCACGCGAGCAAAGAGGCGGCAATGGATGGCAGTGCCAAGTGATCGCAGTAATACCGGTAGCCGGGCGCCAGTCGTACGCCGGACCGATCGACCATCGCAAGCGTCGCGCACCCATGCGCCATGGTGCGGCAAGGTGATGTTTGGAACACCACATTTCCGAACGTCGCGTCGAACGTCGCGGCGTGTCGCGGCCACCGATCTGCCACTTTTAACACGCTTTTAATCGTGGTAAATATGGCGCACTTGTATCCGGCCGCGCAGATTTATCCGGACAAGCTCTGCTCCAATCATACATCATCCGACCATGGCCGAGCACCTCGCCAACGTCTCGAGCGCGCTCGGCGCAATCGAAGAGTACCTTGCGCCGCTGACCAAGGCGTCGGTCGATGAGCTCACGAAGAACGCGGCGCCGATCGAGAAGGCCAAGCTCCAGGTCGGCCTCGGTACGCCTGCGCCTTGTCTCGATCATGCTCATGGCTCGTCCTCGTAGCCTACTCGGTGAATGCGCTTCTCTACAGTACGAGGCGCCTACCATGCATGCAGGGCTAAGCTCACTCATGCATAGTCTTGCTCAAGACGCAAGGCGCGTCGTCCAAGGACCTGCGCCAGACCCAAGTCAAGCAAGAGCTGGACCGCGTCAAGGGCTTTGTCCAGAAGATCAAGTATTCGGAAGAGATGGGTATGTGCTCGCGTCTTCTCACCGCATTGCACAACGAGCATGTGCCTGTAGCCAAGGGCCCGCAGGTCAAGGTCGACGCCGAGGCCGCGGGGCGCTTCATCAACCACGCGCTCTCGTCCGACCAGGTGTACGTCAAGGCGTTGAACGAGCGCAAGGCGGAAGAGAAGACCGAGGAGACCAAGACGGAAGAAAAAGAGCCCCAGCCCAAAGCGTCCAAGAAGACCAAGAAGGCGCCGACGACGAGTACCTCGACCAAGCCGGCCAAGAAGCAGCGCAAGCACTAATCTCATGTAATTATAAAGGCTCTGTACATCTCTCTCACAAGGCAAGAATGCGAGTTGCTTGAACGCAATCGGAAGACGCTTTCCGTGGGCACAAGATCGACGAGGTTGGCACTCGTACGGTGGCACGACTGGTCCAGTCCGCAAATCAGAGCAAAGGGACTGGTCGTGTCCATAGGTCATGTCTGCTGCTGCAGCGGTCTGCACACACACACAGATCCAATCCCAACAGAATAAGAGCTCCGAGAAACCAAAGGACTGAGATAACTTGTGCTGGTGGTTTGACGACTAACTTACGTGTAGCTGTAAATGCACTTGACGTCCTGGGGCTGCACGAGCTGCCGGCAGAGTGGACACTCGGGCTTGTTTTGGCACCAGCCCACGATGCACTCCCAGCAAAAGACGTGGCCGCACGGGGTCATCGCAGGGTGGCTGCGCTCGGTCAAGCACAGTGCGCACTTGCGCTGGGCCATGCCCGTCGGCCGGGACTCGTCCGATGGGACGCGGTGCTGGTCGAGGCGGCGCGGGGCAGCCTCGACGCCTAGGAGCGTTCGAAGACAGGCTGGTAGACCCAGTAGGGACGAGAGCGCGAGTCGCAGGAGAATCAAGTAGCCCTAATAGCAACGCACTAGTTCGACGAGCGTCTCGCGGAGAGGACGTTCGTGGTACCAGAATGGAAAACTGCGCGTGGGGCGCATCGAGCTTGCGTGTTAGGATGTATCGGATGCCTGCCATGCGTTTCGCCACGTCAAAGTAGCGTCCATGGAGGTAGAAGAGCGCAAGATGCACGGCCACCGCGGCCTGCGTCCACGTCGTCACGGACGTCCCCGTACGGACTTCGATTGTCTGCGCCACCTCCTTGGCTCGCTTCACGAGGTCGTCCAGGTACGCAAGGACCTTGTCGACCTTGGACGGCGCTCTGCAACCCAAGTGCGTTGAGATCTTAAGAGCCTACACACAGCGCTACATACCGGCGGGGCGTCGTCGGCGCCGACACCACTGCGTGCTGGCTGTTTTGCATCTGGAGGCGCTCGCGTGCTTGGCGACGAGCCAGCTGCAGCCGCGCCTGTGCCTCACCGGGGCGGAGGTTTGCCCAGCCCAAGCTAGATCGCTGCTGCAGGTACGGGAGCACGGTCGCGAGCTGGAGCCACAAAAAGGTCGATGAGAACGAGAGCATGCGAGGACGGTCGCCCTCGACGCGGTAGATGTCGCAGTACTCCTCGCCCATGGTTTGAGACCCTGTGATACGATGAGGCCAATGCGTCAAGAGAAGGCGTGTGTTGCACCCGTCATTGTCAAGTAGAGGAACTTGGTGAGGAGCTGGAGCTCGGGGTCGATCGAGAGCTGGGCCGCCGCCCCGCCGCCGCCTGCGCGGCCCCAGAACTTGAGCTTCTCGACCACGTCATGCAGCTGCGTAAGGAGCTCGGACGCGTAGTACTCGTCCTTGGTCGCGGCGAGGACGACGCGCGACTGCGGCGCGGCCGCCGGCGTCACCACGGCTTCGGCCGTCGTCATTGCCGATCAGCGTCGGAACGTACACTATTTCCAAGTTCAAGTGGTGGGCACTAATTCCTAAATAGTGTTTGAATGGACCTCCTCGATCAGGTTTCCATCAATGCTTGCTTTAGAAAGGCCGCAGCGTCTGATCGGTCTCAAGGACCGCATGGGTGTGCATGTCGGTCTTGTTTTGTGGATACACACCATTATCGTGGGTACATTCTGTCTGAAGTCCAATTGATAACCCACCGAGGATGACCGACCGCTCCCTCAAACGGCAACAGCAGGTGCGACCAACCTCGCCGCCTTCTATCAGCAGCTCCTCTCGACGCCCTCTTCCTCCTCCACGCTCTCTGACCCTTCTTAAGACGAAATGGTTTGTGGCGTTGGCATCCTCGGGAAAGAAAGGCCAGTTGATGAACCTGGTTTTGACGTTCCGGACTCTTGAAGATCGGATGTTGGGTTCCAACGCCGTCGTCTGTTGCGCTTCGAGAACGAACGGCTGGGTGGCGCCAGCGAACGTAATAGCGCGCACTTGCTTGAAAGGAAATTTTGTATGTTCCGTCGTGGGGCTAGGCAGCGCCGCGTGGTTGAAGATGGGTCTTATATGAAGCGGTTCGTGCGTCCATCAGACCGTTCGTCGAATCTCAACTGGTTGGCCCAAGTTGTGTCGTCGTCGTTGACGGCATCCCGACCGTCTTGCTGGAGCGGAACGCAGTGCATCATCGTACATGGACCGTGCACCAAGCTAGACCCCTCTCGGTAATACGACTCGACTCGCAGTGCAAACAAAGATCCTTATCCTGTTCCATGGCGTCACCGCGGTGCCACGCACGGTGGTCGTAAGTGTAATACTGCCTCGTGATGACGCCAGCACGCATGATGCATCGCGCGAGTTACGTCGACCGGCGCTCCACTGCAAGGACAAAGACGACGCCATTGAGAGAAGCACTTCTCGACGACGCATGGATGGTCGCAGAAAGGTACTCCACTTGAAAGGTATGTATTGGGAAGGGGCGCAATCCCCACCAAAAGTACGGTAGTACTACACCAGGTGCGTAGTATGTTGTGAATGCCCAAGCACCTCACCGCGAGTTGGGTGCATGTGCGGCGTTGAATCTGAGCTTCCTGCGGATCCCGTGCCGGAGCAAAGGCTCATGGATTGTCGCGGTAGTGACGCCAGCGCCATGGACAAGGTCTTGATCATTGAAGTCGGATTTTCTATGTGTGGAAGGCGCTGGGCCGCTATCCACACCGTGTCACAGCAGAGTAGCTAGCGCGGACGAGGATGGACCGCGGCCACACTCGCGACGGTGGCAACGAAGCCGAGTGCAGGGGACGTCGTTTGGGGGCGTCGCTTGGAGGTGGCAGCAGTAGGATGGATGCTAGGAGCTCCACGGAGCTCCACGCCACGTCCGTGCGACTGGCGTTCCGGACTTGAAGGACGGAACGTGGTCGGACCCGTCCGCAGCCAAGTACACTGTAGGCCGATCTGACTTGGAAGGGCAAGCAAAGCGGCTTCCTACTGAGAAGCTTACCCAAGAGGCGCGCCAGAGCCACGAATTAGCTACTCGGGCATTACAAAATCGTCGGCAGCACGCCACGAAACGCCAGTGATGTCGCCGGTCCAGTACATAGGACCGGCATGTGCGAGGTCGTCACCGTTGCGTCCGGTAGGTTACCAATGTGCCCATGGCCACAGGCGTGAAGTTGTGCTGAACGGTTTTAATCGTTGAAGCCATTCTCGCCGCCAAAGCTACTCGGCTGGCTTGGTGGTATTTACGAGCGATCGGCAATGCAATCATCATCTCAACGCTACCGGGTATCTGAAGTACACGTCTACTGGTATCCACACGCGCTTCTGGCCTCCATCGTCCCACGTCGGGCGAGCACGAGTCGCTCGGCTACTGACCAAATTCCAAGGTCCACTGCGATCGTCGGTCGGCAAGAGCTTGAAGGTACCCATTGCCGTTCCGGCCTTTAATGAACCAAGTTCCGACATGCCGTTAAAAAATGCGTGCGCTTTTTTGCCCGGACCTTGGTGTTTCTATCGAAGCTGATGTTCCGCTCTTGGGAACCTGCATTAAATTCGGCCGGGGGCGTATCGCACGTGGCCACTGAGTGCGGTTCAGTATACTGCTGCATGGGGACGGCGTAACTCACGCTGTCGGCGTGGTCCAATTCGTCGCGGACATACAAACTTCAAGACAATAAAATAAAAATCGCGACCGTGTCATCGCTTCTACGCGGGCTGTCGCCGGCTCTCGCCCATTACAGCTGGCGCCGAGGTATCCGCGAGATCCAGCAGAGCCTCCTTGGTACGCTTCAACTTTTGTTTGTATGCTCGCGGCCATAGGTTTGGCGCCGGCGCATGAGAAGCCGCTCGGCCTTCTCATTGGCCAATGCGAATTGGAATAATTTGCATAATAGAATTCGAAAACAAATGGCCTTTACACTCGCGTTTGTATGGTCCGACGCATTAAATACAACTGCAGAGTTGGAAGAGGCGTTGGCACGGGTAATATCGAAGCATAAAAATACCTTGCACAAAGTATAGCAACTCGGACGACCGGCCGCGCTGGTTTTGTACTTGGTGTTTGTATGCCACGAAATCTCGGTCGGATCTCAATTTCTGCGATTCAGCCCATTGTCCATTTTGCGCCGAGCCGACGATATCCACAGCGATGTCCAAGCACCAGCACGACACGAAGCAGCCGCTGCTCGACGAGCATGAGCAGCTGCCCGAGGTGTACAACTCGCTCCACTTCCGCTCGGTCCAGGACCCGTACCGCACCGTGGCCTCGGACCGCATGAGCGTCTACTCGACGCTCCATGCGGGCCATGGCGTCGACACGATGCTCGAAGGCGGCCTCGAGCGCTTCTACGAGAAGTACAAGCACCTCTCGAAGAAGGTCAACATGCACTTGGCGACGCCCGAGGTCCGCTTCGAGAACCTCAGCTACACGGTCCAGGCGCGCGAGATGACGCTGGCCGAGAAGCAGGGCACGGTCGGCTCGTACTTTACGCGCATGCTCACGCCGTGGACCAAGAAGCGCTTCTACGAGCAGAAGGTGCTGCACCCGATGAGCGGTATCATCAAGCCGGGCACCATGACGCTCATCCTGGCCAACCCGGGTTCGGGCAAGTCGACGTTCCTCAAGGCGCTCGCGGGCAAGCTCCAGAACAACAAGACGTGCGAAGTCGGCGGCGAGATTACGTTTTCGGGCCTCAAGAGCACGGAAGTCGACCCGATGAAGATTGTCGGTCTCGTCGACCAGCGCGACAACCATTGCCCGACGCTCACGGTCCGCGAAACCTTCAAGTTTGCCGACATGTGCTTGAACGGGTCGCCCGAGTCGCAGCCTGAAGAAGTGCGCGAGGTCGCCAAGCTTCGCACGGAAATGATCTTGCACCTCCTCGGTCTCAGCAACTGCGCCGACACGGTCGTCGGTGATGCACTCCTCCGTGGTTGCTCGGGTGGTGAACGCAAGCGTGTCACGGTCGGTGAGATGCTTGTCGGTGGCCAGTCGGTCTTCCTCTGCGATGAAATCTCGACCGGTCTCGACTCGGCGGCTACGTACGATATCGTGCAGTCGCTCCGCACGTGGTCCAAGACGCTTGGCGGCTCCGTCGTCATCGCGCTCCTCCAGCCGACGCCCGAAGTCGTCGAGCTCTTTGACGACATCATCATGATGAACGAAGGCCACTTGGTGTACCACGGCCCGCGTACCTCGATCTTGCCGTACTTCGAGAACCTCGGCTTCTACTGCCCGCTCCGTACCGATCCGGCCGATTTCCTCATCGACGTCACGTCGGGCCGCGGCAAGAAGTACCTCCTCCCGGAAGACCGCAACCGTGCGATCCCGATCCACGCGCACGAGTACAGCAAGGTCTTCTTCGAGTCGGAGATGTACCAGACTTCGCTCAAGGCCATCAACGACGGCTTCAACGTCGCGGCTATGCAGGACCAGGCCGATTTCGAGAAGATGAAGTCGGTCACGGCGATTGCCCGCACGAAGGAAATGTCGCCCTTTGCGCTTCCGTTCGGTGCCTCGACGATGCTCCTCCTCGGCCGTCAAAAGACGCTCTGGATTCGCGACAAGCCGCTTCTTTGGGGCAAGCTCGCCGAAGCCATCATCGTCGGCCTCTGCATGGGTGCCATCTACTACCAGGCCGACACCAAGTACTTTTTGCGCATGCTTTTCTTCGCGTGCGCCGTCTTCCAGCGCCAGGCGTGGCAGCAGATCACGATCGCGTACGCGCTCCGTGAGATCTTTTACAAGCAGCGCGCGCGCAACTTTTACCGCACGCTCTCGTACACGATCGCCGAGTCGGTGGTGCAAATGCCCGTCAACTTGGCCGTCTCGCTGCTCATGACGACGTTCTTCTACTTCATGTCTGGGCTCTCGCCGAACGCGGGCACGTTCATCGTCTTTGTCATCATCTGCGTCTGCTTCCAGCATGCCATTTGCGCGTACATGACGATGCTCAGCTCCCTTTCGCCTTCCATCACGATCGGCCAGACTCTGGCGGCGTTCTCGGTGTGCTTCTTCCTCCTCTTCTCGGGCAACATCATTTTGACCGACTTGATCCCGTCGTACTGGACCTGGATGTTCTGGTTCAACCCGCTCGCGTGGGGTCTCCGCGCTGTTGTCGTCAACGAGTTCCGCAACGGCGACTACCCGGAGGCTGTCCGCAAAGCGAACCTTGAGAGCGTCCAGATGACGCAGTTTGGCACCGAGTACGTCGCGTACGGCATCATTGTGCTCGTTGCGTACTACTTCCTCTTCACGGGCCTCAACACGCTTGTGCTCCACTTTATCCGCTACGAACGCCGCTTTGGTGTCTCGGGCGGCTCGAAGGTCGGCGAGGACGAGGACGACTCGGTGTACGTCGAGGTGCAGACGCCCGGTGGGACCATGGTCAAGCAGGATATGGCGCCCAAGAACACGGGCCTCTCGTTCATCCCGGCAAACTTGTGCATCCGCAACTTGGACTACTACGTGACGCTCCCGACCAAGGTCGAGCGTCAGCTTCTGAACAACGTCTCGGCGCACTTCCAGCCCGGCACGATGACGGCGCTCATGGGTGCGACGGGTGCCGGCAAGACGACGCTCATGGACGTGATTGCCGGCCGCAAGACGGGCGGCCGCATTGTCGGCGACATCATTATCAACGGCGAGCCGAAGAACCCGGCCAACTTTTCGCGTATCACGGCGTACTGCGAGCAGATGGACATTCACTCGGAGATGGCGACGATCGGCGAGGCGCTCTGGTTCTCGGCCAACCTCCGCCTTCCGGAAGACATCACGTACGAGGAGAAGCGCAAGCTTGTGACGGAGACGCTCGACTTGCTCGAACTCAACGGTATCATCAACGAGCAGGTCGGCCACCTCTCGGTCGAGCAGAAGAAGCGTGTCACGATCGGTGTCGAAGTCGTGGCCAACCCGAGCATCCTCTTCTTGGACGAGCCCACGTCGGGTCTGGACGCGCGCTCGGCCACGATTGTCATGAAGGGTGTCCAGTCGATTGCGCGCACGGGCCGCACGGTCCTCTGCACTATCCACCAGCCCTCGATCACGATCTTCGAGCTATTCGACTCGCTCCTCTTGCTTCAGCGTGGTGGCTTCACTGCCTACTTCGGTGAGCTTGGCCGCGACTCGCAGAAGCTGCTCGAGTACTTTGTGTCTATCCCCGGCACGGAGGAGATTCGCCCGCAGTACAACCCGGCGACGTACATGCTTGAAGTCACTGGTGCCGGTATCGGTCGCGACACGAAGGACTACTCGGTCGAGTACGCCAAGAGCGAGCTGTGTGCGCGCAACTTTGCCGAGACGCAGCGTCTCTGCCAGCCGTCGCCGGACTTTGTTGCCTTCTCGACTGTCAACTACACGCCGATGGCGACGGGCCTCAAGAACCAGCTCAAGGAGTGCATCTGGAAGGCGATGCAGACGTACTGGCGCTCGCCGTCGTACAACTTTGTGCGCCTCGCGTCTTTTCCGTGGTTTGCGATCGTGTTTGGTACGACCTTCTGGCAGCTCGACCGCATCACGGAAGCGCAGATCAAGTCGCACGTCGGCCTCATCTACAACAGTATGGACTTCATCGGTATCATCCACTTGATGACGGTGCTCGACATTACGTGCCTCGAGCGCGCTGTCTTTTACCGCGAGCGCATGTCCAACTACTACGGCCCGCTCCCGTACTCGCTCTCGCTCTTCTTCTCGGAGATCCCGTACCTTATTGTTGCCGTCTCGTGCTTCGTCGTCCTCGAGTTCTTCATGGTCGGCTGGGAGTCGAGCTACTTCTTCTTCTTCCTCCTCACGTTCTTCCTCTACACGTCCGTGTGCACGTTCGTGGGCCAGTGGATGTGCGCGCTCTGCCCCAACACCAAGGTCGCCAACGTGGCCGTCGGTGCCATCTCGTGCGTCTTCAACCTCTTCTCGGGCTTCCTCCTCCCGTTCCCGGGCATGAAGAGCTGGTACAGCTGGATCCAGTACGTTGTTCCGTCGAGCTACTCGCTCCGCGCGCTCGCGGTCTCGCAGCTCGGCATTTGCAACGAAGACGGCTCCGGCAACGCGTGCGACAACGTCAACGGCACGCAAACGAGCGTCGCCAAGTACGTCCAGGACAACTTCCAGTTCAACCCGGACGAGCGCTGGTACTATGTTCTCGTCCTCGCGGGCATGTGGGTCATCCTCCAAGTGTGCATCTACCTCACGTTCAAGTACGTCAGCCACCTCAAGAGATAGACACAGACTATCTTTTTCGTGTAACTACATCGATTTTGCATTTCAAATGTGGTGTGTTTCTCGCGCCGACGCAGCAAGTCCCTCGCAAATAGTGCTTCTCCCTACAATTAGAGCAGGTCCCCTCGTTTCAAACTTGCCTCAAAAGGAGCGGCGCTCCCATCGCTTGCGTCCCGCTTCACTCCCGACGTGCATGTCGAGTCGGCTGGAATTTCTGCACCACCCGCAAGGTCGACGCGTCGTGTGGGCGCCAACAGCCGCCGCGCCCGTCTCTCGTTCTCGTCGTCCTCTACCTTGAGCCTCGCCCTTCTGCTTACTAATAGCTCACTCACTATACAAGCAGTCATGCCTGCACCGCCGCCCGTCTCGACGAGCGCACTTCACCACACGCGCGTCGGCATCCAGCGCGCGATCGTGAGCGTTTCGCACAAGGACGCGAGTCCGCGCGACCAGGACGTCGCGTTCGTGCTCCGGGTCACGCACCACGACGCGGCGCATGTCATTCAGCGCGACTGGCCCGCGTTCCTGAAGCTCAAGGCGGACCTTCTGCATGCGCTCGGCGCGGGCCACGCGTGCCCCGGTGTCTGCGTCTGGCTCTGGGAAGACCTGCACCACAACTTTGACCGCCCGGCGTCCGGCGGCAGCCTCGCCGCGTGGTGGCACATGCTGCGCAGCGTGCACACGAAGGAGACGCTCCAGATCTTTCTCCGCCACTTCCAGGAACTCCTCGACTCGCTTCTTCGCGTGCTCCACGCCGACGACGTCAAGTGCCTCCGCTTCCGCCACGTCACGAGCGTTCTCTGCGCGTTCCTCGACATTGAGCCCAAGAAACGCGTCTGCAGCCGCGCCTCGAGCTTACCATAGAGCCGAATCCATTCCAGAGGCAGTAGAAACATGTACAACAATAGTATAGGAACAAGTTGATACCCGGTGATCTCAGCACTTGGCGGCTCCGTCGTCGTATTTCTTTCTCGACTCGCCGTATTTCCGTACTAGTACGTACGATGCGACCGAGCAGTGTACAGCCTGACCTCACCAGAGTGTTGCCCTTGTCGTCGAGGCTGCCGGCTCTCGTCAGCTACCAGGGGCCCAGAATCTTGTGGTCGCGCAGGGGTCAATAGCGATCGCCTCATCGATGAGTCTACCAGACGCACGTCGCGCGCCTTGATCGCCGTCTGTGATGCCAATCAAATCCAAACAATTGCGTGTTTCTAGTCTTTCAGAATGGGCACGAATTTCAGCCAATGGCCTTGCGCGAAACGCCACGGGATGGTCACTGGTCGTCGCCCGTTCGGCCCATTTTCCATCATGGCCCCGTCCCTCGCCAAGAAACTCGAGGTGCTCCGCGCCGAGGCCGCGGACCTCGCCGAGTACATGTCCGACGACGAAGGCGAGACCTTTGACGTCTCGTCGCTCAAGGCCGAAGAAGACGCGTTCACGCACGACTTTTCCACGTGCATCGTCGTCGACAAGGCGCCGGTCGTGACCAAGGCCAAGTACGACAAGCTCCTCGCGATGTTCAACCGCCTCGTGGCGCAGATCGGCCCGGTCGTGGCCATCGACATGCCGTACCTTCCGGCCAAGGCGGGCGCCGACGCCGAGACGGCCGGCTGCCTCTTTATCGAGTTTGAGACCGAGGCGGACGCCAAGAAGGCGATCACGACCTTGCACAACTTTGCGCTCGACAAGCGCCACACGCTCCAGGTCTGCATGTACGCCGACATGCAAAAGTACGCCAACGTGCCGGACGCGTACACGCCGCCGACCAAGCCGAGCTTCACGCCGCGCCAGAACCTCAACACGTGGCTCGCCGACCCGAGCGGCCGCGACATGTTTGTGCTGCGCTACGGCACCGAGACGGAGCTGTACTGGAGCGACCAGGGCCGGCCGACGCTCGAGTACGCGGGCGAGCGCGAGAAGAGCTCGGGCAAGCAGTGGTGCTCGCAGTACGTCAAGTGGAGTCCCGCAGGCACGTACCTCACGACGTTCCATCCGCAAGGCATCGCGCTCTGGGGCGGCGACTCGTGGGACAAGGTCGCCCGCTTTGCGCACAAGCACGTCAACACGGCGGTGTTTTCGCCGCAGGAGAACTACCTCATCACGGCCAACGGCGTCGAGGGCGAGAACTCGATCATGGTCTGGGACATTGCGTCCGGGAAGCTCCTCCGCGCGTTCAGCATGGGCGGCAACCCGAACGTGCTCGACACGCCGTTCAAGTGGTCGGCCGACGACAAGTACGTGGCCCGCCGCAACAAGGACGCGATCACGATCTACGAGCTGCCGTCGATGAAGCTCCTCGAGAAGAAGTCGCTCAAGGCCGACGGCGTCGAGGATTTCTTCTGGTGCCCGGCCGGCAACGCCACGCTCGCCTACTGGGCGCCGGAAGCCGGCAACACGCCCGCGCGCGTCTCGCTCGTCGAGATTCCGTCGCGCCGCGAGATCCGCCAGAAGAACCTCTTCAACGTCTCCGAGTGCCAGCTGCAGTGGCACCCGAGCGGCCAGTTCCTGAGCGTCAAGGTCACGCGCCACTCCAAGTCCAAGAAGACGCTCTTCACCAACTTTGAGATCTTCCGCGCGGGCGAGGCGCTCGTGCCCGTCGAGATGCTCGAGATCAAGGAGACGATCCGCGCGTTCGCGTGGGAGCCCAAGGGCTCGCGCTTCGCCGTCATCCACGGCGAGACGGCCACGCGCCTCTCGGTCTCGTTCTACGACTGCAACGGCGGCAAGAAGAACAACGAAGTCACGCTCCTCTTCACGCTGGCCGAGAAGACGTGCAACGCGCTCTTTTGGTCGCCGTACGGCAACAACATTGTCCTCGCAGGGCTCGGCGAGATGAACGGCATCATGGAGTTCTACGACGTGGACGAGAAGCAGAGCTTGTCGATCCAGGAGCACTTTAAGTTTACGCACCTCGAGTGGGACCCGAGTGGCCGCGTGGTCACGACGGCCGTGTGCCAGCCCATCAACAACTTCAACGCCAAGTACACGATGGACAACGGCTACAACCTCTGGAGCTTCCAGGGCAAGCTCCTCGAAGAGAAGCGCAAGGACATGTTCCACCAGTTCATCTGGCGCCCGCGCCCCAAGAGCCTCCTCTCGGACAAGGAGTACAAGCACGTGCTCAAGAACCTCGAAAAGTACCGCAAGAAGTTCAACGACCTCGACAAGCAGCGCGAGAAGGAGCGCATCGCGGCCGAGATCGCGGCCAAGCAGGCGCTCGTCGACTCGTTCCGCAGCCGCCTCGCGTCGCGCCAGGCCGCGGCCGCCGCTCGCCGCGCGGCCTACATTGCGCTGGCCGACGGCTACGACTCGCAGGACGACGCCGAGTTTATCGTGCAGACGACGACGCGCGACGAAATCGTGAGCCAGACCGAAGAGGTCGTGACCAAGTAAAGCGCCTCCGACGACGACTTGCGTAAACAAACGACGATGCACCGCAACGTGCTGCTATTTTATTCCTTTTGCTCGTCTCTTGTCGTTCGTTGCCACGCTGGAGGAAGAGGAGCCGGCGTCACAGGACAACACCTCCTCGATGGGCTTGGGACGATGGTGTCGAGACAACGGCGGCTTGAATTGTACTACGAATAGCGAGCGAAATGCGCGCCAAGCCACGAACGAGTACTCGCTACTACATCTAGTACGTGGTCGTCGTTCTAATGCTTGCCGTGTGGAGTGCACCGAGTGGTCGAACCCGGCACTGGCGCAGCAACTTGAGAGAGCGCTGGGCCCTTTGGTCGCGGCTGCAAACCAAAGCGCCGTCAAATCAACGTGTAGGCCAAATCCCACCGACGTTGATGCAAGGATGGTCGGCGTGGCGTCGCTCTGGAGCGAGGAAGAACCACCCGGTGCCACATACTACTAGGGACGGCAACAGCGGTGTACTAGTTCAATCGGCCGTTTACTTGGTCCACAAGCTCGACTGGATCGTGCCGGCCGCCAGCGCCTTCCAGCTCGCATGCGTTTGCTCAATGACGTCGATCGCAAACGCCTAGCAACCTCAATCTCAAAAACCAGATTGCGAGATAGAGAGCATTTCCAACCTTGTCCATGGCCTTGCCGTCAAAGGCAAACGCGCTCGGCGGCTTGCCGTCCGGCAGCTTGTAGTCGCGGAACCACGTGCGGATCGAGGCCACCGTGTCGGGCAGATGCAAATGCACGTCGTTCAAATCTGGATAAAGCCATTTGAACATGCAAGGATATCCCGAGCGGAATACCGTTAAGCTTGGCCGCCATCGGATCCTTGACGTTGATGGCAATGACCTTCCAGTCCGTCTCGTTCTCGTCGATCATGCCGAGCACGCCGAGGACCTTGACCGGGTACACGTCGCCCGTCTCGGCCACTTGCGAGCCAATCTCGACCACGTCAATCGGGTCATTGTCGCCTATCCACGTGGGTCGACATGACTTTAGAGCACGATTGATAGATAGTAGTACCGCCGTAGCCCGTGCTGCCGTCAACGTGCGCGGGGTCTTCCCACGTCTGCGGGATGCAGCCATAGTTGACAAGCGAGTCAAAGTGGTAGAAACTAGAGACTCCATACGCGTTTTGGCCAAGAAGATGAGGCATGCATACCGCAAGTTGCCCTTCTTGACGTCCTGCTTGATCGGGTTGTGCGCTTCGTCGGTCGCGATCTCCATCTTGGCGCGGTCGCTAGCCACGCCTTGAGGCGCCGCATGCATCGCAGGAGAGTTAGTAGGTACCCGCGCGGGATCTCGTTGATAAAGTTGAAGATGGCCTTGTCGTGCTCGTAGCCGGTGGGGCGCAGCGGGATGTCGTGCCACGGCGAGAGCACGGACCCGTCCTTGGCGCGGTAGACCAAGCGCGACTCGATCGTGCCGCTGGCGCCGACGAGCGTCGTCGCGTACTGGTGCTACACGGGACGAATTAGCGCGCTAATTTGTACCTCGAGCAGGTACGGCAAAGCGAGCGCCAAAGACGCGAACGGGGCGGCGGAGCTGGAGCGCTTGACGGACGAACGCCATCTTCAACAATGAACCAGTCGCCGCGCCGGCGGCATGCCGGATACACAGTCCCAATCCGGATACCAAGCCGCCTTTTTTCATGTGGGTTCCTTGCGTCGTCGCGATGCCACGTACTCGTGCAAGTTCGAAGACAACGGACACGCCGAGTAGCTTCGCTGCTGCTGCAGAGCGTTCGTATGGCCTCCGCCCCAATACCCAAATACGACAATGCACGCACGACGTCGAAACAAGCAGAGGATCCGACGACGCCCTTGCATCAGCAGCAGCATCCCATGTCGGTATGTACATACTAGGAGCGGCCAATTCGGTCGTCGTAAGTGTTAATACCGAGGGGTCTCGTCTTCTAGGAAGAAATTCCAGAGGCATATACAGCAGTCGACGCCGACCGACACGATCTGGCGCTCGTCCGGGCTCCACGCCAATTGGTTGATGGCGCCCGAGTGGCCGAGCGCGATGGCCATGAGCGCGTCGCTTTCAAGCGCGTAGATTTTGAGATGGCAGTCGTCGCCACCCGTGGCCACAAAGCGTCCTAACCACCTCCCGTTACGACAGTATGCACAAGCCACCCCTCGTGGTACCTGACGGCGACACCTGGAGCGCGAGCACGCGCATCCGGTTGGGGTCCTGCAGCACCTTGACGGCGTCGGCGACGTCGCAGTCCCAAAAGAGGAGCCGGCCGTCGGCGCCGCCCGTGATGATCTCGGTCTCGCTGTCGAGGCGCTGGCTCATCGCATGGAACGCACCTTCGCGCACTTGGTGCACGACGGCGCGGCGCTGGGTCTTGAGGTCGTATAAGAAGAGCGACCGGTCGAGGCCGCAGCTGTGCACGTGATGCGCTTTGACCAAGTCGATGCACACCTGCGTCACGCCGCGCTTGTGTTCGTGAAACTGCAAGATGAGCTCCCGCGTGGCGAGCGACCAGACGTTGACGCCGCCATCGCTCGACCCGGAGACGATGCACTTGTCGTTGGCGGCGATGCACGTGACCTCGCCGCGATGCGCGTTCGCAATGTGCCACAGCTTGTGCTACGCGTGCTGGCAATCGATACCATGTCGACGTATAGGAAGAAGTCTAGTACCCCTGACGCAGTCTCGAACGCGCGCAGCCAGCCGTCGGCCCAGCCCGAGACGAGGAACGCTCCATTTACGGCGTAGCAGACGCAGCGACCGTGGACGTTTTCGGCGGCGCTCGCCTTGACGCGGTACGACGAGAGATCCCATACCTTGAGCGTTCCGTCGTGCGAGAGGGTCGCAAAGGCTTCGCTCGAGTGGCCGTCAAAGACGCAGGCGGTCACGGGTGCCAAGTGGCTGCAAGCAAGCTCTTCGACGCTCATGGCACTGGCGAGGATGCGATAGAGCTTCCCGGCCGACGTGCCGGCGAGGACTGTCGCGCCGTCGCACGTCACGCTCAAGCCGGCGATGGCGCCCATCAACGCGACTTGGCCGACGAGGTTCCAGTCCGAGTGGTCGCCCACGAGCTTCTTGAGAACGCCGTCGCCTGCGCCCACATAAAGGTACCCGGTCGCCGCGCAGCAGACGATCGAGTGCACGCCGTTGGACGAGATCGGGATCGTGCACTTGAAGACGCGGGCGTCGGCGTTGAAGACGACGAGCTCGCCTACGTCACAATGGAGCGTGAGCTGCAGGTCGACACGAGGGATCCAATGCACCCGCGTAGGTGCCTGCAAGGAGCGTATCGTTGGTCTGCGTCATGCACGCGGCGAGGTACTCTCGGACCATGCCGGTCGACGGCATCGCGCACGGGTAGCTCTCGAGCTTGTACTGCATGCTGCCAATGTCGTACGAGAGCTCGCTCACGAGGAGCTGGCTCGAGTGCGCAAACAGAAGCGTGTACTTTGGTCGGCGCGTCTTTTCTTCGACTTTGCCCCAGTTGAGAATCGTGACCGGCGACCCGTACGACCGCGTCACGACGACCTCGGACGTGCGGAGGTCCCAGAGGATCACCGACCCGTCAGCGCCGGCGCCGAGGAGGAAGTGGTCGTCGGGCGAGAAGGCGAGTTTTGTGATTTTGCAGAAAAAACCGTGCAGCTGGTAGAGCTCCGACTTGGCGTAGAGGTCCCAGACGACAATCGCTGCGCCCGCGCCCTAGTATTTACATTGGAGATAACATATATGCAGCGGAGATCGTACGTTGCGCTTCGTCGACGGCAGCTGCCCGGACGCGAGCAGCACGCCCGAGCGCGACACGCAGAGCGACGAGATCTCTTCGTCGTGGCCGCGAAGGAACTCTTGCGCGTGCGTATCCGAGACGCGCGAGATGACGACGGCCGCGCCCATGCTACGTCGTCGTCGTCGTCGTCGTCAACTGGATGGAGCGTGCGTACCAGGTAAAGTACGCGTCCGGGTCTCTCGGGTGCGCGAGTACCGTGTCCTTGGACCGACCCGTATACCCGATGACGTGCTCGAGCTCGAGCTGATACGCCGGCGGGCCGTCCATCGCGCCAATGTCCCTCTAAGATCTCGTCGCCGGATACGGCAGCTCGTATCCGACGTCCTGACGTGGCACGCTGTCCGGCAACGGACGTTTCAAGTGGAAAAAGCTCGGTTGGATCGGGTTTGTCGACGACGCCTCTGTGCTAGGATTGCAATGATATGGACACATTGCGCATCGTCTACACATGTATTAGTAGATTCTGTAGAACGTCTTCTTGACCTGGGTTTGGCTTGACGATTAGCCGCTTCTGCAGTCGAGAGACCAAGCGAGTAGTACGACAACGCATTGCACGATCAAAACGAGCTGGAGACGAATCCACTGTACACATTGGTTATCTCAAACATGTACAGTATTGGCACTACTAGAGTCGTATAGACGAATTATCTTTTAGATGTTTTCACAACTTTATGTCCCGTCGCTGCGACGCGAGCAAACGCCGACATCGTGCCGCGAGGATACCTTGTGACACTGTCGAGGGCTAGGTGAACGTTGCTTGATGCACCAACGGCGACGAGATTTCTTCAGAGTCCAATGCGCGCTTGCCCAGATCCACGTAGACCTTGAGCGTCTTTCGATGGTCGCGCTTCGTGGCCAAGGCGTCGGCCAAGAGCAAGAGGCGCTGCTTGCTCGATGGAATCGGACGCAAGTTCCAAGGATGCCCCAGGCCAAGCTCTTCTAGACCGTGGGCAATCCATACCGGCAGTGTCCGCGCAATGGCCTCAAACCCAAGGTTGCCGACGGTCCCCGCGTAGATGCTCTTCAAGACCCGGGACGTGGTGAGCCACTGCACAATGGTTTCCATGTCAAGATCGGAAACTTGTCGGTTGAAGCTGACACTGCGCAGGTCATGACAGCGACGGAGCTTGGAGCAATCCAGCGCGCCGTGCGAAACCAAGAGGTGCTGAAGGGCGCAGAATCGCGAGATGTCGACGGGGCCCGAGACACGGAGGTTGACGACCTTGGCAGGATTCAATTTGTCCATCGGAAGCAGCCAGCGCCATTTAAATGTCGGGAGCGTCGTTGAGTTTCAGAATCGCAAGCGACGGCGACGAATAAATCGCTTGCACCAATGCATTGCAGTCGACCAAGGGCGCGTTCGGGTGCGGTAGAATCTCGAGCCCCACATCCGCGCAAAGGCCAGCGTCGTATCGGTCCGCGACCGCAACGGCAGCCGAACGCGCGTCGATCGGGGCAATGGCGCCGCCAGCCACCGGAGATTCGTGGCCGGTCCCACAGACACGTGCGGAAATGCCGGCAGCGCGATGATGCCAAGGCCAATGTTGCGCGGTGCAATGTTTTCGAGGTGCAAGCAGGGCCAGTGGCGCGTGAGGTCCATCGACTGCCGGAGCTGCAGCAGCGCTTGAAGAGCTGGTGGCACTTGCGGCAGCACCGACACGAAGGCGAACCGAACACGTCGCGCAGATCAGGAAGTAGATGCACGACGTCAAGCAGCACGGTGCTCAACGTATCCAAGGTGTGGCACATCAAAATGGATTGTGGTGTTGGACCTAACCGCAGTCTACTAGCGACCATCATTCGCAACGGCGGGACGATCTGAGTCGGGCGTTTCAATCCAAGTTGTTGCTGCGTTTTAAGCTCTCAATTCGGGTAGTCAACTCCTCAACAAGAATACAAGTGGCTCAATACGACATACTGGGAACCAAGAGTCGAGCTGCGCCTCGGCATTCGGATCTAAGTACGCACAGTAAGGCTCGACCTCCTCATGGACCATGTCTTGGTCGCCGTTGTTGTCTTCGCTGGTCACAATATCGTGATGCAGACGGATCGAAAGCGGTGGAGCTAGGAGTAACAACCCCCGTGACCACTGGAGACAGCCACGTGTCTGACGCTTCAATGCACACTTCACCAATCCAGTGACCGACATGACACACCCAGCAGCTAGACCCTTTACCTCTACGCACAAAGCCTTTCATACGTCTGTGTGGTTGCCGAAGTACAGTTGATTGTGTCTTCCATCGACAAGTTGATATTGAGCGTGTAAATATATATGCAAGTACTATCGATATCTCTTTGGTCTACGCGTGGCGCTGGCGAAACTCGACAAAGTCGTCGTTGCGCGTGATCGGGTTGAGTTTCAGATGGGCCAAATCGATGCGGTGCGACCGGAACGACGCGCCTTCGTCACTCGACCGGTGGAAGATCGCGCCGCGCTTCTCCTTGGAGAAGGTCACGTCCGGGCTGTTGGAGAGGTACCGGAGACCGGCAAAGGTCGACATGCCCGTGGCAAACGTGATGATGCCGATGATCGGGTACGTCGCGGGGTCGGAGAACCACGTCTTGATGACGGACTGGGTCGCGCGGGCAGTGGTCGAGGCCATGGTAGTTCTTGGAAGTAGTGGAGAGGATCAAGCAAATGCTGGAATGAAGCGAAGAAGGCGCGCCAAAATGGCAAAGATCGTCTTCAAAAACACGCAACGAGCAGAGAAACACCGTGAAATTGACACGCGCGTTTCGGTTTGTATCCGGATGGCCACTGATTTCCATACAAATTTGTATGGATTTGACCCTCGCATCCGGATAGACGTGGCGCGCACCGTGTCAATGCAACTGCGAGTGCAAGTCGCGTGTCTTTGGTGTTGCGATCTTCCGCCAATTTGCCGTCCGTTGAAGTCGCTCATTCCAGCATTTGCTTGATCCTCTCCACTACTTCCAAGAACTACCATGGCCTCGACCACTGCCCGCGCGACCCAGTCCGTCATCAAGACGTGGTTCTCCGACCCCGCGACGTACCCGATCATCGGCATCATCACGTTTGCCACGGGCATGTCGACCTTTGCCGGTCTCCGGTACCTCTCCAACAGCCCGGACGTGACCTTCTCCAAGGAGAAGCGCGGCGCGATCTTCCACCGGTCGAGTGACGAAGGCGCGTCGTTCCGGTCGCACCGCATCGACATGGCCCATCTGAAACTCAACCCAATCACGCGCAACGACGACTTTGTCGAGTTTCGCCAGCGCCACGCATGAAGCGCTCTTTAAAATTAAACTAATCCATTTTTAAGCTAACCACCTCATGACGATCTCTCGGTGGCACTTGCAGACCCAACGCCAAGTCCCGCAGCGCCTGATTTCCATAAAGCTCAAGCCCACTCGAACAGCTCACTCGAACGCAGCCAAGCTTGAGCTCTGCGATTCACGTCATTAGTAGCTTGTCATTGGATCTCAAAAGATCGGGCCAATCGCATGCCGCCAAGTTAATTTGGCCCAATGGGCACCACGGGGCACCGCATATTCCGCGCCAATATATATTCACGGTGGGCGAGGCAATATTATCGAACCTTGGGCGCTGGAGGCGGCGCCCCATTCTCATTTTCGAATTTCCACCAAGTAGAATGGCCACGATCCGAGCGACGCGTCCCGTCCGCAAGTCGGCGTGGTTCTCGGACCCCGCGACGTACCCGATCATCGCGATCTTGGGCAGCGCGGCCGTGCTCGCGACCTTCCAGGGCGTGCGCCACCTCGCGCGCAGCCCGGACGTGACGCTCGACAAGGAGAAGCGCCACAACATCTTCCGCCGCGACGAGAAGGCGTGCACGGACTTTCGCAGCCACCGCGTCGAGTGGGCCCACCTCCAAGAGAACCCGATCACGCGGTCGGGCGACTTTGTCGAGTTTCGCCGCCGCAACACCAAGGAATTGTAGCTGCGTCGTCTAGCCGCGGTAACAATGCTAATAATTGTGCTTTCCTCTATCTTTGTGGTGGTTCTTGGTACGGTCAATGCATTTCCGAGCGCCAAGCGATGCAAGAAAGGGCCGACAGGCAGGCCCTCGCCCGCGATCGCAGGCAGGCGCGATCTTGTGGCGAGGCGTCGCGCTGGCCGCCGAGCTGCAGCGCCTTTCGCCGCGCGTTGTCCCCAGCGCCATGGCAGGAGCATGTGTCAATGGTGCTAGTGACCCTTCGACAGCACTGTACCAAGCTCTTCCTCGCGTCAGCTGCGCTTTGGCGGCTTGCCAGGTCATGCATCCCACTGTGGCTAAACGCACCCAACAAGAGAAGCGGTCGTATCCGGAAAAAGTCGCCTGTGAAGGGCGCGTTTGTATTGGGGAGTTTCGCGGGACTGGCCTTTCCGGATACGATCGGCCCCGGCCGGCGACCGAGCGTGTTGCGATCTTTGGAAGCGGCAAGCAGCAGCATGGACATCTCCGAGACCGTCGTCGCGCCCAAGCCCATCGACGACGATGCGATGGACACGAGCGGTGACATCCTCGCCGTCGGCGTCTACGACGGCAAAGAGGTCCACTGGTCCGACGCAGGCAATGGCATGCTCGTGGGCACGCCGGTCGAGCAGCGCATTCGCTGGGAAGACGGCGTGACGAGCATCCAGCAGCAGATGCGTGGCCTCAGCTGCAAGGGCGCGGTGTCTTTGTCGCCGCCAGCGGCCAGCGTCGAATGGCGCCGGACGTTTGAAGCGGCGACGTTGACGATGAAGCATGCGCTCGCCGAGCTCGGGAGCGACATTGAGCGGCGGCAGCGCGACGTGCAGCTCGAGGATTTGTACGTCAAACGCACGCTGAGCACGGGCGACTTGTCCAACGTGATGTTTGCCGCGTACATCCAGTCGCTCCAGGACAAGTACGCGGCGAATGTGAGCGCGCTGGAGGTGGCCAAAGCCCACTTTCGCCGCCACGAAAAACGCGTCCACCTGCACGCAAGTACGTAGCCGTCTTCTTGAAGTATTCCAACAGCTTGACGGCTGCCGTAGCCACGGCCTTTGCCAGCCTTCCGTTCCTGCACGATCGCTACCAGCTCAAGGCGCTCATCGGGCAAGGCGGCAACTCGGAAGTGTGGGAGGCGTACGACGTGCATACCAGTACGTTTCGCGCCATCAAGATTTGCACCAAGCTGCACCAAGCAGAGATCGAGTTCCGACACCACGAGGTACTGAATCGCATCTTATATCTCCCTCGCCACACACGTTGTAGCTCTTCCTACCGTCCGAGCACACGGTCCGCGTCCATGGGCCGCTGCTCATGACATCCCATCGCGGCGCGCCGTACTCGCTCATGGTCATGGACCGCATGGAGTGCGACTTGCACCAGTTCATGGAGGTGCGAGTCTCTCCGCTGCAGGTATGCGCAGTGTCCTCACTATCACGTAGAACCTCGGCGGGCCCTGCGAGATGGGTCTCGCACGCCACTTGCTCTTTCAACTCCTCCTCGGCCTCGACTACGTCCACCAGGTACATCGCCTTGCTGTCGTCGTCGTCGCTGTCCACTGAACCATCCACGGCGCTTGTGTGTAGAAGGGCATGGCGCACTGCGATCTCAAGCCGGCCAACGTGCTCTTGGCCACGGTCGCCGGCGCGCAGCTGCGTTTAACGGACTTTCACCTCTCGCAGCGCAAGCACGCGATCATTCTCGTGGGCCAGAACGCGTCGCCGGCGTTCGCACCGCCCGAGTGGTACCTCTTGTCGCCGCATGAAGCGGCGAGCCTCGGCGCGACGTATGAAAAGTTTGACGTGTGGGCGATCGGACTCGTCTTCTACATGCTGCTGTGCCACGCCCACCCGCTCGGGACGCAGGCCAGCAAGCCCGAGATGACGGAGCGCATGAAGGCGTACCGAGCGACCCCGACGCTGCACTTTCCCGCGCACGTGCCCGCCGACGCACAGGTGCACGCGCTGCCTTGGAGAGATGGTCGTCTCATGCTGCGTGTAGCATCTGATACGGCAGTGCATGCACCTCGATTGGCACAAACGACCGACAGTGCAGGAGCTGCTCGCCGCGGTCTGCGGCGGCCTCTAGTCGTCGTCGGAGTCGCCGTAGAAGAAGGACAGGATACAGACAGAATAGGATAGTAGACTAGCGTGATCACTTGATGTGCTTGTCGTTGGCGTCTTCAATGTCCACGTCGTCCATGTGCACGAGCGCATAGGCCGGTGCCGACGACGACGACGGCCGTGCCTTGATGTACGAGTACAAGACAAGGCCCGTCGTCGCCACAAAGAGGCCTGCAATATTGAGCGCACTGAGCTTGTCGTGGAAGATGAGCATGGCCATGACGATCTGCAGCACGTCCTTGAGGTTGCCGGCAATGCCTAGCCAATCCGTCGTCATAGTACTACCATGCTCTTCGTCCCTTCTTCGTATGTACCGAGTGAGAGCGCCGACGTCTTCTTTACGAGCTCAATCTCCACCGAGACGAGGAAGAACGACATGGTACCGCCAAGAAGCACACCTGCGAGGGCCTGGAGGAAGAGGAGTGCGTCGATGCAGAATTTCGACGCGAGCAGACTCGGGCCATCGACGATGATGGCGATCGGGAGGAGGAGGAGCGCACTGACCGGCGAGATGTAGTAGACGACCGCCAACGTGCTAGGAAGAAAAGCGAATTGATGGCTCGCAGAAGGGACGAGGGGAGAACGGTACTGGTGTGCGGACGCCGTCATGCGCTTCATAAAGAATTGGGTGAGGACCCAGCGGAGCGTGCCGAGGATCGACGCGAGAAGGACGCAGAGGAAGCCGACCAGCACAAAGTTGATGGTGCCGTAGCTGGCCATGCCAATGCCCGTGCAAATGAAGCACACGACACCGCAGAGCGCCCATGACGGCTCTTGCAGCTTGAGCAAGATGGAGAAGAGGAGGTTCCTAGACCCGTCCGAGCATGAGGAGGAGGACGAGGAGCGTGGGAGGCGAACCAGACGTTGCCACCCGACTTGACGATCGTAAATAGGGACACCGTGATATACGTGAGCGACTTGTTGGAAAGCACAATGTCGGCGCCCGTAAAGACCCCAATGGGCACGGCCAGCCTAGGACAACGCTCGCATCTCCGCATAGAAGGAGACGCAGTACATCCAGTAGTCGCGCAGTGGTAGCGGCGCAATGACAATGTTGCGCTTGCACGCCAAGAGCTGCGAGAAGATCGCCTTGACGGCCATGTGCACCGTGCCCATCGTCAGCACGTACGGGAACCCGCCTTGCCAGACTTTGAGGAACCACTTGAGGAAGAGCGTCATGCCGATGCTCATCGAGTACCACGCGAGGATGTAGACTGCGACCTCAATGAGGTGCACGCGGTGGGCCATCGCCTCGATCTGGCTGGGCTGCTTGAGCGTCGCGCCCCGCTTGAGGAGGAGCACCTTGGCGCCGACGAGGCCGAGCGCAAGGAGCGAGAGGCTCATGCAGAGGTAGAAGAGAGGCAGCGAAGAGACCATGGCCCGCCCATGGGCCGTCCCGTTCATGGCGACGACGCCGCCCCCGGTGAGGTTGCCGGCGACGTTGCCGGCCATGGTGCAATTCTAATTGTGTGGCGTTCTCACTTTTGACTGGCTATAATGCCAAGAATGGCGCGTTCGGATTGGTGGATTTCATTGTTTATGCGCCAATCACGTTTGCTTGTCTGCCGATCTGGTCTGCAGCTGGATGTCCAAGGACCACGTGGCTTGCAGCCGAGCGCGCTGGGCAGCAGCTTGTGACGCGACTGCTTCGCGCGCCTGCGTGTCCGCTGCAATCAGCGCGTCCAAGCAGCGCTTCGAGCACACGGTACGCGCATCAGGTGCTGGCACGAGCTGCCGACACGGCGCCTACGCCATGCGACGGTAGCACACGTAGAGCAGGCAGCGCCACATGTACCAGGCAGTGCCAGCACACTGTTGGAAGGCTCGTAGCGGTGCCATGGTCCACCTACAAGACGCGATAGAGATGCCAAAGGATGGTCAATGACGGCGAAGTACGTGCGCCTGGGAGGGCTGGCGCCAGGCCTGCAACGCCTCGAGAAAGGACGCATGGCTTGCGTCTTCGTTGAACTCGGGCTCGAGCACTTGATTGCTAATGGTGGTGCGAGGCGACGCGCGAACCTCTTCGAGCGCGCGGACCTGTAGGCTGTGGATGGCCTTGAGGAGCTCCTACAGAGAGCGTTCATACCGACGTGCAAACATTTGGTTAAACCTTGCGCTGCTTGAGACTCGTGATGCCCATGTGATCCAGCGTCGGCGTCGAGAATTCGAGCAGAAACTCGCCTATATAGAGTCGTGAGAGGAGCTCGATCCACCGACAAGCAGCAACCGTTGAGCGTCTCTTGGGTCAAGAAGAGGCTCTCGTAGGCCGCGAGTCCTTCTGTGTGGAGCCATTGCATGACGTCGTCGCTCGTCCAGTCGCCAACGCGCTTCCCAACCATGCTCTTCGCCGACGCCCGTCGTTGCCCCGGCGACGCCATGGCGGTTGAGGCGTTTCGACTCTTCTCAACTCGAAACTGCGTTTGATGCTCAACCCTATTCCTTCTAGCACGCAACATTTTACGGTCCACACATCGACCTATTTATTTGCGGTCCACACATCCATGTACAAGGCAGAGAGATGCCATTCAGGAGCTTAAATCAGAGCCAGCACTTCGCCGACAACGCTGTGGAACGGAAGCGCCGCCGTCTTTGGCCGGAGACGCGTGAGGACGTGCACGAGGCCGACTTCGGCCGCGAGGCTCCGCGCTCCGACGTCCTTTTGCAGGAGCAGCCCAAGGCCGACGACAATGCGCTCGACGATCGTCTACAGGTCAGCGTGAGGAAAGGCTCGTCAGATGCGCAAGGCTGACGTACCGCAGACGCCTCGAGCGTGCCCTGGCTCGCATACATGTCGAGGACCTCGGCGCAGCCACCAACGAGCGCAAACTGAATCATGTCGTAGTCTGCCTGCGACGGGCGACTGTCCCGACACACGTTGAGGACAAAGCAGGCGGCCATTTCGGCCTGGCTGAGGACCGTCGCGGGGCCTTGCCACGTGCCCCAGACGAATGCCAGCCACGATCCAAGGTGCTCTGCAAACTGCGCCTTGCTCGCGGGAGCCTCGAGTCCATTGAGGAGGACCGAAAGCAGCACGAGGCGATGCGCAGAGTCAGGCGTTGTCTGCGTCTGCTGGAGCAGCTGGTCGATAATGGGCGCAATCAGCGTCGCGTCTACAAGGACGCTAGGCGACCGAATATCGGCCAGCAGCACGATGCGAAGGAGGCACAGCGCCGTGAAGGTCGCAGCGGGCGTCCCAGCAGCAAACGCACATGCCACAAGCGACCACCAGACGGCGCTAGCAGAGTTACATTAGACTCTGAGAAGTACGCTGCAATGGCGACGTACCGATCGCTTGATAGGAGCTGCGTCGTGTCTTTGGACGTTGCAAAGTGCACAAGGCGCTCGAGGGCGCTCGTCTCGTCTGGCGAGAGCGCCTTGAGAGTGTCGAGACGGCCCACGATGCGCTCGACGTGAAGCTCGGGTAGACACGAGATGAACGTCTGCGCATAGCTCGCCAAGGTCTTGGTCGCTGCGGGCTGCGCACTTGGAGCCGAGAGGGGCGACGGATTGTGGTGCGACTGGATGCTCTCGGCCATGCGTCCTTGCATGTCTTCAAACATGGGCCGAAACATGGCACTACACGTCGTCGCCGCTGCGTGAGACGACGTCCATAACAAGTCGGATTACCATACCCCATGGGCGTTGAGAGCACTTGCTGCGGCAGGTCCAAGATGTGCTGCGGGATGCTGGCGCCGACGAGAAAGTTGGCGACTTCGTTGGAAAAGTTGTTGCAGTTGTTCGAGAGCAAGTTGTACGTCGCCGCCGTGAAGCGCGACTGGATCTCTTGGAGAAACGACGTAAAATCGGCTTGGGCCACCTGCGTCGTGCCCAGCTCGACGACTTGGTACGGTGTGCCATACGTCTCGGCGACCTGCGCCGGCGGGACCGCTTGGATACCGCCGCCGTAAAAGTACTCGAGGCCATAGACGCACACGCCCGTGTGCCACACGCCGTCGATGTGCGTGCCCAGGAGCGACGCCGACATCTGCCGCGCGAGGCCGCGGGACAGGTCGTACACGTGGAGGGCAACCCGCTGGTCGGTCATTTTGCAAGTTCTGGAATGTGGCTCGCGGGATTGCAATCCTCCATCCGGACATCCGGAAATGGGTATTGAATGGCGAAGGACCTGCCAGAGTTGATGTTCTAGACTTCTGCTCTATGAACCACAATTCCCTCCCTGCCCGTCGCGTACTCTTGGAACCAGCGTCAACAGGAGCGAACGCTTATTCGATTAATACTATTGTGGTATCGCTGACGCTGCAATAGCCCCGAACAGCGCTGCAGGCGCTGGTTTTATTGCGTTAAGCTCAGTTGGCTCCCTCAAAATGGGATCTGGCGTCTGTCAAGGACATGAAGGCACCTTGTCCTTGCTTTGATTCGGCTTCCATGCAGGTGGTACAGCCTTACCGAAGCGTGCGAGGCCGGTACTAATGCCACGGGCGGTATACTTTAGCACCATAATCCCCTCCTCCTCGGCTTGAAGTGGCAAATCGGTGAGGTTGGCGGGAAATATTAAGTTTGAAGAGCGAAAGAGATGGGGTTCCTGCATACACGTCGTTGGAACTGCAGAGATCAAGCGCCCATGCACTGCTGGATTCTAAGGCCACGTGATATGGTGGCTTTGCATTGACAGGGTATCTTCCGGATAGATCCGGATAACACACGTGGCAGTTTCGCTGGCGATCTTCAGACTCCATTTTCGACAGGTCGGACGAGCAGGGGAAGCGGACCCAGTGCGAGCACTCGATCGGAGACAGCATCGATGGCAACGAAGCCAGCACCGTTCGTGCACCAGCTTCTGCGCATGCTTAAGCACGAGCCCGAGGATGTGGTCGCGTGGGGACCGGACGACCACTCGCTCGAGATCCGCGATCGGACGCGCTTCGTGCAGGCTGTGCTGCCGCGGTACTTTCGCCACACGCGCTTCAACAGCTTTCAGCGCCAACTCAACTACTATGGCTTCCAGCGCGTAAAGGGCCTCCCGAAGGCGACGACACGCTACTGGCATGCGCATTTTGAGAAAGGTCGGGTCGGTGCCATGAGCTTGATCCAGCGCATCCCGCCCAGCCGCGCACTCACGACACAAGCGATCGAGCGACCGCTCATGCCGTCGGCCGAGCAACCGGTCGCTTGTTGGACGGCGTCGCCCGAGAAAGCTACTCCCGCAGCGGCAAACGATGCATCGCTGCAGCGGCTTCTGGCACCGCTCCTCTACGGCAGCGACGTTGCAGTGGACCTACCGGCGCCAAGCCCATCGTGGCTGGACCACATTTTTGCGGACGCGGGCTCGAGCACGTCGATCGGATTTGAAACAGTGCTGATTTAGCACCACAACATGCAACTCGTTGTATCCATGTATCCTCGGTCGTTCCATGCAGCGAGGATGGGCAATCCGTCGCGTGAAGCGCAGAATGACGGCGTGACGTCAGGCATCGCGAGCCAATCGCTACTTGGGCGCATCCCACTGCGCCATCGCCCAGCTGGCCGCCGCTCCGCCACCTTGGTGCGCGCACCTTATCAAAAGCTGCAGGTTTCTCTTGCGTGCAACGAATTTTCTTGTGACGGGCAAGCGTCACGTGAAAAGAACACTTGTGATTGGCGCAAATGCATTCTTTACGGCCAATGCGCATTCAATTCCGCTTACGCCACGCGTATCCGGATCCGATCTTTGCACGTGCGGATCGTACGGTGTCTATGCAACCGTGTTTTAAACACATGCGGAGGGTCGGACGAACCGCGGTTGGGGCGCCGCCAACCGCTCCTGCTGCGGGCCCACCGCTGCACGCGCCGCTATCGACGCCATGTCCATCGGCTTCTCTACCCAGCGACGAGCTTCAAATGGAGGTCGTTCTTGCCACCGCGTTTGCATCAACCGCGGTTAGGGCTCGTCGCGGTTCGATCTTCTACCTTCGAGTAGCCGCACCCAAGTCAAATGCACTTGTGCGACGGTGCGGTGACGCCAGCGCACCGTGGACGCCGTGGATCTTTTTATGTCCAGCGCTGTCGTCGCTTGCCACGGACCTCCCCGTCGTCGCCGTCGTCGTTTTGATGCACCCCGTTCCCTTCAAGTATCTTGGTTTGTGCTGCGACGTTCTAGCCAATGGCATCGCGCGCCTATATTTTCGCCGCTTTTGATTGGCGCGTCGAAATATCGATTGTGAGAGACTGGAGCAAATCTTTACGACGATGCTCACTTCTCAAGTTTTCGTGTGGAGCGCACTTGACCAGCCGCAGCATGTTGTACCGCCACGTCCACAAGATGAAGGCGTCGTCGGCGTCCAACATCTTCCTCCGCGGCCAGAGCGCCCGCGACATGAGCCACATCCGCAAGCTCATGGCCGCCAACCGCGGCGAGATCGCGACGCGCATCATGCGCGCCGGTAACGAGCTCGGCCTCCGCACGGTCGGTATCTTCTCGGCCGAAGATCGCTTCACGCAGCACCGCTACAAGGCCGACGAGTCGTACCTTGTCGGGAAGGGCAAGTCGCCCGTCGCCGCGTACCTCGACATTGACTCGATCATCAGCGTCGCCAAGGAGAACCACGTCGACGCCGTCCACCCGGGCTACGGCTTTCTCTCGGAGAACGTCGAGTTTGCGAAAAAGTGTGCGGCCAACGGCATTACGTTCGTGGGCCCGACGCCCGAGAACCTCGCGACGTTCGGTGACAAGACCGCCGCCCGCGCGATGGCGATCAAGCACCACGTGCCGGTCGTGCCCGGTACGGAAGGCCCGGTCGAGACGCTCGAGCAGGCCCGTGCCTTCATCGACTCTGGCGTTGGCTACCCCGTGATCATCAAGGCCAGCATGGGCGGCGGTGGCAAGGGCATGCGTGTCGTCAACAACGCCGAAGAGCTCGAAGACAACTTTATCCGTGCGAGCTCGGAGGCGCTTGCGGCCTTTGGCGATGGCACGGTCTTTATCGAGCGCTACGTCTACAAGCCCCGCCACATTGAGGTCCAGATCCTCGGTGACGGCAAGGGCAAGGTCGTCCACCTCTTCCACCGTGATTGCTCGGTCCAGCGTCGCCACCAAAAGGTGCTGGAGACGGCGCCGGCCGTCCTCCTCAACCCGGAGACGGAGAAGGCCATGATTGACGACGCGGTTCGCCTCACGGCCGCGGCCAACTACAAGAACGCCGGCACGGTCGAGTTCCTCGTCGACCAGGAAGGCCGCCATTACTTCATTGAAGTCAACCCGCGCATCCAGGTCGAGCACACGATCACCGAAGAGATCACGGGCGTCGACCTCGTGCAGAGCCAGATCCGCATCGCCAACGGCGAGAGCTTCGAGGCCCTCGGTCTCATCCAGGACAAGATCAAGGTGCGTGGCCACGCGATGCAGTGCCGTGTCACGACCGAGAACCCGGCGCTCAACTTCCAGCCGGACTCGGGCGTCATCGAGGTCTTCCGCTCGCCGGGTGGCATGGGCATTCGCCTCGACGACGGCCCCGGGTTTGTCGGCGCGCACATCACGCCGCACTACGACTCGCTGCTTGTCAAGGTGACGGCGCGTGCGCTCGAGCGCGGTGACTGCGCGCGCAAGCTCAAGCGCGCGCTCAAGGAATTCCGCGTCCGCGGCGTCACGACCAACAAGAACTTTCTACTCAACGTGCTCAACCACCCGGACTTTGTCGACGGCACGATCGACACGTCGTTCATTGCCGACAACCCGCACCTCGTTGCGCCGTCGCACTCGACCAACCGCGGCCAGAAGCTGCTGCGCTACATTGGCAACACGATCGTGAACGGGCCGGAGAAGGCGCTCGGCGCGACGGGCCCGGCGCCGTCGTCGATGAACCCGCTCGTGCCGCACTTTGCCGAGCCCGCGCCGTCGGCCACCAAGTCGCTGCGCCAGATCTACACGACCGAAGGCCCGGCGGCGTTTGCCAAGGCGGTCCGCAACAACAAGGGCCTCCTGCTGACGGACACGACGTGGCGCGACGCGCACCAGTCGCTGCTCGCGACGCGCGTGCGCACGACGGACCTCGAGGCGATTGCGCCGGCGACCGCCATCGCGCTCCGCAACGCGTACTCGATCGAGATGTGGGGCGGCGCGACGTTCGACGTCACCATGCGCTTCCTCCGCGAAGACCCGTGGGAGCGCCTCGCCAACCTCCGCGAGCTCGTCCCGGACGTGCCGTTCCAGATGCTCCTCCGCGGCGCCAACGCGGTCGGCTACACGTCGTACCCGGACAACGTCGTCTACAAGTTTTGCGAGAAGGCGCAGCAGACCGGCATGGACGTCTTCCGCGTCTTTGATTCGCTCAACTACCTCGAGAACATGCGCCTTGGCATCGATGCGGTCGGCGCGTCGGGCGGTATCATTGAAGCCGCCGTGTGCTACACGGGCGACGTCTCGGACCCGGAGCGCGGCCCGTACAACCTCGAGTACTACCTCAACTTTACGCGCCAGCTCGTCGGCCTTGGCATCCACGTGCTTGCGATCAAGGACATGGCCGGTCTCCTCAAGCCCCAGGCGGCCCAGATCCTCATTGGCGCGATCCGCGCCGAGTTCCCGGACCTCCCGATCCACGTGCACACGCACGACACGGCGGGCACGGGCGTGAGCTCGATGCTCCAGGCCGCGTACGCCGGTGCGGATGCGATCGACTGCGCGACGGACGCGATGAGCGGCACGACGTCGCAGCCGTCGATGGGTGCGATCGTGGCCGCGCTCCAGAACACGGAGCTCGACACCAAGGTCGACGCCGGCATGATCAACGAGATCAACGACTACTGGGAGACGATGCGTGGCGTCTACGCGCCGTTCGAGTCGGGCCAGAAGAGCGGGTCGGCCGACGTGTACCACCACGAGATGCCCGGCGGCCAGTACACGAACCTCCTCTACCAATCGACGCAGCTCGGCCTCACGGGCCAGTGGCCGGCCATCAAGAAGGCGTATGCGACCGCCAACAAGCTCCTCGGCGACATCATCAAGGTCACGCCGTCGTCCAAGGTGGTCGGCGACTTTGCGCAGTTCCTCGTCCAGAACAACTTGACGGAAGAGGAGGTCCTCGCGCAGGCCGAGACGCTCTCGTTCCCGAAATCGGTCATCGAGTACTTCCAGGGCTACCTCGGTATCCCCCACCACGGCTTCCCCGAAGAGCTCCGCACCAAGGTGCTCAAGGGCAAGCTCCTCCCGAACGGCAAGGAAATGTTTGAGGGTCGCCCGGGTGCCGAGATGGCGCCGTACGACTTTACGGCTGCCCACCGCCAGCTCTGCGAGACGTACGGCTCGGACAACATCTCGGAGCTGGACGTGCTCTCGCACGCCATGTACCCGGACGTCTTCAAGGGCTTCATGGAGTTCAAGGACAAGTACGGCTCGATGCACTTCCTCGACACGCGCACGTTCCTCACGGGCCTCGAGGTCGACAAGGAGGTCGAGCTCCAGATCGAGCACGGCAAGACGGTCTTTGTCAAGCTCATTGCGGTCGGCGCCGTCTCCAAGAAGGACGGCACGCGCGACGTCATCTTTGAGCTCAACGGTCGCCAGCGCGTGATCAAGGTCAACGACGACAACGCGGCCGTCGGCAAGATCGAGCGCCTCAAGGCCACGGTCGGCGTCGCGGGCTCGGTCGGCGCGCCCATGCCGGGTGTCATCGTCGAGGTCAAGGTCGCCAAGGGCCAGACGGTCAAGGCCGGCGCGCCCCTCTGCGTCCTCAGCGCCATGAAGATGGAGACGATGGTCGCCGCGCCGGTCTCGGGCAAGATCAAGAACATCCACGTCATTGTCGGCGACAACATGAAGGCCGGCGAGCTCCTCGTCGAGATTGACGAGACGGGCGACAAGGAGTAAGCGTCTTGGTAACAACAAGAAGAGAGAATAAAGTGATTAGTGTATGCGACAATAGTGTTCTTATTGTTGGTATCATGCAAAGCATGGAATGACACGGGAGTTGGAGATAGATAACGTGTTATGTGTGGTGAATATTGTCTTCTAATAGTGCTTGGTCGTCTATCATGCGTACTCGGCGTGGTTGAACGGCGGTCCATTGGGGTACGCGACCGGATCCACGGGCGTAAAGCTGTCGAGCCACGCGCAGTTCATATCAAAATCAAAGTGCGTCTCGTTCGTAGAGTCCTTGAAGTCGGGCAGCATGGACGGTGGGAGCGGCGTCGATGCGCCGCCCCCAAACATCATGTGGTTGACGTCCAAGAGGCTAAAGCTCGGGCCGTCGCCTTGGATCTGGAGGTTCTCAATGTCCGAGAGAAGGTGCGTTGACGGCAGCGGCGTCGTCGTCGGCGACGGCTTGGACTGGAATCCAAACAGCATGCTCTCCTTCTTGGTCGGGTTGAAGTCGAGCACGTCGTTCGGGAAGAGCGCGCGCTGAAAGCCCGCCGACGGCGACGACGACGTGCTCGCTGGCGCCAAAAAGTCGTAGCTCATGGGCGCCATCGGGTGGAGGTGCTGCCGCATCTGAAAGTGCAGCATCGGTGGCATCGGCGCCGTCTTCTCGTGCGACGTTGTTTTCGAGGACGGCTTCTTGCGCGCCGACTCGGGACTGTTCTTGCGCTTGATGAGGTACAAGCGGTCTGGTCGATTCTGGCGAAACTCGGGGTGGCTGAACGTGCAAATGTTGGTCTGGCTCTTCGTCCACTTGCGGAAGCCAAAGTAGTTGAGCTGGCGCTGGAAGCTCGCGTACTTGGAGTGTTTAAAGTACTTTGGCAAAATGTACTGCGCGACGCGGTCCGTGTCGAGGATCTGGATCGACGTGCCACCGTTCGCCCACGAGATGATCGCGCTGTCTTCCTTCTCGAGGATCTGGTAGAGGTACCGGAGGAACTTGGGCACGCCGACCTTGCGCTTCTTGGTCGGCGTGTGCGACGACATGGTCTCGGTGCTCGACGACGTCGGCGACGCGGGCAGCTCGTGCATCATCGCCATTTGCATCCAAGGTGCTCAAAACTGAAATGCGCTTCAAGCTGCGTTTGCGCTTGGCCTCCGTCGCATCCGTGATTGGCTCAAATCGGTGGGTTGATGCGGCCGCACCAATCAACGGCATCGGTTCACGCAACCGTTTCACAAGTTACAGCGCCACGCTAGCATTCGATTATCTACGGCCTCGGCGTTGCGAGGCCCTCGCCCTCGAGCAACCACCCAACGCGACGAGGACGAGTGGGATCATACGCAGAGACACTCGCCGAAGAGGCCATCGCTGTACAAAAGCCGCGAAACGCAAGCGCTTCTGCGCGAAAGATCGCAGCATCAACCCGATCGGATCGAGCTTGCTTGGTCACCGCGTGCGGGACAACGTGGCGACCTTCTGACCTTCGATTCTGCGGCGTCCACGACGCAAGGTTGACGTTAGCTTGAAGCAGTATCTATGCGCGTTTGCCCAAAGGGCACAATTGAACTGAGAACTTGTACCTCGGTGTTTTCTTCTGCTTGGGCGAGGCGAGATGCGCACGAACAACATACTGCAGCAAGCGAAGGTTGTGAGTATGTATCGGATTCGAGCACCAACAGCAGCAACATCGATAGCAGCCACCACGGGGAGCTTATCGCACACGACGGCAGGCAAGACAACCAAGGAAGATGCATGTAGAGAGCGACGAGAATCGCTGCACGGCGTGGTAAAAGTTGGCGTGAATCTTTCGCCATGCCCCACGAGATTTAGAAAATCCAACTCGCCTCATTCTTCGATGGCAACCTTCGGTCTACCACTCGACATTTGTATGCCGAGAGCTTGCCACGTCGGGGTCGTCTCGAACAAGTAACCGAGGGTCGTTCGGCCAATACAGGAAGCCGCTAACGTGGAAACGATTGCTCGTGTCGGCCTCCGCGTAAACGCCTTTTAGAACATGCCTTCAGACGCGAGGCTACAGCGACGAGACGTAGCTTTCTATTTACTACTCTTCCCTGTCGTCGTCGTCGTTGCTACAGCGAGGGTAGTTCACTATCCCAGCTCGGCTGTCTCGTCGCTCTCGAGGCCGCGTCGCGACATGGAGCGCACGCGGATGCGCTGGTATCGCTCTTTGGTCGCTTGCAGGTTGGCGGCTTCGGCCTCCTCGTCCTCGGTGTCCATAAAGGCCAGCGGCAGCATGCCGACGAGGCAGCCAAATGAAATGCCCACGGCCGACGAGAGATACGAGATGCCCCGCACGATCGGCATGCGGGCCTGCGTCGACGAGAGCTGCGGGTCGCCAATGCCGAGCTTGCGCGCAAAGGATTCGATGACACCGCCGAGGCTCAGGCCTGCGACGTCGGCGACGCAGTTGCTCAAGCCCGCGGCGGCCAGTACCGAGATGGGCATCGCCGCACGCAAGTATGTCTCCATCGAGTCGCCTGCCGTGAGCATGATGAGGTTGTCGACGATGCCAAAGCCAATGAACGGGATGCCCGACGCCAGCATGACGAGGCGCAGCTGGCGCGCACTCGGGCGCTCGAGCGAGCTATGGCCGAGCGACGCTGCGATCGTCTGCGGCAGGAAGCGCGACGTGATGTACGAGTGGAACTCGACGGTTGTGAGCACGCCATCTTTATTGACGTCGGCGTCGGCAAAGTGCTTTTCGAGGTTGAAGTCCTTCTTGTGGCTCGCGAGGACACGGGCGATCACCGCTTCCTTCTGCTCGATCGAGAGCGCGTCAAAGGCAGTGGCCACGTCAGTGACAGCGTCCTTCTTGCGCTCCGAGAGGCGACGCGCCCGGCGGCGCAGGCGCATGCGGCCCATGTACTTGCGCAGAAGGACCCGCATGTCGACCGATCCCCTCGGACAATGACGAAGAGATGATGGCGGTTTTCTTCCGTGTGGAAAGCGAGTTTCCCACTCATACACACCAATTTGCCACGCGCGCATCGACTAATACCGACACACTAAACGACTAACGTCGAAACTAAAAGAAGAATGATGCTCGTTGCTTGCCATCGGCGACAACGACAAGGCGGGACCCCTTGAAGCGTGCGTCGGAGGAGTCGCCAGGGGCGCGTATATACATCCTTGCGTAGCGACTCGCGGAGGCGTGTCCCAGCACCTGCTACCTTCGCCTGCATCGCTGCCTGCATCTTGGACGTTTCGACTCGAGCTTCTTGTTGAAGCCGGCTCAACACGAGGTTGCCAACGTGCGGCCACCAACGCTTCGGATCGTGCGGCCGTGTAGACCGCAAGACCTGAGTCCGATCTCAGCCGACAAGTTGTCGATCAAAATAATGCGTACAATAATACACTGCGAAGGGTAATCATGTATGTAGCTCGATAGAGAGGTCCGGGACGGACGGACGTGACATCGCCGGAGCGGGCGTTCGTTCGCATTACGTGGCCAGGCCTCTACTCGAGCAGCTGCGAGCAGCAAGCGGCTCAACTCAACCCGCCAAACGCAATTGACAAAGTGCAGTACGAAGGCGACGGGCATACTGGAAGCAAGTGTAAACCCAATGAGGCTCCACGCGTCGTCCATGCAGCGGGGATCCTTGCGAGAGCAGAACATCTTGCGTTTTGTATGCGATCGACGAGAGTGGGTTGCTTTGCCGACGCAGTTGCAGGCCGCCACCTGGTCCGGCGTCTTGGGCGACTTTGACGACAAACTCAACTCAATTGCGCGTCGTTTTGAGCCGTTTGTATACAATACGAACCGAAACTCAATTCGAAAACAGCCGTTCGTAACGCTGGCGCGAGCCGGCTTTCTTATTTTTGCTTTCGCCACAAGAGGCGAAAAGAGAGAGCGATAGTATGGTGACGGACCTCATCCTGCTGCCCGAGGTGAGCGAAGGCGCGGTCGTGAAGGAGCTCGCGTCCCGGTACCGCGCCAACGAGGTCTACACGTACATTGGGCCCGTCCTCATTGCGGTCAACCCGTACAAGACGCTCAAGAAGGACGGGCTCTCGCTCTACGACGAGCACTGGATCGACGAGTTCAGCGGCCGCGAGATGCACGAGAACGACCCGCACCCGTTCGCGATCGCCGAGTCGGCGTACTCGCACCTCATGCGCTTCCAGACCAACCAGTGCCTCCTCATCACGGGCGAGTCGGGCAGTGGCAAGACCGAAACGTCCAAGCACGTGTTGCAGTACATTGCCAACATCTCGACGAAAGCCCGGACGCGCCAAGCCGTCAACCAAGCGCGGTACGAGCACACGGATAGCCTCGCTGCGATGTCTCATGATGCAGAAATTAGGACGCTCACGGACCTCAAGAAGCAAGAGATTGACGACGTCGTGAACAAGGTCCGGCGCATCTTGATCCGCGCGTCGCCGGTCCTCGAAGCCTTTGGCAACGCGCAGACGATCCGCAACAACAACAGCTCCCGCTTTGGCAAGTACATGCTCCTCCAGATGAACGTGGCCGGCCAAGTTGTCGGCGGCTTCATCCACAACTACCTCCTCGAGAAGAACCGCGTGATTATGCAGGCCGCGGGCGAGCGCAACTTCCACTGCTTCTACCACCTCCTCGCGGGCGCGTCGGCGGCCGACCGATCGGCGTGGAACCTCAAGGACGCGTCGCACTTTAAGCTCCTCCAGAACGAGAACCGCACGATCGACGACGTCGACGACCGCGTCGAGTACCAGAACATGGCGCACCACATGACTGCCGTCGGTATCTCGGACGACGAGCAGCGCTCGATCTACCAGCAGATCGCTGCGATCCTGCACCTTGGCAACGTCTCGTTTCTGAGCCTCGTCGACGACAGCCACAACCCGTGCTGCAAGATCGACGTACGTCCTTTCTACTGGACTTTTTTTTTAGATTGAGGTTGCGATTGTAGCCCGCGACGCGTGAATCGCTCGACGTCGCCGCCAAGCTCCTCGGCGTCTCGTCCGAGAGCCTCGACGAGATGTTTACGTTCAAGTCGCTCGTGATCAACCGCCACGAGACGCTGATTCCGCTCACGGCGAGCCAGGGCACGAAGGTCCTCCACTCGCTCGCCAAAGTGCTCTACGAGAACATCTTTACGTGGCTCGTCCAGCGCGTCAACAAGGGCATCCACACGCCGCGCGGGAGCTCGCACACGATGGGCATCCTCGATATCTACGGGTTTGAGATCTTCCAAGAGAACGCGTTCGAGCAGCTCTGCATCAACTACGTGAACGAGAAGCTCCAGCAGCTCTTCATTGCGCAGACGCTGCAGTCGGAGCAGCAAGAGTACCAACGCGAAGGTGTCGCGTGGGTGCACATTGAGTACTTTAACAACCAAGTCGTGTGCGACCTCATTGAAGACGCCAAGATGCCGGGCATCATGCCGCTGCTGGACGAGCAGTGCGCGATCTCGCAGACGTCGGTCGATGTGCTCATGCACCGCTTCAACGAGACGTACGACAAGCGCCACTCGCATTACACCAAGTCGCGCGTGAAGGGCTCGACGTTCCAGGTCCGCCACTACGCCGGCACGGTCGAGTACGACGTGACCAACTTTGCCGAAGCCAACATCGACTCGTTCTTCACCGAGCTGTACGCCAACTTGGCCAAGTCCACGAACGCATTCGTGCGCAACCTCCTTACCGACGACCGCAGCACGAAGGAGAAGCTCAAGCGCCCGCCGTCGACGTCGTTCCAGTTCCGCGGCCAAGTCGCGACGCTCCTCGCCGAGCTCCAGCGCTGCAACCCGCATTACGTGCGGTGCATCAAGCCCAACGACAAGAAGGTCTCGGGCATGATCAGCTCCGACCTCGTCGCTGCCCAAGTGCGCTGCCTCGGCCTGATTGAGAACATCCGCGTCCGCCGCGCCGGCTTTTGCTACCGCGAGACGTACGCGACGTTCCTCCACCGGTACAAGATCCTCTCGACCACGTCGTGGCCCGCGCCCAAGAACTGCTCGTCCGTACGTTGTTGTTATGTGTTTTGAATCACAACGTGACTCATCTGGCATGTAGCGGCAAGCCACGTTGGAGCTCTTGACGGCGCCCGACATGGGCGTGCTCCCGAGCCTCCAGCCGCAGAGCGTCCTCAAGGCGAACGGCGGCAAGGACGCGGCGATGCCGGTGCACGCCGACGGTAAGCCGCTCACGCCGCTCGAGGTGTACCGCATGCACCTTGCCATGAAGAATGGCTCGGCGGCCATGGACAAGGAGATCGAGAAGAAGATCATTCCGTTCCAGGAAGACGCCGACTCGATGGGCTGCTTCTCGCTCGGCCGCAACAAGGTCTTTATCAAGCACCCGGCCGCCTTATTTTCGCTCGAGCGTCTCCGCCAGGACAAGCTGCCGGAGATTGCGCGCATCATCGAGGCCGCGTGGCGTCGCCGCCTCCTCCGCATCCGCTTGGCCAAGTACCAGATCGTGTACGACGACCTCATGCGCCGGCTCGCCGCCGTGAAGCGCAACATTGCAGACCGCGGCATGCGTCGCATTGGGTCCAACAACAAGATCACGATCGCTGCGCTCTACGGCCGCTGGCACGAGCTCGCGGACGCGGTCTTGCCGGCGCGCACGCGCTTCCACGCGCAGCTCGAGGCCGCCGAGCTGCACAACAAGGTGAGCTTTGCGCAGAGCTTTGTGCGTCGGAACGCGGCCGTGCGCAACCTCAACCGGCTCAAGGGCGCCGTCGCCGTCTTCTCGTCGCGCTGGAAGGGCCGCCAGACGCGCAAGAACATGCCGCCCGAGCAGTGGCAGCGCTGCTACCAGGTCATGCTCGGCATCCGCACCGAGTTTGAGCGGTACGGTGACGACGACCGATGGAAAGCATTTCATCTCATGTGGTGGTGCGCAGGTTGTTTGGCAAGAAGAAGCGGCGCCGCGACACGCTCGATCGTGTCTACTTGGGCGACTACATCAACTGCTTCAAGTACCCGGCGCTCCGCGCGCTTGTGACGGACGCGCGTCAGCGCCAGATCCTCTTTGCCGGCGAAACGCTCAAAGTGAATGAAAAGTATCAACTTGATAGTATGCGACGGGAACTCAAGACGGCTCTGTAGGACGGTCGCGCAGTCCCGCCTCCTCCTCATTGGCGAGACGTACATCCACAACGTCAAGGCCGACAAGATGGAGAAGCCCAAGGAGCGTCGCCGCGTGCAGATCTCGGCGCTCAAGCACCTCTCGATGAGCTCGCTCCAGGACAACTACCTCTTTGTGCACGTCGAAGGCGAGGTCGACCTCATGTACGAGGTCGACCAAAAGACGGAGATCGTCCAGCTCCTCCGGAAGCGCTACAAGGAACTCCGGAAGAAGGAGCTCCCGGTGATCATCTCGGACGAAATCGAGTTTGAGGCCAAGAAGAACCAGCGCAACCTCGTCAAGTTTATCAAGACGCCCACCGTGGCGACGACGACGCTGGAGAAGGTCGACAAGAAGCACGTTGTCGTTCGCGTCGGTACGCTCCAGCAGCGCCGGTACTAGATGCGTATTCCCACCTTTTATTACATGTATCCGAGCACGAACAAGAACTTATTGCGCGTCTTCTTGGACCTGTACGCTCCCAAGTGCTACGTAGTACTGGTACAGTCGCATTATTGCAACGATGGACCCTTGCTTGCCCTTCAACGGGTAGCTTCCTTAAGTTGATAGCTTCCTCGGAGCTCTGTCTAGTAGCTTTGCCACGTGCGTTTGCAGATTAGACGCTTTGAAGCATCCACTTGTAGCCGCGGCAAGGGGGTGCATCGTCCGCCTCTGTCATCCAGTACACCGTATCAGGCCTGCTGTTTCTGGACGACGACGACCACAAGCGCTCGTTCGTCAAGGATCAGCTTTGGAACCAGATGCGAGGGACCACAACTCGAGGTGCGGTGCCACTCTCCCAAGTGAAGGTGTCGAGCGGCGTCGCACTGTGTGCAGCTTCAACTGCCGCGTCATCGTCGCATTGCAGAATCTTTCTGGGAGTCAAGCGTCAACCGAGCCCCCTCGCCCATCACGAGCGGGCGAATCTGGCAGGGAAGGCCCGCGAGTGCACCCATGTTCCTCGGCCATATATTCCGTGACAGAATGATGATGCAATGACCGACGCACTTGGTCTTTGTATGTCGACGCTTGGAAAGGGCGGGGAATCCTCATCCTGGCGTGCCGCCGTCTGGTGGCCCCCGACCATATTGCGGATGTATTATATTACCTTGCGCGTTGTATACAATACAATGCAACTCCAACCACGTGGTCCTCTTCTCCAAAGCGACTCAACAGACCACTGTGCCCAGAAGAAACTTGATGTTTGTATGCATCGTTGACGCAATCGGCGGCAATGACTCGACTTTCGAGATGCTGTCGTTGCGTTGAGACTACAACGAGAAAGAGCCAACTTGCCCTTCCGAACCTCGTGGCCACCAAGAGCCGTGCGGGCGACAAGCACACTAATCGCACGCAACTTTAGAAAATGGACACTCTACATAGCAGCTTCCTGCCACCCGCGTTGGAAGGCAGGCGCTTCGAGTACACGCAGGCGATATCTCCTCCATCACCACCACGCCACGCGACGACATGTCTGCGCCTCGCCCAGTACGCGACAGTGAACGCACTTGCGAAACACTCGAAAAATCTCAACGCCCGAAAACCCATGTTTTTTTCGTGAAAATTTCGCCCGATTTACGCAGTGATCGCCCCCGCGACGACGAGCGCCATGGCGAGCGCTGCTACGTGGCAGCGTGCGATGCCAAATCGACGGATGCATCGCCGTGCCGTGCGTGCAAGCGGCCGTGCAGCGAGGCGGCGCGTCGTGATTGGCGTGATTTTATCCGCGCTCCTGGCCTGGGACATGTCGGCGTTCTTCACGGAGCCGTGGGCCAGACGGCGGGCCTCTGCCACATTGCCACTCGCCAAAACTCGCCCGATGCTGCACGTGGAGGCCGCGCACTCGTGGACGCTCGATGTCTTTGCGCTCTCGACGCCCGAGATGATCTCGCTCGCGACGCGGCTCTTGCACTGGGCCGGCGTCGACGCCTACCTCGGCGTCTCGACCGCCGAGCTCCATGCGTTCGTCGTCCGCGTCGAGGCCGAGTACCGCGACGTGGCGTTCCACAACTTTCGCCACGGCGTGTGCGTCATGCACGTGACGTACCTCGTGCTCCATGGCCTCGGCATGCACATCGTGCGCGACGACGTGGCCATGGACGTGCAGCACCGGGCCGCGCTCCTGCTCGCCGCGCTCTGCCACGACGCGCAGCACGACGGCCGCACCAACCATTTCCACGCCGCGACCAAGTCCGCGACGTACCTCCGCTTTCCCGTGCGCGCGCCGCTCGAGCACTTGCACGCGGCGACGACCTTGCACCTCCTCGACGACACGTGCCTCTTGGCCAAGCTCCCGCGGCCCGAGGCGTTGACGCTCCGGACGCGCATCGTCGACCTCATCATGGCCACGGACATGAACCTCCACGACGAGGTCCTCGCAAACGCCAAGGCCGAACCCACCGACATTGACGCAGTTGCGAAACTCATCCTCCACTGCGCCGATATCTCCAACCCGATCATGACGACCGACATGTCGCGGCGGTGGGCCAAATGTCTCATGGACGAGTTTGCGGCGCAGGTGGCGGACGAGCGCCGACTGGGGCTGCCCATCTCGACGTTCATGATCGCCGCGCCCAACAGCCGCGACGAAGCGAGGCTGCACATGGACTTCATCGAGCGCTACTCGGGCGACGCGTGGCACACGCTCGTCGACGTGCTCAAGACGAGCCCGGACCTCTTTGCGACCTGCCTCTCGAACCTCGCGGCCAACGAAACATACTGGCGGTTGCGCATTGATAAGTATACACCGTCGCCGGCGCGGTCCTTGAGCCACACGAGCCCCACCGAGACCTCGCCCGTGGTGCGCCCGCCATGCGTCGAGTCGCTCCAGGCCGCATGATGCACCACCCATGATAGACCCCAACATTAGTTAGTAGACCAACCTCCTTGTACCATATTAAGATTCGACACGACTCCCTATTATTACTATGAGACACGCAACGTATTGTCTGCCAACGATGCCCGCATGCGTCGTCGTCGTCGTCCTGGAAGCCAAGTCTCTTGGCCACCATCTCTAGAAGCTCTCGTCACTATGTCCAGACCAATTGCATGAGGAAGTTCCGAGCGAAGCAGCAGATGGATGGAGGTCTACCTCGCTGCTGCATCATCGTCGCCGCCACCCACCGAGAGCGCGTCGTCGGACTCGAACCCAGCCTCTTCTTCTTCCTCTTCTTCGAGTACCTAGTAAGCACAGTCACCTCACGGATCGTGACCGATCGGAGTACCGCTGCTGCGACACGGGCAGCCGCCTCCCGCTCGGCTTGCAGCTTGGCCTCTTCCTCCTGACGCTGGCGCTCCCGGCGCGCGAGCGTCTGCAACCGGTACTTCTCAATGATCGACTGGTCTTGCTGCTGCGCGGCGGCGGCGGCTTGCGCGAGTCGCGCAGCCTCGTCGGCTTGCGCTTGTGCTTCGCGGGCCGCCGCGTCGCGCGCTTCAGCCTCGCGCTCCGCGCCCTCGCCCAGAGTGCGCTGTGTCGCAAGCGCATCAAGTTCCTCCTGCGCCTGTCGCGCACGCTCTATCTGGGCTTCGTGGACCAAGCGCGCCCGCTCCTCTTCTTCTGCCATCGCTTGCCGATCGGCTTCGGCACGTCGCGCATCGTCCGCCGCCGCCTGTCGGGCAGCAGCACGGTCGGCTGCTACCTGGGCCTCGCGAGCTTGACGTTCGGATTCTGCACGAGCCTCCTCATCCTCGCGAGCCTCGCGCTCGGCTGCTTCTTGGGCCTCTAGGGCTAGACGCTCGGTGGTTGCTTGGGCCTCGCGAGCCTCGCGCTCGCTCTCTTCCCGAGACTCGCGAGCCTCGCGCTCGGTAGCTTCCTGCGCTTCACGCTCCAATGCTTTCCTTGCCTCGTCAGCCCGGCGCACCTCGGCCTCGCGAGCCTGTCGCTCCAGAGCGTCTTGTGTTTCTTGGGCTTGGCGAAGCTCGCGAGCGTGGGCTTCACGAGCAGCCTCCTGTTCCAGAGCGTCTTCGGTTGCGCGAGCGAGCTGCGCCTTGTGTTCACGCGCTTCTTGCGCAGCGCGGTCGGCGGCGGCTTCTTGCTCTTGGCGAGTCGTCGCCAGTTGCTCTGCCTCGCGCGCTTGGGCTTCGCGTGCCGCTTCGAGCTCGCGCTTGGCCGCGAGCACACGATCCTTTTCGGCCGCGAGCTGCTCGCGCAGCGCATCTTGTGCCGCACGCTCTCGATCGCGCTGCGCTTCCGCCTCGAAAGCGCGCTCACGGTCCCGCTGCGCCTCAGCCTCGCGCGCTTCCCGCTCGCGGTCAGCCTCTCGCTGCCGATCGCGCCGCTTCG